ACTCTGCAACTCAGTCAAGTTGGTCGGCGCATGCCATGCTTGAATGGTCGCGCTCTTCTTCGGATCTATTTCCACTCCTTCAGCTGAAATAATGTGTCCCAAAAACTCCAGTCGGTCCTGTAAAAACTCACACTTCTAAGCTTTGGTCAGTAGGCGGTTCTCACTCAGTATGGTAAAAACTGCTGCGATGTCCTGTAAGTGCTGTGCTCTGTCGGGGCTGTAAATCAGTATGTCGTCGAGGTATACGATGACGCACTTATCTAAAAGCGAGCGGAAGGCTTCGTTCATTGTCATTTGAAAAGTGGCAGGGGCGTTGGTCAGTCCGAAGGGCATTACTCTGTATTTGAAGGACCTGTAGCGTGTTCGGAAGGCTGTCTTGGGGCAGTCGGGTGGGTTGACGCGAATCTGGTGGTAACCTCCCCTAAGGTCGATTTTCAAGAAAACTCGGGCTGTGCCCAGTTGGTCGATCAGTTCGTCGGCTCTCGGGATGGGGTAACGGGATTTTATGGTAACCCTGATCAGTGCTCTATAGTCTATGCACATGCGAAAACCTCCGTCCTTCTTCGGCGTGAACAGTATCGGTGCTGCGAAGGGTGACGAACTCGGGTGAATGAACTCCTTTTCGAGCAAGTAATCCAGCTGCTTTCTCAGTTCGTCCAGTTCGGGTCGGGTCAGTCGAAACTGTTGCTGCACTGTCGGCTGTGCCCCTGGTTCCAGTTCTATCCTGTGGTCGTGCGGTCGCTGAGGTGGAAGTCCCGTCGGCAGATCGTCCGGAAATATTTCGCTGTACTGCTTTAGAAGCGCTGCCAGGTCATCCGGTACGTTGGCTACCAGTTTATGTAAATCCCCCCCTTTGTCTGCTGCCTCGGCTTCCCGAATGTCAACCGCTTACACGCCTGCTCCTGCCACTACGGCGCGTTTCATCGTGATCGCGTTGACACGCACCAACGAAGACTCAAGCGAGCCCCAGCGAGGTAAGGCGATGTGGTTACCGTTCACTCGCACAGTGCAGTCACCCATCTTCCAGTCGATTCGCGGATTGTGTCGTCGCAGCCAGTCACGACCAAGTAAAATGTCGGTTCCGTCGAGGGTTGTCGCGAGCATTTCCTGGCTAAACGTGAAGTTACCCCCGCATCGAATCCGAGCCCGATCTATACGTTCCCGTATCGCCAGTGGCGTGCCGTCAACCAGTCTTGCGTCGATCTCAGGTAAACATCTGTCCAATGGCAGTCTCAGTTTCCGTGCTGTGGCAGTGTTGATGAGGCTGTGGCTGGCTCCCCCGTCTACGAAGATTTTAACTGAGTCTGTTCCGATTTTCCCACTAAGCAGTATGGGGCTGTCTACCGTAGGACCCTCCTTATTCGGCCGGGTGTGGTCGATTGCGTGAACCGGCACAATCACTCGGTGAGGGTCAGTTGGGTCGGGCGAGCGGCGTGACCTGTCAGTAGAGGGCCCGTCTGCTACTGACTCTCAGCGTTTCCCTGCTGCTTGGTCTGTTTCTGCTGCTCAGCTTCCCCCTTTCCCTTAGCGTTTTCCGGGCATTCGCTCTTACGGTGTCCCGGCTGATTGCACATGAAGCAGCGCCCTTTGAATTGTGCAGCAGCAGCATTCACGGCGACGGCACGTATCGTAGCGCCCTCGTTCGTCCCACGAGACCGATGTCCCCAGTTGCTGTTTCCGAAGGACCCCGGTCTTGGTCGGCAGAAGAAGTCGAGTTTCTCCGCCATAGCGAGAATTTCTTGAAAGTCGGTGACGCCGCAAAGCTGGATTTCCTGAGCGATGTCCTGCTTTAGGCCGCCGATGTAGCGGCCGATGCGCGCGCTCTCGTCCATGTAACCCACTTGCTCGCATATCACCAGAAACCCGCTCGAGTTGGCGCCAAGTGCGGAGCTTCTGTCGCGTTGCGATCGAAGCCGCAATTGGCTCGAACTGAGCGCGCAAACCTGCGCACCACGTGTTGTTAGTAGATCTGCACTGTGGATGCCCGATTGATCCTACGGGGGGTTACAGGCGCGTTTGCCTGGGGGGTTATGGGCGCACTCTGACCCGCTACTTAACAAGCCCTTTTATCCCAATGGTCTAGTGGTTGGGATTCTGACATGGTATCAGAGCGGTCTCGGGTTCGAATCCCGGTGTATGCACATGTAGGCCGTTGCCGCTGTGCTCAGTCCTGGGCCTCCCAGTGTGGGGGGGTGTCAGTAGATCTGCACTGTGGATGCCCGATTGATCCTACGGGGGGTTACAGGCGCGTTTGCCTGGGGGGTTATGGGCGCACTCTGACCTGCTACTTAACAAGCCCTTTTATCCCAATGGTCTAGTGGTTGGGATTCTGACACGTGTCCCACGTGCGATAATGGGGCACCTCCACGAAATATGACGGCGCCCAGGGTCCGGTTTGTCCTTCCCGTGTCGGTAAAGTCGCGTAGTCCACCGGCTTTGTGACGATGACACGCCACCCGACCATGGCGGGTCCTCGTAGCAGCGACATGGCGTAACGAATCTTCGCCGTATCCTCCAAGACGTAGTTCGCGTCGAAGAAGACGTTCAACGTGAATAGCCACGCTTGAACGGTAGGACCACCCCGTTGACTCGGGTCAAAGCATGGCGGCCGCTGCGGCTTCAGCGGCATCGGCGACGGCAATGTTGATTTGCCGGCCGGTACAGAAGTCGTGGCTCGAGGCTGACTTCTTGCCGCATTCAACGCGTCGGGATGTGTCGTGCCGTGGTCGTCGTCTCCGTCGTGGCGGACGACGCCATCACTGGCCGCACTCGCCATCATTTGTTGTGCTCGTGCGACGTCATTTTACAGAGATGTACGCTTTGCCGTCAGCGCCGCGATTTGTTCGGAGCTTTCGCGCAGTTGCTGCAGCAGTTCGTTCAAACGCTCCTGCGTGAGAGTGGTGATGTCGATGTGTTCGGCCATTACGAAGGGCGTCGGCTCAGCTTAGTTTAGGCGCAGTCGTGGCTGTACACGTTTACGAGAGAACGCGAGGACAGTGGCTTCTAGGGGCTAAGGTGCGTAAGTCCCTTCGAGTGAAATCGAAAGCTGATTTCCTGGGGTGCAGAGGATGCGCGGTTCGAAAAGAAAGAGGCTATGAATACCAAGTGTTACGGATGCAATTAATCGAGGTAGCGAAGATTGCACTAAGGTGTCAAACGAGTACAAAATGTGAGCGAAGGCATGAGCGAACATTTATGCGCGAAACATGCAAATGGTAACGCGGTGCGTGCGAGCTAGCTAGTGCTACGCCTACAGCGAGGCTCGAGCTAGTCCCGAAGCGTAGGCCGACACGGCCGGGCCAGCAGTTCGAGGTTTGGTGAAACAGTGCGCGCGAAGTCGGCGAAGCCCCGTTAGCAGTAACGGGCGAACAACGGCTGTTGCTGTACGCGATGTTGCAGGGCGCGCTAAGGAATGTTGAGAAAATTCCTTGCACAAAGCATCAGAACACCAAACTGTAGGGAACTGTTTTTTTAGACAAAATCTGTATTTCCCGTGTCAGCTCTGACAAAAGAAATTCTGCGGGGCTCGATAAAAGCACGTGTCTGAGAAATTGATGTGTTGCACTTGTCTGGTGGCCTCTCCACGACGCGGCGCGAATCCCCAATTTCTGTCAAAGGCGTCACGGCTTCGTGTCAGGAGCCTTCAATTGCGCGGTCAGGTGAGGTCGATCTGACATCTAGACCGCTCCTCTTGCATCCTAATGACGTTTCCACCGTCCATGGTGGTTACCCGATTTGTTGATGTGACAATGATGAGTAGGGGCATTTTGACACCAGTCAAGGGTTCGATATACACACTCTTTTTCCGACCGCGAATTGCAGCAGTTCGCTTGCTTCTTCCTGTTCTGTCACGTGGTGGTGCTGGTGCCTGCAAAACATTATCAGCCAGATGCTCAGGGCGGGCTCTTTCTCAACAGACCTGGACCAAGTCTAGTCTGGTCTGGTGGTGTCTCCCCTTCCCCCAGCCCCCCCAGACGAACCATATTCGCAACCTCAAAGTTGCACCCCCTTTTCCCACCCACCCACCTCTTCTTCCGTTACCCAACCACACCCAACCCATCCAAAGGCCACATGTGACCCCAACGCCTCGCTATACCCTTAGGGACTATCCTAAGTGCTCGGTTGCTTTCGAGAGTGTTCAGGGAACAGAACCAACAAGAGCACTCACTTCCAGAATCCCCTAGGACTAGCTCGATGAGCCGATCTCCCCTAGGACTAGATTAATGGACTAGAGACATTCACCACTCCTGGTCCAGCTGCCTGACCTGCCATTGGATTAGCTTCAGGTGCTCCGCGGATTCTGTCTTCGCCTCGTTCCATCGATCCGTCCATAGGATAACGCTAATCGAACAGCGGTAGCCGTCTGGTTTAGACGAGCTTTCTTTTATACTGTTCTTCATAGGCTTCCGTGATCTGTAATCCATACTGACCATCCAACGTCAGCGGTATCGTTCGCGGCCGGGCTTTTGTCGCTCTTTGGCCAGGTGGATGGTGTTTTAAAGATCTTATCTCAAAGATTGCCTTGTGCTTTAACAGTGTGGGCGAAACTCAAACGCATAGACAACCCGTACTCATTCAGAAACTTCTTCCCTCTCGTCTGCGTTTCCAACCGCGATGGGCGGAGTAGTATCGCCCCCTAGCGCTCCAACCTCCCCCTAGATTTCGCTCGATTTCGCCATGGCTCTTCGCCACGTTCGTGCTCCAATCGCGTCGTTACTCCCGTACACCCTCCTCCTCGCCCTCCTCTCGTCATCGCTCCCGCAATTTACCGGGCCGAGCTCATGGGAACCATTAAGTGGAGCCGGAGTAAACACCAGAGCCGCATCGCGTCTAGGCCTGGCGGAAGCAGCGGCAGTGGCAAGGCCAGCGCCGTCAGCAGCAGTAGCGTCGGCACCAGCAGCAGCAACGGCAGCGGCAGCGGCGGAGGGGATACTAGCAACGGACGCGCTTGAGCGTCTGGGATTGCGATTAGTGGAGGCCCTCGCTGAGGGCCATCCGGGATGCATCGCCGACCCGTATGCACCGCTCTTCTTGACTCAATGCCCTTCTCCTTCCCTTTCCCCCCATCTCCCACCCACAACCTTCCCCACCTACCGTCTCTCCCCTCTAACTTGGAGTCAATTGCTGCCAAAGAAGTCATCAGCCCGCCTCCCTGCTGTTCAGCGCAAGAGAAGACTCTACCCTTGATAGCAAATGGAGAGTCCCCTGCCTATAGAGGTTATTCTATAGTCATGGGTTTGCGCACTGTGCTGTTAAGGGCTTGTTTGCTTGCATTGGCGAGCGGCGCGTTTGGTTTTTGCTCCTCGCTGGTGGTGGCACACTCATTGCTTCTGTCTCATCCATGCCGCGTGGTTCACCTGCATGCATCCTTCCTCTTCCACCCATCCCCACTCCCCTCACCGCCTTCCCCCAACCTCGCTTCCCCCTTCCCCCCTTCTTCCCCTTGCTCCTCCCCCCTTCCCGCCTTTCCCTTTCTCAACCTCGGCCCCCCTTCCCATCGGCTTCTCCGCTGCTTGCTCCCCTTGCCCCCGATCGGTCGGTTACAGGAGCGCGGAGGCGCAGCGCACCTTCCCCGTGCGCACCGCAGACTCCGCCGCGAGGGTGGCGGCATGCGAAAAGAAAGGTGAGCTGCGGGTATGCCGACTTTCCCTCTCCCCTCCCCCTTTCCTTCCCCCTCACTCCCAACCAACCCCGCCCCTCCCCTCCTCCCTTCAATACCAACGTTGCTCCCGCATGCTCGCGCGCCAACTCCTCCCCTCTCTCAACTCATCTCAACTCCCCGCCACTCCTCTCCCGCCGCTCCCCCCATCTCCAACCGCCTCCCACTCCCGCTGTTCCGCCAGGCGACTTGCGCCGCCGCGTATGCTCGTCCGGGGAACTCGCCACGTTCGTGCGATCTCTCAACGCGCAGACAGGCGGGACGGACCCCTCGCAACAGGTTACCAGCAGCAGCAGCAGCAGCAGCAGCAGCAGCAGCAGCAGCAGCAGCAGCAGCAGCAGCAGCAGCAGCAGCAGCAGCAGCAGCAGCAGCAGCAGCAGCAGCAGCAGCAGCAGCAGCAGCAGCAGCAGCAGCAGCAGCAGCAGCAGCAGCAGCAGCAGCAGCAGCAGCAGCAGCAGCAGCAGCAGCAGCAGCAGCAGCAGCAGCAGCAGCAGCAGCAGCAGCAGCAGCAGCAGCAGCAGCAGCAGCAGCAGAAGCAGCGACAGCGGAGGAACGAGCGATGATGGTGGGATCTGGGGCGGGAGTATCGAGGATAGCCTTTTAGACCCCGTAAACTGCAATAGCTCCTCGCCGCTGCTAGGATGCCTCCCGGGCTTCGCTAGTCCCGTCGCCGCGCCTTCCGTTAACACCACCTCCGCGGGCCCCTCCGCTAAATCCCCGCGCTCCACGTTCCCCGCGGTCCCCCCTTCCTCCTCCGCGGGGTCGTTCTCGTCCCCCCTGGCGTGGATTTTCGCGTACGAGTCCGGGTCCCGCCTCGAGCTTCCGCCAGCGCCCCCCCGCGAGGACCCGCCGTCCGCTTGCTGCGCGGGTTTCTTTTGCCCGGCGGGGCTTGCGTGCATGATACGTAAGAGTCTGACCGAGCCCCGTTGGAAAAAAGGGCGCGCTCGCGCCTTCACATGCTCCTGTGTGCGTTAGAGAACTCGCGTTTACGCTGCTGCGACGCAAACCGGTCGCGCGCCGTCGTGTCCAGAACGAACCTTGGTGCGCCGTCGTGTTTTGCTTTCCAACTGCTCTTCCCTCCTTCGTTCCCTGCCGTCTTCAACATCTCCTCCCCCTCTTTCCCCCTCTGCCCCACCTTTCGCCCTTCCCCCAAACTTCCCCTCTCGCCCCCACCCCCTCCTCCCTACTCGCTCCGCATCCGCTGGTATCCCCGCGCGCAGCTTGCCCCGCAGGGTCGTTTTGCCCGTCGCCTGTGACGCCTCGAGGCTTCTCTTGTACCCCGTAAGGAACCCCCCCGCATGCTACACAACACGTTGACCATCAACCACTTGCACTCGCGCGTTTGTTCGCTTCCCTGTTCCTGCAGCTTCCTTGCTTGCTTGTTGCGGTCGCTGCTGTTGATGTTCCCGTTGTTGCTGTTCTCCTTGCAGCAACTTGCGCGTTTGCATGCCACGCGACGGTGGGCGTAGCATTTCCTGCCACTCGTGACTCCAACGCCACGGTCACGCCCCGCCTATCTGCACGCGCCGCGTCGACTTGCGTCCCTCTACCCCACACCTAAGCTCTGCTTTCCCCCTCTCTCTCCTGTCCCATCCCTCCCCCATCCCCTCTCCCGCGCCCCCCAGGTACTCCTACCCGCCCGTGCTGCGCTCCACCACGCGCATGAGCCGCCCGCAGTGCGGGGGAGCGGACCAGTGGGGCGCAGTGCCCGCGCACCCCGTGGGGGGCACCCCCCCCTTGCGCGCCTACAACGTCTCCTCCCTCCCCCTCTCGCCTTCCCCCGCGCCATCTCTCTCCGCCGCGTCCTCTGCTTCTGCTGTGTCGTCTTCTGTGGCGGCGGCGGCGGCGGCTGCTGCTGCCGCTGCAGCGTCGTCCTACGCGTCGTGGCTGCCTGTGCTGGCGTGCCCCGAGGGGTACTTCTGCCCTGATGCCGCCACTATCAAGCCGTGCCCGCCCAGGTGAGTGCCGTGCCGCCATGGATCGATGGTAAGTGCATGTGCGGGTAGATGATGAAGGTAGGTGGATGGATCAAGTTTCAGGTGCATGTGTATGCACGCACATTCCCATGTGCACATACCCTTGCGCACACGCCCCCTCTCTCCCTCCGCACTTCCGCACCCCCCCTTTTTTTTCCCTTCCGCCTCCCCCTCCCCGTCCCCACCGGCACCATTGTCTCTGCTGTAACCTGCTTCTCATCATCCTGACTTGCCCCCTACTCGTTCTGCTCGTATTCATTCTGGAAATAGTTCCAAAACCATCTTGCTTCTCTCATCCCCACTCCTACTGCCGTCTTTCCCTCCCCCTCCTTTCTGCACCACCTCACCGTACACGTGGCACGTTGCATGTGGCGTTGCGTGGGGCATATGGCACGTGGCATGCCCCAGGCACATCTGTCCAGCTGGCTCTGTTGCCCCAACCCGTGAGTTCCCTCTCCTGCTTCATCCTCCCCCACTGCTACAGCCCTCTTTTCCCTTCTCTGTCTCCTTCGCTTGTCGTCGCCCCTTTCCCTTCCTTCCCACCTGCCTTTTCCCCTCTTCTTGCTTCTTTCCTGCTGCTACTTTTCTTTCTGCCGCTTGTGCGTCTCTCCCCTTTTTCAGTTGCGCTGGCTCAAATCCCACTGCCGCCTTGCTTGTGTCCGTTTCTGTCTTGTGGTCTTGTTTCCGCAATTCGGCTGATTATTTCCCATCTCTCTGCACCGCACCGCACCACACCAGGCGTCACCATGGGCAGTCAGATGCAGTCACCGGATCAGTTCGTCCTCGCCCTCTGTCTCACTGTAAGAGCCGCATGCCATGCTATGCCGTGCCGTGCCATGCTCCACCACCACCATACCCACTTCCTCCCGCTTCCATCTCCTCCTACTTACCACCTCCCCCACCTGTTCCCTCCCCTTTCCCTTCCCCCCACCCACTTATCCCTCCTGTTTTTTTCGTCAATCTCCACTCTCCCCCCTCCCTCCCCGCACCCCTCCTCAATGCCGCCCCCCCTTCCGCCACTTTCCCCTCCCCCCCCTCTTCCCCCCAGATCTTGACGTTGGTGTTGGCGCTTCTCCTCCCCTCGTGCTTCCTCCTCTCCGTGCGCCCCCTTGAGCGGGCGCGCAGAGCAGCGGCGGAAGCGCGTTCCCCCCATCGCCTGCTGCCCTCCCCCCGCTTCCACGGCAGGGGGATGGCGGGCAGGGGCATGGGGGCCGCGGGGCCCAACCGCTGGGGGGGAAAACGGTGGGGAGAGGGGAGGGGCGGAGGGAGAATGGGAGCAGGCGGGGAGGTGAGGGGTTCTTGTGACTCTGCTGGGGGTGAGGGGGGAACTGGTTCTGGTGCGGTGGGAGTGGGTGCAGTGTGGTGGCGGCGGGTGGTGGCGCTGGCTGGAGCACCTGTGAGGAGGGTGTGTGGGGCGAAGCTTGCGTTTCTGGGGTGCCGCGTTCACCACGCGTTCGTGGTGAGAGCTCTGCTCTGCCCTACCCTTTCTCTGACCATCTTCAGCCTCGTGCAGTCTTTACTCTATGCCGTCCTCTTCTCTCCTCTCCTCTCCTCTCCTCTCCTCTCCTCTCTTCTCTCATCCCTTCACCCCCCTTCCTTCCATCACCGTCCCCACTCCCCTCCCCATTTTCATAATCTCAATTCGCTCTATCCTCCGCCGTCCTCCTCCCTACCACTCTTCCCCCTCATCCCCCCACTCTCTAAACCCCGCCCCTTCCCGCTCACCCCCTTCCCCTCCCCCTCCCGCTCCCGCTCTTCCCCCTTCCTCGCCCGTCTTTTCCCCCTCCCCCCAGCCGCTGTCGCACCCGGATTTGCTGGAGTCGCGCGCGTCTTCCCGCACCTCCTCCTTCTCCTTCACGGAATGCCAACCCGCATGCGCGTCCCTCCACTCTACTCCCCCCGTCCACCGCGCGCACCCCCCGCACTCCGCCCTTCCCGCGCGCGCCAGCCACGCGGGCGCGGGGAAAGCGGACGAGGGGGAACTCGCGGAGGAAGGGGAGCGGCCGTACGTGGGCATCGCGGGAGGCGGCGGGAAGGGGGGAGGAGAGCGGGGTGCGGAGGTTGCAGTGGTGGTGGGAATGCAAGGGGGGCTATTGGGGGACGGCGGAGGGGAGGCGGTGGCGGTGGATATGGCAGGATGCGAGGCGGAAGGGGCGGAAGGGGCGGAAGGGGCGGAAGGGACGGGAAATTCAGAGGGAATGAGAGGAGAGACAGGAGTTGCAGCGCCAGTGGGCGGATTGCCAGCGCTCGTAGACAGTTGCAGGGAAGTGCTAGTAGGGGGCCTAGAGCAGCTGACGAGTCCCAACCCTGTCCTCATAGGCCCTGGCTTGGGCGCTACTGGGTCGGCATCGGGTGCTGATGGGAGTGTGGGTGTGGCGGGTGTGGCGGGTGCGGGTGTGGTGGGTGCAGGTGATACGGACTCGTTATTACTGGACCCGTTTGCACCTGCAGTGTCACCTGCTCCTGCCGCCGCTGCCTCTATTCCCGGCCCTGCCCCTGTCGCTGTCTCTGTCCCTGCGACTGCAGCAGCAGCGGTAGCAGCAGCAGTTGATCTGTCAGCCCTTGAAGCAGCGGTATTATCTCCATTCCCCCTCCCCACCGCATCCCCTTTCTCTCCCACCACCCCCCAGACCACCTCTAGTCAGCCTCCCCCCTTCCCCCCACACGCGCTCGCCTCCGCCCCTCCGGCGGTTTCCTTCCCCTCACCCGCGGGGGACATTCTCGCGCACGGGGCGGAAGGCGGAGTAGGGGGAGATGCGGGGGAAGGATCGAGCGGGGCGGAGCGGGACAAGGCGGAGGACGGAGAGCAGGCGGAGGAGGGCTCGTGGGCGCACGGGGGAGGGCTAGGAGCGCACAGCCTCCCCCTGCGCTTCCCCGGATTAGAGGCGGCGTTCGCGTCCGCGTCTTCCGCGCCGAGCCCGGACGAATTTCTCCGCCTGGTCGAGTTTCAGAACAACATGATGGGGAGCTCCGCGCACGAGGTCCGCGACGGCGGCGGCGGAGCGGCGGGGGAGGGCGCGGGAAGAAGGTACGGCGGCGGAGGCGGGAGGAGAGGCACGGGGATCGGCGGGTTTGGCGGAGGCGGAGGCGGAGGGGGAGGGGGTGGCGCGGGGACGAGCGGAGGCGGAGGGGAGGAGAAGCGGGCGGTGGGGTGGGACGCGGGGGTAAGCGGAGGGGAGGACGACGCGTGGGATGGCGCTGGGTTGCGGAAAGGTCGCAGGTGGAAAGGAGGGAGCGCAGGGGGGGAGAATGAGGAGCGGGGGAGGCGGGTAGCGTGTCTGCAGAGCGCGTATGCACAGCTGGAGGCGGAGAAGCGGCGGGGCGCCGGGGGAGGCGCGGAGCCGGGGTCTCTAGAAGAGCTGTTTAACGAGGCGGTTAGCTGTGGCGCCAGTGGTCTGCTGCAGGTGACCTTTCTCCGCTCTCCCTGCGCTCTTTCTGCTCTCCCTGCGCTCTCCCTGCTCTACAATATCGTATCCTCCTTTTCTGCTTGCTTACCCATTCCCCATTTCCCTGCCTCTCCACCATATCCCCCCTCCCCCGCCCCCAACCCCTTCCCGCTTCCTGCGTCCCTCATTCCCCGCCGCTTGGCCCACAACATCATCATCCCTCACCCGTTCCCTCCTTTCCGTTCTCTCGTTCCCTCTTTCACTTGTTCTCACCCGGCCTCGCTCACATGTCCCGTCCTTCCGGTTTCCGTCCCCCTCCCTTCCGACTCCCCCAAACGCCCTGGTTCCCTCCCCCTCACTCTTCCCCTCTTTTTTCCCCTCTCTCTTCCCCCGAGCTCCCACACCCGTCTACCGCTCATCTTCCACCTCCCCTCTCCCTTTCCTTTCCCCCCCTGATCCTTTCCCTCCGTCCTCATTTCACCAGGGTCAAATGAGGCGCATGCTGCGCGTTGACCTGGTCAACGTCTCCATTGCCATGCCCGCCTCCCTGCCCGCTTCCCACCCGCGCTCCCTCTCTTCCCTCTCCTCCTCCGCGTCTGCTCCCTCCGCGTGCCACCCCACCACCGCCGCCCCGCTGGCGGTGACGTGTCTGCATGCGAAGCTGCACCCGGGGCGAGTGACGTCCGTGCTGGGTCCCACGGCTGGCAGGAGCGCGCTGCTGCAGGTGCTCTCAGGGCAGCAGAGCAGCAGTGTGGTGGTGGGCGGCCACATAGCAGTGGAGGGCACACCAGCAGCCATGGCGTCGTACCGCGCGCTCATAGGCTATGTGTGCGCGGGCTTGCCCCTGCCCTGCCCGTTCCTCACTGTCGACGAGTACCTCTCCCTGCACGCCCACATGCGGTATGCGCTCCCACCCTCTCGCTCCCACCCTCTCGCTCCCACCCTCTCGCTCCCACCCTCTCGCTCCCACCCTCTCGCTCCCTCTCTCATTTGTCTCCTCCGTCTCTCTCATGCTCTAACGTGTGCTGCGGCATGTGGCTGCACCGCACCGCACCTCACTGCACCGCACCTCTCAGAAGCTGCTTTGCTGGCCAGCCGTTGAACCTGCTCAACTACCGTTACTTCTCGCTTCTCTCTTCTGCTCCTGCTCTTGCTCTCCTCTCCTCGCGTGCCACAGGTTACCTGCAAGCATGGCGCCGAGTGAGAGGCGGCTGATCATAGAGCGAACGCTCATGGGGCTGGGACTCGACCCCTGCCGCCACTGCCTCCTCGGGCCCCCTCCCCCTCCCGCTTCCACCTCTGCTTCTCCCGCCTCCCTGCCTCTCTTTGGGTCGGGTTTTGGCATGGGGGATAGTGGTGGTTGCAGCAGGAGGGGGTGGGGAGGGGGTGGGCCGGCAGTGGCAGCTGCTGCTGTGGGTGCCAAGTGGGGCGGAGTGGGGAGGGCAAGGGAGAGGGAAGAGGGGCTAGGAGGAGGAGATCATTTGGTGGATTTGCTAACGGATGGGAGAGGCGGGGTGCAAGGGGTGGGGGAGCAGCAGCAGTGGCAGGTGGCGGGGTGGGGGTTGACAGGAGAGCAGAGGCAGCTGGTGCTGGTAGCCGCTGAATTGGTATCAGAGCCGTCGCTGCTACTGCTGGACGAGCCGTTTGATGCGTTGAGTGAGGAGGGCACACGCACGCTCGTGCGCGTGTTGCTGCAGGAGGCGTCGAGAGGAGCGGCGGTGGCGGTGGCTGCGGCGAGGCCGAGCTTCAAGACGTTCCAGGCGTTTCATGATGCGATTCTGCTCACTGCTGCTGGCGCCACGGCGTTTCACGGGTGCGTGGATAACGTACAGAGCCATTTCGAAGGTCTAGGGTTCTTGCTACCGGATCGGGCCGACCCTGTGGATTACTATTTGGATGTGCTGCGAGGCTCGGAGAAGTCCGATGCTCTGCCGAACCTCACGCCGGCTGGGTTGGCACTGGTGTGGCAGGAGAGGTCCGGGACGGGCCGTGGGAAGGAGGGCGGGGAGGGGGGATTGGGGGAGTGGGGATCGGAGGAGGGGCGGGGAGAGGGGGAGGATGGGGAGGTGGTGGTGGGGATGGGGGACGAGGAGGGGGAGGGAGAGGAGGATGATGAGGGGGACGAGGGGGGAATGGGAGGGGAGGAGGAGGATGATTCAGACGATGGGGAACTCGGTAGAGGGGATTATGCTGGTGGTGCTGCTGGTGCTGGTGGTCGCGGTGGTGGTGGTGGTGGGGTGGGGGGAAGGGGTTTCATTCTTAGTCCGGCCTGGGATAGGCTGGGAGGAAGGACAGAGCGAAGGGGGTTCGGAGGAGGGGGAGGGGGAGGAACGGGAGGCAGAGCAGTGGACCTGTGGCGGCGAGTGGGGAGTGGAAGCAGCAGCAGGAGAGTAAGGCGGAGGAACAGTGGGAGCAGCGGGGGACGGAGGCATTTATCGGGATTGCTGTCAGCTGGGAGAGGTGTGTACACACGAGGGTCTGATGACCCGTATTGGGCAGAGAGGGAGGAGAAGGAGAGGGACCAGAGAGGTGCTGCGACGGTGGCAGTGGCTGTGGCTGCAGGGAGAGGGAGCGGGTTTGGGCAAGGAGGGGGAGTAGGCGGAGGGAGGGACGGGTTGGGGGGGAAGCGGGCGCTGAAGAGTGCGCCGCTGCTGCTGGTGAATGGGCTTGGCGGGGCGAGAGTGGGGGGGCAAGGGGGGGGTGGGTTTGGGGGGGAGAGTGAAGGGCGGCTGTCGAGTGTCCACCAGTCGTTTGAGAGAGCTAGTGTGGGGGGTGCGGGGGAGAGTGAGGAGAAGTGGGGGGGTGCGAGAGACGAGGAGGGAGGAGGGGAGGTGGAGATGGGGGAAGGGTGGAGAGGAGGGGAGGGACAGGGACTCTCAGAAGGGGGGAGAGAGAGAGGAGAGGGGGAGGGGGGAGACTTGACGGAAAGGGAGAGAGAGGGAGGAGGAGGAGGAGGAGGAGGAGGAGGAGGAGGAGGAGGAGGAGGAGGAGGAGGAGGAGGAGGAGGAGGAGGAGGAGGAGGAGGAGGAGGAGGAGGAGGAGGAGGAGGAGGAGGAGGAGGAGGAGGAGGAGGAGGAGGAGGAGGAGGAGGAGGAGGAGGAGGAGGAGGAGGAGGAGGAGGAGGAGGAGGAGGAGGAGGAGGAGGAGGAGGAGGAGGAGGAGGAGGAGGAGGAGGAGGAGGAGGAGGAGGAGGAGGAGGAGGAGGAGGAGGAGGAGGAGGAGGAGGAGGAGGAGGAGGAGGAGGAGGAGGAGGAGGAGGAGGGGGTGCTGTGGTGACATTGCCACGTGCGCTGTCCTCTGGTTCTGATGACCCGGTGTCTGTGCGGTGCTATGGGCTGCCGTGTGGACAGAACGCCGTGCAGCAACAGCAGCAGGAGGGGGAGACGGGGGACGAGGAGCGGATGGAGGGAGGGGCAGTAGGTGTGTCTGTGCCTGGTGACGGCGGCGATGGGAGTTGCTGTGAAGGAGGGGAGAGAGAAGGAGGAGGAGGAGCAGGAGGGGGGTATGAGGGCGAGGGAGTTGGCAGTGTGGGGAGGTCAGAGAGCATGGAGGAGGAGGAATTTAAGGAGAGTAGTTACACCCACACTCAATCTCGCGCGTGGTCCTCCTCCCACACTCACTCCCGCACGATCTCTCGCACAACCTCTCGCACTCCCTCGCAGGCACCGTCGCAGGCGCCCTCTTACACCCCGTCGCGCGCATCCTCTCGCTCCGCCCGTGCACGCTCGCACACTCGCTCCCGCTCCGCCACGGGTCTCACCAACCTGTTAGGTGGCATTCCCTTAGAGTTCTTTCTAGATAGGAGTAACAACCATAACAATGTCAGTGCCAATGATGAGGCGGATGAGCTGAAGGGGCGAGACAGGGACGGGAAGGAGGGCGCAGGGGGGAAGGGGGAAGGAGCGGGGAGGCAGGGTGGGCCGCGCGGGGTGCTGGGGAGTGTGGGGATGGTGATGGGGGAGGTGGTGAGGGAGGGGATGGAGGAGGTGCGGTGGCAGGCGGTGGTGCAATGGGAGAGGGCGAGGGCGCTGCTATGGTGGCGGCGGGTGAAGGATCTGTCGGACCGAACGAGGACGGGAGCAGGCCGGCAGTTTGGAGCGGTGCTGGGCAGGTGAGATGAGATGAGGCTTCGCGGTTGAGATGAGATGAGATGGTTCTTGATTGACCTTGAGGCGTGACTTCACTTAGTTTGGGGCGGTCCTGGGCATGTTGAGGGGGAGGGGATGAGGGTGTGGAGTGTGGAGTGTAGAGTGTAGAGTGTGGAAACTTATGTGTGTGTGTGTGTGTGTGCTTGAGTGTGAGGGCTTGAGGAGTGGGTGTATCCGTGCTGACTCAGAAGTAGCTCCGCTCTCCTCTCGTTTTGAGACGTCTCAAATCCAGAAGAAGTAGCTCTCCTCTCTTCTCTTCATAACTGCAACTCTCCAGCTCAGTCTCACTTAACCCCCACTATCCCCTCCCCACCGTCCCCACCAATCCCCTCGTCCCCCTCGTCCCCATGGTCCCGCCCATCAGGAGTGTGAGGGAGTACTCCCGTGCAGCGCCCTTCGTCTTTTGAGTCTACTATAATAACTGATCCCCACGCTCCCCCCATCCCCCTCGTCCCCACCATCCCGCCCATCAGGAGTGTGAGGGAGTATTCCCGTGCAGCGCCCTTCATCCTCTCAGCTCTCCTCCTTGCGCTCACTGCCGTCCTCGCCCTCGCTGCGCTCTGGTCGCTGCTGCTCACCTCGCTCCCCTCGCCCTCCGCCCTCCTCCAACCCGCCGCCGACCTCTGCCTTGTTCTTGGTACGCTGCTCGCTTGTCATTGGCACTTGTACGCAGCACGCTCTAGTCCGACTTTTGAGTCGACTCAAAAGGCACGCTCTAGTCCGTGCCTGTGCATGTGGCTCTGGCTCTGGCTGTGGCTGTGGCTGTGGCTGCTGGCATGTGCACTGCTGGTCCCTGTTCCTCTCCTGTAACCTGCTCCCTTTCTTTGTCACAGAAACCTCCCCATCCTGCCTCGTCCAGTCCTCTTCCCCTACTCCGTGACCTTTCTGTCCCCAATGCCCTTGGTCTCCGCTCATTCCCCTCTTTCCCCCATGCGCTTTTTGCCCCTTAGCACCCGTCATGCCTCCATCTCCAACACACCTCTCACCTCTCGCCCCTCCCCCCTATCCCTCCCTCCCTCCCACAATCCCCGGATCCCCTCTCCTCTGCAGTGCTCTCCTCCGTGCTCGTGCCCCTCGCCTCGCCCCTACTTGCCATCACAAGCATAGCACCCATCGCCTCCTCGCTCAACATCCCCCCCATCCTCCCCTTCCTCGCTGCTGACCTCCTCTCCACCCTCCTCCTCGCCCTCCTCCCGCTGCTCCTCCTCCCTCCGCTCCTCCTCTTCTTCCCATTCTCCGCCATCCTCGCCTCCTTTGGCCCCTCGCTTGCGGTGGCCCTCTGTCTCGTGCTCTGCTCCTCGGGCCTGCACACGTTTCTTCTCAGCTTCCTCTCCCGCCGCAAAGCAGCAATGGTAAGGCCTCATCTTCTGTCCTTCGTCCTTCGTCCCTCGTCCGGCGTCCCTCGGCCCTGCCTGCTGAATAGCACGCCTAGCTCACGCACCTCGCCTAGCATAGCTCACTCACTCAATCTAGCTGTGAGTTGCGCACGGACGATGTTGTCGCCATGCTCGTTGCTGCGTCGAATGCACGTAGGCTAGTTCGCAAGTAACCCTCTGTTCACCTCCCCCTTAACGTGTACTGCTCTTCCCCTGCCGGTATCCATCACTCCCCCTTGCCTCCATTGCCTTCCCGTCCATGTGTCCCCTATGCTCCCCTTATGTCCTCCTCCCTTTACCTCCTCGCCTTACGCGCTTCCCTTAACTGCTCCCCTTACTTGCTTCCCTTAACGCTCCCGTTACTTGCTCCCCGCACCCAGGCCGCCCTGGTGCTGTGCCTAGCAGCGTACTTTGCGACGCTGGTGCCGGTGGCGCGGGCAGCGCGCAGTGGGGGAGTGAGGGCGTGGCTGCAGTGGCTCAGCTTCCTGCAGTGGGCCGTCAAGGGGCTGCTGGCAGGGGCCGTCAGCAACCAGTGAGTACCCGCATGCATGGATGCATGGGTGGGTGGTGTTGGGTGGTTGGGGAAACTGGGTGGATGGATGGATGGGCTTGATTGAAACTGAGTGCATGCTATTGTGCTTTCACAACACTGCTACGGTACGGTACTTTCAAGTCCCTTCCCACCATGCTTCCCCAGGACACCCGGCCGTCGTTCACCTTCGCTTGTACGCGGTTCCTCTTCTCCCCTCCTCCGGCCCTTTCCTTCTCCCTTATCATCCGTTGCAGATTCACAGGAGTGTGGTTGCCGGTGCGGTGTGCGTTCACATCAGCCATGCAGTGGAGCGTGGTGGGGTCATGGCAGTCTGCTGCTGCTGCTCTCGCTCTCGCTGCAGCGCTGCTGCGACTGATGGGTTATGCCATTGTTGCTGCTAGAGGAGCCTGGGGGCCCGGGCCTGGTCAGTTTACGTGAACGGAGGTTTGAGTTGAGACGTCTCAAAGCTGCTGCTCTGGCACTGGCTGTGGTGCTGCTGCGACTGATGGGGTATGTCATTGTTGCTGCTAGAGGAGCCTGGGGGCCCGGGCCTGGGCAGTTTGCTCTGGGCAGTTTGCTTAAATGGAGCTGGAGTGAGGTGGAAGAGAGGCTGAAGGAGGGCTGAATGTCTACCATATCAGACACGACAAGGGCGGAGTATTACTGAAGATGAAATACATGTGCAAACTCTGCACGCATACAGCACTCGATCGTGCATGTGCAGTAGTGCCAACAGTGGCACATCCAGCAGCAACAGGTCGTAAGGGCTGATAGGTTGTTATGGCTAGCTGACCAGTTAGTGGTAGTTTTGCAGAGAAGATTAGGACTTAGTGTTATTAGCCACAATGCTGTGCTTACTAAAAACACAGGACTAGAGGGTGCCTCTGTTTAGGGTACCCTAAACCCTGTGCTGGAATCAACACTGCTGCTAGGATGCAGCAACATCTGATAGCATGTGGTACAGAATAGTTGAAGTGGTTTGAAGGTGACGTAGCCAAGACATGTATTGCCTATACACAGGTTCAGTTCAGTGGCACAAGAGTCAGCAGCAGCATGAGCACATACCAGTCACCAGTAGCACTGACAAAGCCATGCCACATGGCCAATGCGCCACATATTGACCTAGCCAATGGTCACATGTTCCATATAATGGTCTCATTGCATTGCATTGCATGGTCACATCACAACCCTTCCAGGACTCAGGAGGAGCACACCCCTTTCCATCTCTCAAGCCAGTTGCAGGATAGCCCCATGAAGTTGTGGTGTGGTGTGTGTGCTGCAGATTGTTTGATAGAGGACCCATAGTGACAATGTAACAGCAACAGCAGCAGTGGCAATAGTAGCAGCAGCGGCAGTAGTAGCAGCAGCCGCAGTAGGGGCAGCAGCGGCAGTAGTAGCAGCAGTGGCAGTAGTAGCAGCGGCTGCAGTAGTAGCAGCGGCGGCATAATCAGCTCCTCACAGGGATTTCATCGCCTCAAGGGAGACGGCAAACGGCACAACATGTGACACAGCAAGTGGCAAGGACTTTAGAGGTCCATGTCGGCTGCCATGTCAGCATAATCCTCAACACTCTCCCCTTCCTCAGATGATGAATCCTCTGCTCCCACCTTGCTGCTAGGGCACATGCATGACGTGACATGGAATAGCATGGTGTGACATGGCATGGCATAGCATGGTGTGACATAGCAAGCATAGCATGGGGTGACAAGGCATGGCATGGCCCCGTACATGTGCGTTGAGGGGGAACAAGGGAAAGGCAGGAGCAGCGACACTACAGTCAAGCGAGGTTAAACGAGCACGATGCAAAGGCAGAACCAGAGGCGGATCTAAGGCAGACAAGCGAATCCAAGCAGATCCAAGAAGATTCAAGAAAATCCAACAAGATCCACGCAGACCTAAGCGAATCTAAGCAGGTCCCAGCAGGGATCTGCAGGGTGCACAAGGGTACCTGCGACAGCGACAGGTGAAGTATAGCACTCGCTTGAGCTTGCGGTTGTAGAAAAAGTAGTTGAAGGACCATCTGTAGGGTACAGGGGGGCAAATAAAACGACAAGAAACATGCATGGTGACAAATAAAAAAAGGCCAAGTCGAGTGCATTGGTAGAGGAAGGACGAAAGAAAAAGAGGAGCAAGTGGAACGCGAGAAAGAGAGGTTGAGGGACGAGGACAGTAGGGAAAGCCAGGGCGGGGTGGCAAACGTGTGTAAAACGAAGGGTTGTGTAGACTGACATGCTGTTGCTGTCAGTGAATATGTCAGTGTCAACGTCTGGCTGGTAACTGTACACATCGCACTCACTCAGCTGTATCACCTGCAGAAGTGGGTGCACATGATACCGCACATGCACGTGGGCATGCGCACAATGCCACACATAGACATAGACATAGACATACACATACACATACACATACAGATGCATATGCATATGCACATGCACATGCAGGCAGATACCAAGACACGGCATTAGTAGCAGAAGCAGCAGCTCAACAGCAGGGGCAGCAGAGCAACCGTGCGCGCAGCCCCGACTGAAACGTGTTCAACAAGCACTTGCGGGTCATCAAAAGCAAGTGGTAGCACTATGCCCCACAATGAGGCAGCAGTCAGCCCGGTAGTAGTATCAGGGGCCACCCGGACAGACCTTGCTTCCTCCCTTCCTTACCCCCCTCATTACCATACCAATCCATTTCAAAGAACGTGCGTAACTGTCATAATAAGCAGGGTGGCTGCGCCGTGTTAGACAGACCAGCGCCACTGCGCCACATAACGTATATATCAAGCACAATTCACCTTTCTATCCATGAAACGGTGAGGAGGGAGAGTGGTGCACTAGACAGACAGTGTGGGGGCTCACATCGTCTATTGAGGACCAGAGGGCGTCAGCAAATGCCAAGTCACTGCCCATCTCCTCCTCCCATAGCTGTGAACCAACACACCATGGCATGTTACACCACGCCATGCAATTCCATGAAATGCGTTCACGACATTGCAAGGAAGTCCGATGGAGTGGTGTATGGGTTATGGTGTGGGTGGACCGTGGATGGGTGAAAGGGTGGAGGGGTGAGTGGGTTGAAGGAAGCGGGGATGAGGAAAGCAAGGAAAGGGAGTGGGACTGCAGATGTATGTTTGAGAAGAAAGTGGGTGAGAGCCCACGTGAATGGATGCACGGGAGTGGGGCTGCAGATGTACATGGATGCATGTGCTTATGTTGCACAGTTGAAAAAGGGGTGAGAGAAGCATGAGATAAGTGTGAGAGAAAAGGGTGGTCAGATGGAGAAGAGGTGGGGAAAAATATTGTAGACAACTAGAACAAAGCAACAGCATAAAACTACAATGAACCCAGCACTGAACGGACGGCAGGCAGCAGGCAGACAAGGGGGTGGGCGGGTGGGCGGGCAAGCAGGCAGGCAGACAAGGCAGGCAAGGAGGGTGAACCACTGCTGTGTGTAGTAATACCACAGAACTACAACTCTGAAATCGGGAAATCACTGGCATGCACTACCACTTAAGTGGCACAGTGTTACCTCTCCTCATCCATCATTCCATGGCCCGTTCAGAACCTAATGCCTTGAACTCTCAGGTGTGAACCAACAAGGAAAAGAAAACAGACCCTCAGTTTTATAATGCACGAGTATACCGCGGCCTTCTCAGCGCGGTCAATGATATCATTGTCGCTCCAGCCTCTACCTCCTCCCCCCACTCCCGCCCTCAAGACTGTTTGTTTGTAGACAGTAGAAAGAGACAGACACAGACCCAGACCCTCGGCCTTCTCCCCGCATCCCAGGCCCAACCCAACCCAATTCGGAACCGGATGCAGGAATGGAAGTGGCGCTAAGAGGTGGAGGAAAATGGCTTATGATAGATGGATTATGAGAATGATAAGAGGTTTAAGGGTCTTAGGGTACGCGGAAAGAATGAGCGACGCATGAGGATGCCAGGATGGAAATGAACCGGCCGGGGATTGAACCCGGGACCCTCCAGTGAATGCACCGGATCTCTTGCCACTGAGCTACCGGCTCTCACATCGCATCACATCACAACACGCTGCACCACACCACACCACAATACACCATACCACATCCGATCGCACACCCTCAACATGCACTGCCCATGCAGCAAAATCAATCCCTACCCTGTCCTCCGCTACCCTCTCCCAACTCCATCCCCACCGCACCCAACCCCAATCTCACTCCCCTCAACCCAGCCTCCCTCCCGTAGTCCTCTGGACCCTCAACTAGAAACCACTTAGGTGGGCTGCCCTCTTCGTCCACCCTGCACCCCCTGCAGATTGGCTCTGAGCTTGGGTTCACATAACACATCTAGCCTACGCGAGACAATCGGCCAGCTGGTAACACAACCGGCCAGCTGGTAACACAACCGGCCAGCTGGTAACACAGCTGGCCAAGAACGGCACAACCGGATGGACCAGAAGAGACACAACCGAACAGATGAGGGAGAAACAGCTGACCAGGGCGGAGCACAACCGTCCAGGAAACATAACCAGACAGGACGGGGAAACAAGCGAGTGGGGGAAAGAGGTCAGCGCAAGGGAGGGACAAGAGAGCAGAGGGGGCACAAGAGCGCAGGTGGGGAATAAGTGGGTAGGAAGCAGAGGCGCGTACCTTGGCTGCTTCGCGCAGCAGCTGGTCTATGGGGTCCTTGACTGCCCCTGGGCCGCTCTCCTTGCTGAAGTGGTGCGACCGCAGCGTGCTGCAGGCGTGGTGGCGAGCGGGAGAGGGAAAGGAGGGAAGAGGGAGAGGGAGGAAAAGAGAGGGAAGGAGAGGGAGGGACAGGGAGGGAGAGGGGGGAAGAGAGAGAGGGAGCAGCGGAGACGAGACAAAGGTGCCGGTTCCGAAAGGCTGACGGATGAGGACACTTGCAGGGAGAAGGACAGAGCGGGGGGGTGTGAGAGGGAGACAAGAGAGCGAGGAGGACAGTGACGATAGGGAGGAGGGGTTAAGGGGATGGAGTGGGAGTGGGGACCGGTACGGGAAAGAACTAAGTAGGAGGGAGGGAGGATGCGAGATGCGGACAACGGGGAACGTGTGTATGGGAAAGGAAGAAAGGAGAAAGTCGCGGATTGATGTGACACGCGGATAGGAGAGGAAGCAAGATAGGATGAGAGAAGGTGCGAGAGTGGAGAACGGGAGCGAGAGAAGGAGGGGGAAGGGGGGGAGAGACGAGGGAGAGAGGGAGTGAGAGAGGGAGCGAGAGAGGGACGGAGAGTGCGTTACCTGAAGTCGTAGTCAGGGTAAACGTGGTTGAGTGTGAGGATGAGATAGACGAGGGTCTTGCGACTGATGCAGGATATGTGATATCACAGAGGGGGAGGGGGAGAGAGAGAATGAAAGAGGGGAAGGGGAGAAAGAGAGCGGGTGGGGGAGAGAGAAAGAGGGGAAAGGGAAGAGCGGAGGGGAGTGCGAGGAAAAAAGGTACTGCAACATGCCAAGGCAAAACAGCGAAAGAGAATGTGGACGGGCAGATATTGAAACAATGAAAGCAGGCGATTACATCATGCGAACAGGGACGCAGGAAGACGGTTAGCACGCGAGAAGGCAATCAGGCAGGAAAGGGTGGCAGGGTACGGTACAGCACCTTTGAGAGGTGGAGAGAGGGCCGACAGGCGAGGCTGCTAGCTCCATGGGCGAGGCAGCAAGAGCATCAACCACCTGCTCTTGAACAAACCAGCGACGGCATGCAGAAAACGAAGATACAAGGAAACAACGAGAAAAAAATAGCGTGTGAAGCAAAGAGATGAATGAAGTTGAGCTGGTAACCTTCCTTAACAATCTTCTTCCCCCCCTCTCTTCCCCCCACACTCGCCCACTTGCACGCGGCCTTTTCCAGTCTTTCCCATTGTCAAACACCTTCAAGCTCTTCCTACCCCAAGTGAGGGCGTTTCCAGACGCACCTCTTGCTCCACGCTTCTTGACAACTTCTTGTCGATCCCTGCTGCTTTACCTGCTCAAGGCACCATGCCACACCATGACATGACGCGTGATGCACCAAGTACCATGCATGCACCATTCGCCATGAACCACGCACGATACGCCATGCACCATGCAACACGACACATGCACCATGCATTATGCACAATACACAATGTTAAAGGATCCCTAATCCGCCGCCATCAGGCAACAAAACAGCCATTCGCAAGCAGTACAAACAAGAAAAGATAATCAATCACCAACAACCTCAATCCACTTGTTTGAAACGGGACCGCCATGTCAGGCGACCCATGTATCGCAATCATTCACATATGGGCCATCAATGCAATGCACCATGGGCAGATAAGCACCCCCCAAGAAAAAAAAAACAAAAAAAAAAAACAAAAAAAAAAAACCAACATCAACAACAACAAACCACGTCAAGAGAACTTATGAGGTGAGCGGAGATTGAGAAGAGCGGGTGGTGCAAAATCAGGGCGACGAAAGGGATGGAATGGCACAAGAAGAAATGTCTGGTTTAGCGTGTAAGTTACCATGGAGCCTGAGTTACGTACATGAGTAAGCTTCAAGAAGGCCTTGTAATTGGTGGTCGCGAAGGTTAAGGTGTGAAAGAAAGGAATTAAGCCTGGTGGGGTGAGAGGGAATCGAGACAGCGTCAAGCGAGCCAACCAGGGACGCAACAGAAGAAAGGAAACAGATAAAATGCTCGCCAAAAAAAAAAAAAAAAAAAAAAAAAAAACACACAAAAAAAAACACAAAAAAAAAGATACAGCAACAGCGACAAACTGGTCGTCAAGACGCAAGAAGAAACGTCGACAAGGCAAAATGTTGAGAACGCGCTGCGGAAGGTGTTAATGTCCATGGAAATACTTCTACTACAAGAATCAGCCGCTCGCATCCCTCATTCCAGGAAACGGATGCGATGAAATATGGCGTCCGGAAAGCGGAGTAGACGCGCATGACATCCGAGATAAACGGTTCGCATGCTATATGATAAACAAATTTGGAGCCTGAATGGAACATTACAGCTACGGTATTTCAGCTCACCTCGCGAGAGGCGTGTACTCAAGAAACTTCATTGCCCTAAGATCAGCTAAGGTGTGGAGAACGTAAAGAGAAAAAAATACAGCGGCACTCTTAAACGAACGGCATACAGCAACTAGGTATTTGTTGTGGTAAGGAGCATATGCTGTGGACAACCGCCATGGCAATGAAACGAAAGCTAGTTTCTGATAAAGCTGGGAAGCAATAGCTCTGGAACTTGACTATAGTGAGTCTGTGAGGTAAGTTGTTCTGTGAAGGACAACAAACATCGGCCATTATCTCCGATACTCAGATTTTCCCTGAGCGCGTTCTCAGGTGTAGTCGCCAACAGAAACACAGTCCCTCGATATAGTGTGAATCTATTCTGTTTCATGTTTATATACAGTCACTCAAAAAGAGGAAGTCTAGCACTTGCAATAAATAAATATAATGCCCGTAGCGAACCTATATGTTTTCCGGGAAGGATCAACCCTAAACACCGAAAGCCTTCAAATATTTTGCAAAACATATTGCAACCCACCTTGACAAAAAAAAGAACAATACCCACCTTGGAAAGGGATGCGACTCGGGAGGCATCAACCCTAAAAACAATGCCCATTTCCGTGTTTAGGGCTGACCCCTCTCGAAAATGCATCCAGGTTCCCTCGAGGTTGTATTTTTTCTGCCATGCCCGAATAGGTCTCGGTAGCGTCGTCTAGTGCTTTCGGTAGCGTTGTTTAGTGGTTGGTTGCGCTACTGAGCACCACCAAGTGAATTATATGGGCTTCATTCTCTTACTACCTTGATTTCCGTACATATATCCAGGTCGGGAGGGTGAAGTGGATGGTTTTGTTTTTGTCTCTTTCTAATGAGCTCGACCAGCGTGAGAAGTGTGACAAAAAAGCGACGACCAATCAACGTTGAGAAAGTCCAGGTTGATTACACCTGAGAACGCGCTCAGGCGAAATCTGAGTATCGGAGATAATGGCCGGACAAACATTGGTTTCGCCTGTTGAGCTATTCCTATTTTCTAACAAACCCCTTTCGAAGCGTGGGATGTTTTCCTGAGTTACGGTGCGCGAAGTGTCGGGGGAGGTAGTGGTTCCAGTGTTCAGGCAGACACATCCAGCACCCAGGAGGCCATGGACATGCACACTTAGAACAGACCCCACTCAAGAACACAAAAACATTTTATACAGCACCTGAAACCTCTCTGTTTACGGCGCCGGAAACCTGGACATTAGCCACGAATCTTGTCAGCAGCCACGTGCGTGGTTCATTTTCTGATTCCCGTCTTTCCATGGCAGGTCCTCGAACGAAGAGTCGAAAAATCCCCCTCACAGAAACACGTCTCTCTTGAATATTGACGCAGAAATGTGGTGAATGATATCACGAAAGCTGAACGTGTACCTCCCCTTACACTAGCTCAATTTACAAGGATGCTTTTCTGCTCACTTAGGCAACAAGAGGCACAATTCACCTAATCTTATGCTGAATTTCTGCAAAAATAAAAGAGCTTCAGAAGTTGATACACATTAGTAAATCTGTATTGAACGAATAAAGTAGTAAGTAGTCTGAATCACATACTATACCTTCTTTAGTCTGAATCATATGTAATGTGCTACTAATGATTGCAAGCAAATCTCCATCACAACCAGGACCAACCCTGGTGTGTGGCGGTCCACAACTGCACCTCTCAAATGTTTCATAAAAAGCGATTCAGACAAATAGTGATTAATACTGTGGTTGAGAGGTAAGAGACGTTGTTAAAGCAACTGCTTGCCAGCAAATCAATACAGTATTACGGTAGTGAATAAATAAAACAGCACCCTGCTTGCTTATGAGATACCTTATTACAGGCATCTTGACAACGAAGAAGACATTTTACAAAGCAGATGACGCACACCCACCTACCCAACCACCCATTCAGCTGCATACTTCATCAAAAGCTTGGCACCAGGTGTACCCATACAGTGCCAAGCACATGCATCCGTTGTACAGTAGACAATAGGAGATATCAGATGTTGATAGTAGCACTAACTGGCTGCAACCCCCCAACTACTAACCATCCTGTCCCATAGCCCCAGTAGCTCCAGCAGCACCAACACACATAACACATCTCAACATCAATCCATTTACTCTCTGTTCCCAGCCAACACCCCCCCCTGCCCTCACCGCCCCTTTCAACACCACACTTCTTGACTCTCCTACAACAGCCTGTGGCTGGTTGCCATTACCCGAACCTTCCATTGCACCCGCTTTCCCTTGTCCTGTTAGTAGGTCAGGAGCCGCCTGCGGTGGTGACACCTGTCCTTGTGCTGTCTCTACGTCTTGTATTGATACCACTGTATCACCAGCACCACCAACATCATCACCACCGGCACCAGCACCATCACCACCAGCACGACCACCACTGTAGCCATCACCCCCAGTCCCTCCCCCAGTTTCACATGATCCATACAACCCAGACCCACTCCCGACCTCCCTCATCCCGCCCACTCCCTCTCTCGCTCCACTGCCCCTCCCATACCTCTCTTCCCCGACCTGCCTCGCCTCATCCCAGCCCTCTCCAGCCTCGCCCCCTCCTGGCCCACACCCATCAGAACCAGAATCCACCCTTCCAGAGGCCCCTCTGTGTGAGTGCTGCTGCTCATCTCTCCCTTTGAAATGACTTTCACTCGACTCTGCCACCACGGGGGTTGATTCTCGCTGCCAGTAGGACAGCAGGCGCAGATCCCCAGGGTCGCTGGGGCGGGCGGCATGGGAGGCACCAGGAGGTGTGGCAGGAGAAGCATTCCGACCCCGGATAACCTCTCCTCTTCCGCTTGCTTCTCCTGCTCTTCCTCCGAATCCTGATCCTCCCCTGCGCCCCCCTCCTTGCATTCCTTCTCCTGGTGTACCTCCTTGGCTGGATGGAGCATCAGAATCAGCAACAGAGTCAGCAGCAGCAGAGGCAGAGGCAGAGGACCCACTGAACCGCATAGTTCTCTGCTGCTGCCCTCTTCCCCTCCTGCCCCTCCTGCCCATTCCCAGAAACCCCCCACCTTCCTCTGCCCTTCCACTCTGCCCCTCCAGCACTGCCCTTACTCGTTCCACGATAGGGGAGTCAGACCAAGACACGTCAGACACAGCACAAGACACGTCATGTGTGGCGGGAAACAGCTCAGAATCAAGACATGACAGGTCAGACTGCGAAGCTGCGGCGACAGCTGCACTGGTGGCAGCAGAGGCAGTCACAGCAGCAGGTGAGGAAGCAGTGGTGGCAGGAGGTACGAGAGTGGTTGCAGATGCTCTCTCAGTTGCTGCTTCTGTCATACGAGGAGAAATCTCTGGCGCAGGCTGTGTGAAGGAGTGGGCTAGTAGGAGGGACGAGGAAGGACGTTGAGCAGGTGGCAACAAGGGAAGGAAATGAGAAGGGAGGTAGCTGTTAGGGGTCCCACCAGCAGCAGGAGAAGAAAACGACCAGGGTGAACCTGCAGTGGCAGCACTTATTCCTTCTGAAGCCCCAGCAGACGCACCAGCAGCAGCACCAGCAGCAGCACCAGCAGCAGCAGCAGCAGTGGCTGCGGTGGCGGTGGAATGGAGGAGGCATGAGCGGTGGTAGGAGTGGCAGCAGAAGAAGACCACAGCTGCGGAGTCAAACAAGCAGAGGGAATCCAGGCACACACAGCACCGCGTGCTGCCTGTGCTCGCAAGGGAGCCTGCCGCTACTGCTGCTGCTGCTGCTGCTGCTGCTGCTGTCGCCGCTGCCGCTGCTGCGTGGTCGTGAGAGCTATTGTACAAGGAAACCCTGTCAGTCGATGCCTCCTCAACAGAAGCATCATCAGTTCCAGTAGCAGTAGCAGCAGCAGCACTACCACCACCTCCACCACCACCGCCGCCGCCACTGTCAGCAATAACATTACCTCCTCCTGCTCCTGCGCCTGGGCCTACTTCAGACCTTCCTTCGCGTGCTTTCCCTCCTTGCTCCTCCTCCACCACCCTCCTCCTCTCACTCCGCCCGCCTCTCTCTGAAAATATCAGCCCAGCATCAGCAGCAGCAGTAGCAGCGGAGGCAGCGCTGGGAGTGGGAGGCAGCCAGGGAGGCGGCAGGGAGGAGAGGGTTGGGGAGGCGAGGAGGAAAGCAGGAGTGGCGAAGGCGGCAGGGGGGACGGAGAGGCTGAACTGCCATACGGAGGAACCTACTCGCACCGCTCTGCACGCCTCTTTATGGAATGAGGAGAAGAGCTTGAACCAGCCGGACTGCAGTGGAGGTGCAGTTTGCAATTGCAGGGGAGGTGAGGTGACAGGGGAGGGAGGGAGGAAGGGAGGGAGGGTACACGATTGGGAGGGGGAGAGAGGGGTGGAAGAAGAAAAGGAGGATATGGGGTAAGATGGGAAGCAAACAGTGTTTTGAGACGTCCCATTTCTCTCGAGGACATATCCACAGGAAGAGGGAAAAGGTGTCCAATGGAATGCAGCTGCAGCAGCGGCAGCAACAGCAGCAGCAGCACATGCACAAGAAAGGATAGAGGGGAGGAAACACAGAACAAGGAAGCGGGTCGATCGGGAATAAACTCCAAGGACAACAGTTTGTGAGCCTGGGCGGAGTCATAAATCAGGTAAGGTGCGTCGTGCAACAGTTTGTGAGTGCGTGTGAGCATGCGTGGGTGGGTGGGTGGGTGGGTGCGTGTGGTTGGTGAATTGCGTGGGCTCACGAGAACAAGTTGGTGCGATTGTCGCTCAATATCCACTTGGCATGAGGCTGAACGGAGGAGAGGGATGAGCCGCTGCTTTAACCTGGTTTTGCAGGCGTGGCGGGAGACGCGAGTGTGTTTGGGTGACGGGAGGGGGTAGGTGGGGGAGGGGGGAGGGAGACGGTAAAGCAGGAGTGGGATCAGGTGCGGCAAAGGTAGCAGGAAGGAGGTTGGAATGAGGAGAAAAGCATGTTGAATTGAAATCCGAAGCTGGGGATAGAGGATTCAGCTAATGCACATTGAGGAGACGACTCTGTTTCTGCTTCATGCGGAGGGAGGGTAGAGCCTAGAGGCCATGCACATGTCAAGTGCATGGCGTCTTGGCTGGGGCTAAGTCACCACCTAGCTTGGCCATTGAGAGACGGATGTGATGTGGAGGGACGGATGTGATGTGGAGGGACGGATGTGATGCAGACAGGTGAATGGAAGGACGCACCGAGGAACGGGGTGTTGCGGGTGCAGCATGCGCACTAGGTGCAGTGGACTGATGGTGGGTAGACAGCGATCCAGGAGCGCATGCAGCTGACAGCATGAGAGTCGAGGGACGGGATGAGAGATGCGAGGGTGGGATGGAGAGAGGGAGAGAGGGGAGAGACAGAGAGAGGGACGGGGATGAAGGCATTGAGAAGAAGGCGGACAGAAGGCACATGAGGCAATGTTGGAACAATGATGCAATGAATGCTGAACATGGCTTGAACTACACCACCATGTGGCGGGACTTGAACGAAAGGCACATGGCATGGGACTGTACAATGCGGGGGCTGGAGGCCGCTTGGTGGATGATGGAGGCACACAGAGAGTCATCCCCACTGGTTGCTACCACTTGGAGTGCCTGTCATGCCATGCCATGCCATGCCATGCCATGCCATGCCATGAGATCCCGTAAAATCCGATGCCATGCCACACCATGACACATGCCACGCCACGCCATGCCATGCGACGCCATGGAGAGGAGTACAGGGAGTTGAATTGAACTGAGAGCTGGTTGCTCTCAAATGCACGGGGGCAGCAGCGCCCGTCCATGGCACTGACCATCGTCCTATGCTGAGCCACCATACCATCTTACAACACCTCGTCAACTTGGCACTCACCATCGTCCTATGCTCACACTGCGAGAATCCACCCACCCCACCAACTCAAATGGTTACGAAGAACAAGAAGAATCTTTGTTGTCACACCTAAACTCAGGGCTCAGAAACACGAGAAACAGAGTTTAGAATCTTTGCCATAGGGAGCTTTCAGTTCCAAAACAGGCCTGCTGCCTCTCTGTGTCTCGCCTCCCTCATTTCACCTTGTCAACGTCGCCCAGGGCGTGCAGGCAGAGGGAGAGCGCAGCGTGGTGGTTGCCCATGCGCTGCTGTAGCAGCACCATGGCGTGCTGTAAGCCCCTCTGCTGGCACGCCCTGTACGCCTGGCACCACCGGTGCCAAGGGGAGCGCGAGGGGGTGGAGAGGGGAGGGGTAGAGGAATTGGGGAGGTGGAGAGGAAAGGGAGGAGCGGATGGGATGAGGGAGAGGGTGAAGAGGGGTCAGGAGGAGGAGGGAGGGGAGAGGAAACTTTCCTCAGGAAAGGGATGGGGATATAGAACGAAAGTGCAAGAGGCAGTGGCAGTGCAAGCACTGACCATTCAAGAGTATGCAGATCGTAACAAGATAAGAGGGCATGCCATGCCGCATGTGCAGGCGTGGACGCTGTTTGAAAATGAGATGAGGGAATGCTGATGGTGCAAGCAACATGGGTGACTCACAGCGTCAAGCGAGTAGAAGGAGCTGCGGCGCAGGAAGGATGGAAGGAACGACGGCTGAAACTCCGCGTACAGGTGAACCTGATGAATCTCATTCCCAATGGGGCGGGTGGGGTGAGAGGAATGGAAGGGGCAGGGTTGAGAGTGGAGGGGAAGGGGGGTGAAAAAAAGGGCAGAGAAACGGGACGAGAGAGGGAGACCATGCGAGAAGGAGGCTGTTAGGCACATCAGATTGGATAGGACCACTGCAATCCACACTTTCGAAACGCCGTTAGCGAAAGGAAAGGAGAGTTCGGACAAGGCTATAGGTGCATGTGTACATGGGAAAGAGTTGAGATTGAGTGACACATTGAGATTGCGCAGTACTATTCTCAAAGCACACGAGTGCATGCTCCGCAGCTCCTCCCTCCGTCCGTCCCTACCTACCTGCATGGTGTGCCATCGCCTGCCCACAGCGGCGCCGCTCACGAACACCGTGTGCAGGTACCGGAACATGAGGTGCCGTACACACACCTCCCCCATGCCACGCACCACTGCCGCCTCCAACTCCTCCCCCTCCTCTCCTCCCTCCTCCCCCCCGTCCTCTTCCCCCCCCTCCCACTCTTTCTCTCCCTCCTTGCTCTCCTCTCGCGCTTTCCCCTCTCCCCCTTCCTTCCCAACCGCTCCCTCCCATTTCTCCTCCGTCACCTCCTCCCCACCCTCGTGTAGCTGTAGCTGTAGCTGTAGCTTGTGTGGTATTTTCCTGCCATCCACCCTGTGTGAGCCTGCTTGACTCCTTACTTCAGCAGCAGCTCTAGAAACACCATAATCGGAGGGAACAGGAACAGCAGCATCGCCCGCTGTTGTTGGAGAGTTCACACCCGATTGAGGCGCCGTGGCAGCAGCACGAACAGCAGTGGAAAGAGGAGGAGGAGGCGAAGGGTCAGAACGGAGAGCAAAGGGAGATGGGGTAGCAGCAGTAGGGAGGGCAGAGGGAGAGGGAGCAGGGCAGCGGAGGGGGTCCAGGCGAGCGATGCAGTAGACGACACGGGAAGGGGGCAACAGCCGCACTCGGGCGGACACAAATGCAATGCACCTGGACGGATCGACTGCCAGTAGGAGCGGCAGCTGTGTGGGAAAGGATGCACGCACATGGGGAAGGGAGATACACGGAAACAGGGAAACGAGGGGTGAGGGGAGGAGCAGAAAAGAGGGGAAGATGAAGAGAGGAGAGAGAAGAGAGGATTGTGATCAAAGGGTAAGAGTGCTTCAATTGCGGGAAGGCAGCATGCGACAAGGCGTGTGAGGGAGGGGTCATGAGGCAAGCATCGCGTGGCATGGCATGGCATGGCATGGCAGGGCAGGGCAGGGCATGGCATGGCATGGCATGGCATGGCATGGCATGGCATGGCAGGGCAGGGCATGGCAGGGCATGGCATGGCAGGGCATGGCAGGGCATGGCAGGGCAGGGCATGGCAGGGCAGGGCACCTGAGTGGTTAGGCAGGGCAGCAGCAGCGAGGCATGGGTGCTGATGAGGTCGTATACAGCATCCACCCGCCTCGCTGTGCACGGATTGGCCTCTGCCAACGCCGTCTGATTCCAGGCAGAGGGGAGACGGGAACACGGAGGAGAGTGCAAAGGCGAGAGAGCCGAGGGGGGAGGAATAGTGGGAGATTACTTAGTAAAGCATGTTTGATGAGAGGCAGGGCAAGAAAAATGATTCCGAAAGAAAAGTGGGATTCTAATGCACGGAATAGGCGGATTGATATGATGAGCATAGTAGAGTGAACCGAGAAAAGCTGAAAGGTGATAGCACTAGTGCCCAGGGAGGGAAAGGGAGGGGAGCAGATTTGAAGGGAGAAATAGCCTAGAGGCTCTAGGGACGGCGAATGAGAAGGGAAGAGGGAGGCGAAAGAGGCGACAAGGTACCTTGAGGTTATAGTATAAGAGCAGAGGGGCGAAAGAGGGGAGCATACGAGGAGGTAGAAGCGCAGGGCGTCTGGTATGTTGTTGCTCTTCATTGATAGCTCTGCCAATGCCTGCGATGCGATGACAGGCAGAGGTGATGGACGGGGGGGAGAGAGAGAGAGCAGCAGAGTGAGGCAGAAAGAAGCAGAGTGGGATGCATGCATTGCGATGCGATGCGATGCGAGCAGAGAAGCAGGAGCTCTGAGATGTCTCAAACGGGAGCAGTGAGTGAGCAGCAGAACATGCGTTCTTTGGGCGGACTGGCAAGCGCACAGCACAGCACAGCCACAGCCACAGCCACAGCCACAGCCACAGCCACAGCTACAAGCAGAGCTGCAGAGCAGAGCACAATTCATGAGACAGACAGCCAAGCCCCTTTCCCGTCCCGTAAAAGAGTCTCTTCCTCCCCCCCAGCAGCATCACCTCGAGCAGGGGCGCGGAGGGGCGAGAGTGAGCAGCGAGAGCGGCGTGGCGGGCTTGAGCGCGGGTGATGAGGGACGGCAGTGGCAGGATGGCGGGCGGCCACGAGCGCACGACAGCGAGGAAGAGAGAGTGGTCCGCAGGGGAGGGCAGGAACGCACAGAGCACCATCTGGAGGCAGCGGGGAGGGGATGGAGGGGGGGTGTGAGGGGAAGAATTCTGAGACGTTTCACAAGGCCACGAGCGCATGACGGCGAGGAAGAGAGAGTGGTCCGCAGGGGATGGCAGGAACGCACAGAGCACCATCTGGAGGGGGAATGGGGGGCGGGGTGTGAGGGGGGACCATTCTGAGGCGTCTCAAAAGGCCACGAGCGTACGACGGCGAGGAAGAGAGAGCGGTCCGCAGGGGATGGCAGGAATGCACACAGCACCATCTGGACGGGTAGGGGGCGGGGGGGTGGAGATGTGGGGAATGGGGGAAAGCAGGGAGCGGGTGCATGTGTGAGTGGAGGAAAGACCAACCGCATTGCCTAGAGCAAAGGCAAACACGCATGCGGGAGTAGGAATGTGGGAGATTTTTGAGACGTCTCAAAAATCTTCTTTATACACGAGGAATGTGGGAGATATGGTGGTTGTGGATCTTGATGCATGAATGACCGCACTTGGCACAGGTGGGTAGGCACAGCAGCAAGGCAGAGGCGCAGCCTGCCTGACCGACTGACCTCATAGACTGCTGGGGCGAGCTGGGGGTGCTCAAAGGGAATGTGCGGCAGCAGCACTGGCAGCTGATGCGCCTGTGCGAAACACACCACCCACCTGCATGTTGTGCACCATACACACACATGCACACGCACACGCACACGCACACGCACACGCACACACACACACACACACACACACACACACACACACACACACACACACACACACACACACACACGCATACGCATCATGCACACACGCACACACGCACACACGCACACATGCACACAGGCCCAGGGAGGACTCACAGGCCCAAGGGATGGAGAACAAGGGGGGCTTTAAACAGGGTGGTAACAGGGTGGTAAGATTCAAGGGTTCAGGAGTGCCACGCTGGAATGAGAGGTTTCCCGACTCCCCCACTCTGCGACAATCAAGAAGTCACTTCCATTTTACGACAAGAATCCTTGAAGCTGTCCCCCCACACTTCCGCTCCCCTCCCACTGCAACACAACACCCCCCTCCCCTTCACCCCCCTCTTCCCTCATTCCTGCCCCTTTTTTTTCCTCACTCCTCCCTGCCCCCATGCAGCCCCCTCACCTTTCCCAGGAGGCAGCGTGAGAGCGGAGCAGCTTGGGGCAGAGAGCAGCGGCCTGGTGGTACCTGCGCTGCTGCATCAGATGCTCCAGGTACTGCTGCCCCACCTGGTGGGGTTGGGTGGGTGGGGGTATAGCAGCGAGAGTGCAGGGAGAGAGAGAAAGGAGGACGAGGGTTGATGAGTGGAACGAGATGACGCTTGGGGCAGAGAGAGCAGCGACCTGGTGGTACCTGCGCTGCTGCATCAGATGCTCCAGGTACTGCTGCTGCCCCACCTGGTGGGGGCATGATATGCGTGCATGCAGGTGGGGTGGGGGTACGCGCGTGTGTGTGTGTGGGTGCCAACGAGGCAGGGAGAGAGAGCAGGGAGAGATGCAGGGCGAGGGGAGTGCGAGTGCTGGTGAGTGGAACGACAAGGCGCCAGGTGCTGCTCCCTGCTGCTGCTGTCCTACCTGACTGAGACGCGGGCATCATATCATGTCCCTGTGCCAGATGGCAGATGGCAGATGGCAGATGGCAGATGGCAGATGGCAGATGGCAGATGGTGTCCAAACACACGCCAGATGCAGAGCACTGTCTGCTGTCTGCACTCTGCATCAGGTCAGTGTTTGCTGTGAACCCTTGAGAAGACTCATAAGGTGACTTTTGAGCCGACTCAAAAGTGTTTGGTGTGAACACACAACAGCTGGTCGCCTTTCCCTGCTGTTCACCTAGCCTTTCCTCTCCTCACCTCTGAAAGCAACTCCAGTGTGATGCCTGTTAGCGTTCCCCCTTCCATCCCTGCACTGCCCGCAGCACCAGCAGCAGCACCAGCAGCGGCAGCAGCAGCAGCACCACCACCATCCGCAGCAGCAGCAGCAGCGCCAGCAGCCGCAGGCGCAGCACCATCAGTAGTGGCACTAGAAGCACCAGCAGAAGCGCCAGCGGCAGAAGCAGCAGGTGCAAGGCCGGTGGCTTCTAGAGCAGCATGAATGCGGCCCTGTGACAGCAGCCACTGCACGTGGTCCTGTGCATCCCTGCTCATAGGGGCGACAGGGGGACAGGCGAAGAGGAGGACAGGGGGAGAGGAAGACAGGGGGAGAAGCAGACAGGGGGGGAGAAGGGACAGGGGTGAAGGAGGACAGGAGGAGAGGAGAACATAGGCCAGACGGACAGGGAGACAGTTGACAGTGTGCATGGAGCGGGGGGAACAGAGGGGTGGAGGGATGGGTGAATTGGAGCATGGCACAAGGTGTGCAATGTGTTGTTAGTGAAGGGAACAAGATGAAAAATAAAGGGGCTGAGGGATGGGTGGAGATGGAAGGGAGAGGGAGAGAGAGTGGTCATATGGAGGGGAGGGGTGGGCGGGCACCAGGGAACAAAAACTCGCAAGTCTACACCACCACCAGGGAGAAGGGTGAAAGGGTGGCCTTAGAAGACGCGCCACAACGTCTCCTATCCACCACGTCACAGTAGAGCAACAACAACCAGAAACAAGGCTGGAAGAGAAGGTAGGGGGATTTGGAGTTGGACCTGGGGTGTGCAAGCACCACGTCTCGAGGGCTTAGCAGCACGAAACAAGGCTGCCACCCACTGCCCTCTGCTGCTGCTGCTGCTGTTGCAGTTGTTGATGTCGCTGCTGCTGTTGTTGCTGCAGTTGTGGTGCCAGTTGCGGGTGGAGCGGCAGCAGCGGCTGCGTGTGATGGCAGGGCAGGCGGGGAGGTGGGGCCAGCGGAATAGGCAGCCACGGCTGCAGTGATGGCAGGAGGGAGAGTTGCTGTCGCTGGTGGGAGGGAGATAGTGGAACGGGGTGATATGTGGGGGGGAGGAGAAAAGGGGTGGGGAGGAAAGGGATGGTGAGAGATGAGAATGTGTGTGTGGTGGTGCGTGCGTGTGTGTATGGATGCGTGAGGGGAAAGGAGGAAAACGCGGAGCGCACAGCATGTGCACTGAGAAGCGGTGAGCAGGAAAGACATACAGAAGAGGAAGGAGAAGCACAAGGCGAAGGAGGCGAAGAGGGAGTGGAGTAAGAGCAAGGGCGCACCACAGAGGGGAGAGTGCGCAAGGTAGTAATCTGCAGCCTGCAGGCGCTCAAAGCCTCTGAGGGAGAGGATGTCCGATGAGAGCTCGTGGTTCTTGAGAGACACCAGGCGCACCTCGGGCCTGAGAGCCTGCAGGGTGAGAAGAATAGAGCGTGAGGGAGAGAGGGGTGGTGGAGATATTTTGAGGCACGTTAGAAAAGAAAGAATGACAGGCGAGAGCTCGTGGTTCTTGAGAGACACCAGGCGCACCTCGGGCCTGAGAGCCTGCAGGGTGAGAAGAATAGAGCGGGAGGGAGAGAAGGAGGGAGGGAGGGAGGGGCGGTGGAGGAATTTTGAGGCACTCTAGAAAAGAACGAATGTCAGACATGAGCTCGTGGTTCTTACTTATTACAGAGGCAACGGCTATTTGATCCAGTCGGTTGCTAGCTGTGAGTTGTGATGATAAGGTCAGGACCCCGTACACCCATATTTGTACCCATGCCCCATGCCCTATGCCCCATGCCCCATGCCCCATGCCCCATGCCCCATGCCCCATGCCCATGCCCATGCCATGCGCATGGCCCCGCCCTCGAGTGGGGCAGGGCGTACCAGAGTGAGGGGCCCCTCGCCCGCACTGGGCACAGCAACAGCGTCATTCAGGGCCGTTCCCACTGCTGCCACCGCTGCCAGCGCTGCTGCTGCCGCTGTTGGTGAGTCCGGAAGCAAAACAGGGACCGCTGCTGCTGCTGTTGCTGCTGCTACTGCAACAGAAGCGGGTACCTGACCGCTGCTGCTGCTGCTGCTGTTGTTGTTGTCGTTGCTGCTAATGCCACCACTAGTTGCAGCGGATGCAGCAGTAGCAGTTGGAGCAGCAACTCCAGCTAATGGTGCTGCTGCTGCTGCTGCTCCTGGTGCTGAAAACGAAGCAGTGGATGGTGGTGGTTGTGGCGGCGGCACAGCAGCCAACGGGGAGGAGACAGTGGGGGGAGTGAGAGGAGAAGCGAGGGAATGGTGGGACGGGGAGCGCGAGCCGGAGAGAGGCGAGGAGGCAAGCAGCCCAGCAGCAGCAGCCGGCAGAGAGAGATGACCGGAGGAGCTAGAGAGCGAGAGAAGCTGGTGCGTGGTGGGGGTGGAAGGGGAGCGAGCGCTGACGCTGTTGCAGCTGCTGCTGCTGCGGCTGCTGCTGCTGCTGCAGGAGCTGGCGCTTCTGGAGTTGGCAAAGAAAGAGGAGGGCATGAGGTAGGCGAGAACGAGCAGGAGGTCCCCGTAGGGGGCTATGCCGGAGATTAAATAGTCGACTTTTAGGACTGAGGTGATTTCCATGTAGCGCGATGGGGACGAGGCAGAGGAGGAGGAGGGGAAGGAGGAGAAGGAGGAGGAGTAGGAGGAGGAAGAGGAGGTGGAGGAGGAAGGGTTGGTTCTGGAGCGGATAACGGCTACTTTGATGGTGTCCGCCCAGCCTATGATGAGCGTGCAGTCATCCTGTGGTGGTGTGATTGAGAGAGAGAGATTGGAGTTGAAGTGGCGAGGAGTGTGTAAAAAGGGAGGGGGGGGGGGGGGGGGGGGAGGATGGGGGGGAAGACAGTGAACAAGCGAAGCCGTGCGAGGGAGGGAGGAGGGAGGGAGAGAGGAGGCGGGAAGAAAGGAGGAAGGGCCAAGGCAAGCAGGTGGATGATGCGGAGGGATAATGGGAATGGGTGCCGACCGATTGGGGAATGGGAGGGAGGGCATGCAGAAGGGCAAGCGGGAGGGGGAGCAGGAGGGGGAGCAGGAGGGGGAGCAGGAGGGGGAGCAGGAGGGGGAGCAGGAGGGGGAGCAGGAGGGGGAGCACGGACCCGCCAGAAGAGGTGAGGAGGCAGCACGGAAGGGCTGGGGCTGCCTCGTGGGCGATCCACAAAGGCGAGGCGAGCAGAGGAGGCGACACAGTAGACCTTGACTCCACGGTCGTTGGCCCATGCTAGGTACGTGCCCCTCCACCGCACCACTGTTATGGCGCCCTCCCCCGTGTGCAGCACCTGGTGGGGCCGGGGAGATTGGAGACGGATGGGTAGATGGGGAGACGGGGAGTAAGGGAGAACGCGTGAGGCGGCTCAAAAGGCGAAGTACGTGCCCCTCCGCTCCACCACTCCACTGTGATGGCACCCTCACTTTTGCGACGTCTCAAAAGTCGCTCCAGTGCTCCACTGTGATGGCACCCTTCCCCATGTGAAGTGCAGCAGCTTGAGAGAGGAAGAGAGAGGAGATGTGGGGGACGAGTGAGGACACAAAGGAAAGGCACTGGCTCATTGCAGCACATACAAGACGCAAATAAAGAACATAAAACCCCTGCCTGCCCCACCATTGCAGCTGCTCAATCTGAAACCTTGCATCAAGTTCGCTGCCACTCCTACTGCTTCCCCTCCCCTCCCCTCCCCTCCCCTCTCGCTACGCACCTGATCCGTCGCCCCCAGCCACCCGCGTGTACTCAATATAAGCTCCCCCGCGACTCCCCCGGTGGCGAACTGGCGTGTGCGCCACACAGCACCAAACGTGGGATCAAGAGCAAGCGACCTGAGCGGGCGATGGTACTCAAACCTCTCCACCGTCTCCACCCCCGAGGACCCAGCAGCCGCAGCAGTGGGGAACGAGGCCGGCGGGGAGGACGCGGTGAGGTCAGAGGAGGAGGAGGAGAAGGAGGAGGAAGGGGAGGAGGAGAGGGGAGGTGGGGCAGTGAGATGGGAGGGAAGGTTGAGGGAGCGGATGACAACGGTGCCATCATCGGAACAGGTGGCGAGGTGCGAGGAGGTGGAGTCAAAAACTGCGTCTGTCACCGCTCCCACGTGCGGGTCGTACGTCTTCACCTGGAGGAGAGAGGGGGGGGGGACGTGGGAGAGGGGCGCAGGGGGTGCAGCAGTGAGTGAGTGAGAGTGGGAGAGCAGGAAGAGCAGAGAGAGTAGCGAGAGCAAGGAAATCAGCAAGAGGCGGGTGACTGACTGACCTGGCGGCCATGGTGGTCGACGACATGCAGAGTGCCCTCCGTGGTGCCCAGCGCAATCAAGCCGTGCGCAGAGAGCGCGACGCACGTGGGAATGGCCGTCTTGAGCACCTCGCTCACGTCCCCCTCCATCCGCTCGTACTTGAGCAACGGCTCCATGTCCCCCTCCGCTGCACCACCCCCCTCCCTCTCCACCACCACATCTCCCTCTCCCTCTCCCTCTCCATCCCCCTGGCCTTCGCCCTCCTCGAACTCGTACATGCTGTCACTGGCTGCTCCCTCGTGGTCGTGGCTGCCCATCTCCTCCTCATGTGACCGCACATGTCTCATGTGATCCTCCTCTGCGTCTTCCTCCTCCTCATACCCTCCCTCCTCTTCAACGTCCTCCTCCGCCTCCTCCTCTTCTTCCTCATCCTCCTCATCTTCCTCCTCCTCCTCCTCATCCTCGTTTCCTTCGTCGTCGTCCTGTTCCTCCTCCACCTCCTCCGCCGTCGCATCTTCCTCGCCCTTCCCTTTCCTCTCAGCTTCTTCTTCCGTGTTCCCTTCCTGCTGCTGCTGCCGCTGATGCTCCCCTCCCTCCGCCTCCTCTTTTCCCTCGTCCCCCTCTGTCCCCAGCCCTGAATCCTTAGAAGCAACTGCGCCTGTAACAGCCGCAGCCGCTGCAGCTGATACCGCTGTAGGTGCTCCATCAGAGGCTGCAGCAGCAGCGGCGGCAGCAGAAGCAGCAGACTGAAGCACCCCGCCCAACAGGGGCGGTAAGGGTATGGAAATTGGGAGTGAGGGGAGCGATGAGGAGGACAGAGCGGCAAAAGACGTCACTCCTAGACTCGCCCTACCGCCGCCGCTCTCCGGACCAGCAGCAGCAGCAGCAGCGTTAGTACCACGACCATCAGCAGCGGCAGCAGCAGCAGCAGTACTGGCAGTACTAGCAGCCGCAGTGGCACCACCAGCGGCCGAGGCGGAAGCAGAAGAGACAGAAGAAGACATTTCCGCGCTGCTTGTCGGCCCCACCGCCCTCTCCTGCAAATACCCCACCCCTCTCCCCTCACCGCCCCCCAACCGCTTATCACCCTCTTTGCCTACCCACACAGGAGCAGGGGGGAGGCGCCGTCTCCTTCCCCCCACCGTCCGCGCAAACACAATCTCATCCCTCCTCACCAGCGCGCTCCCCCCAGCAGCCCCCGCCACCGCCCGCCCTTTCCGCGTTACCATTTCAATTCCTATATCGAGGCCTATACCTGTAAGGTCTAACACCCAGCCTTCTCGCTCCCCTTGTTTTCTCCCAGCAGCGGAAACCGGCCGGTTGCCTTTGCTGCTCCTCCCTCTCCCGCGCGCTCCTCGGTTTCCACCCTTTCCGCCGCCTCTGCCTCCGTTTCTCGCCCTACTCCTTGCGTCTAGCTCTCCTGCACGCCTCGTGGTCGTCCCCGCTTGATCTGCTTCCTCACCGGAACGTACCACAGTGAACTCCCTACTCCGCACTCGGTTACCACGCCCAGAAGAACCCGCCTTCCCTTTCCCGGCGCCAGCAGCATAGCCGGTCCCCGCATTGCCATCCTCAGAAACTCTAAGATTGGAATGGAAACTCGGTGGTATTTGCAGCTGCCCAGGAGCTACGACGGCCCTTTTGCCGGCGGCCGCAGGACAACCAGAAGCTGGCGTCATCGAATGAGCGTCAGTTTTACGATAATCAGTGGCAGCGGCTGGTGCTGCTGCTGCTGCTGCTGCTGCTGCTGCTGCTATTATTGGGTTAGACATTGTTTCCGACGGAGTTTCTGCCGTCCGTGGTACGGCCTCTTCTGGTGAGCAGGAGCCTTGGCTCCTCTCCGACGCCTCCCGCACAACAGCTCCGTCATTTCCGCTTCTGCGGACGCTGCTGCCGTTATTATTCCTGTCGACATTGCTACTGGTGCAACGCGAATCGCCACCCCCGTCGTCCTCGGCTCTAGGACTAGCAGCCCCGCTTCTGGAACGCGCACCTGAACCCCCAACCTGCTCCATTCCAGTTCCGACCAGTCAGTGACTTCCATTTACACAAACTTGGTAGCATCGCATTTGTGGTATTGACATGGAACAAGTCCAGCAGGTGCAGTCCTACAGGACACACATGGTATTTAAGATAGTGGAGTTGTATGCGGTGTTTTGTGCAACGGCATGATGAGCTGAGCAGCCAGCTTGAAACCAGCATCTGATGTTTTTTTGGAAGATCAGCTCCTCCTGACATGGTGGAGGTGAGTGAAGATGGAGAATAGAAATGGTTTGATTTGATACGGTGCGCTACGTTTCTGTGCGGTATGGTGCAGTGCAATATATAGTTTTGTGTCGTGAACCAAACATTCTGACCTGGAAAAGTGGATGCAAGCGTGGGTTAGCGAAGTCGTGCGAACCCGCTAACTGCCAACTGGCTCGACGAAGTCGTGCGACGCACACACAAACACTGCCGCTGCGAGGGAGTGGGTGCCGTCGATTTCGCTAGCGGCTGTTCCGGGTCGCCTGTGCAGTGCAGGTGGTTGGACTGCAGAGGGCAGAACCCACAGCAGTTGGCGCGTGGCAAGGTTCCCCCTCAAGAGAACAGCTCCCCATTCTCAGGTATTCAGCAGGTATTTTGTTCTATCTGGCCATGCCTGCCCGTAGCAACCTGACCGCCAGCACGCCATAACTCACCAATAAAGAACGCTCTTCTAATACAGATGAAATAAATGTGCACTACATATAGATGCAAGCACAGCTCGTTTTTCAATCAATCGTTTACAATGCAGATTCTGCAAATTAAATGCATAAAACATGCCTCCTTATACAACTTATTTAAATAGAATATCTGATCAGAACAAACAATATTTGTTGTCAATAAGTGTTCATTCTGATTTCAAGAAGTCGATGAATATGCGGTATAATGTACAGACTCTATAACAAACTACGGTGATTGTGATAATCAAGTTTGCTATCAAAGCTCTACAAAATATGATAAAGCAACTTCATAGGCGTGCATGCTAATATATCATCACATGTATATGGAATCGTGAAAGCGGTAACGCTGTCTCTCGACAACCACTCGTCGCGATGTAACAACGTCTGCGACACCTCAAGTTCCGACCTTCGCGACGATTCTGACGTGGAACAAGGCTGATTACGCTGATGATGGGAACCAGTAAAACGCTTCTGAGCCAGCGAATGGGGATAGCCAGCGTGGACGGGAACCAGGAAGATTGGGTTTCTTGGGGATTCGGATAACGTGTCGCTCAGAATCTCGCTCTGTTTCGGTCACAGGTCTCGGTGTCACAGCCTCAGCTTTACAATAACCACTCCATTCACCGCTTTCAGCACAACCGACTCTCTCCACTTCCTCCAGCACACTCGCAGTTTGACACGGTCATCTCACAATTTGTAGCTATGGCCACCGTCGCTGCCGTCTCGTGCGCCTCTGCCGCCACCTGCTTCGTGCAGAAGTCTGTTTCCTCGAAGCAGATTTCCGGCCGTGCTGCCGGTACGCATCGTCCTGTCCACTTTCTGTGTCTGCCGACGTTCAATCTTTCCTTCGCCACTGCTAGCAAATATATATATCTCATTGTCCTCATTTCCCTACTTCATTCCTAAATGCGCTTGCAGGACTTCCCGCTCTCCGCATGTCAAGGGTGACCTGCTCTGCTGAGAGGAAGGAGAGGAAGGCTGTCCTGTCTGCGGCTACCGTCGCCACCTCGGTCTCCGCTGCTCTTCCGTCACTGGCTGCCGTCGAGGAGATTCTCGGTGGGGATGGTACCGGTCTCCCCTTCGGCATCAACGACTCTTCCCTTACCTGGGTTCTCCTCGGTGTCTTCACCGCCATCTGGGGTGCTTTCTATCTGTATGCCTCGTCGCTCCCCAAGACCGATGATGACTCTGGCCTTGGCTTGTAAGCGAAGCATCTCAAATTAAGCCAGTGGGCGTCTAAATACGCTGTAACTTTTGCACCAAATTAGTTTTGTCATATATTTTCGATGTAACGCTCGACATACTGAACAATGCATGCGTCATTCATCGAGCACATCGTGCAATCAATGGATAGCAGCGGACTAGGTTAACGCGCCAAATAAGCCATTTAATGAACATGCGACAATGGATCCTTTTTTGCAATTACGCTTAATAGAAAAAAAACCAATAATATCTTCTGAGACAAATCCAAGCACAATACCAGCAAACTAATTCAGTTGTGACATGACACAAGAGCCATGACCCTGATCTGAAGGGTCGTTTGTTGTTGGCACATACCGGCCATGAGTCAAATGCTCAATGTTCACGAAAAGAGCAACTCTGAACAAATGTCAGGGTCGGCAGAATGAAATGAGGTGAAAAGAGAAACTGAGAGTGTGCTGCAAGCAAGAGCAGAAGGGGGAGCTAGGAGTTGAAAGGGAGTTATCATATTTACAGTATGTCTGATTTGTCAGGTTCTCAAACTCCGTTACTGTGTACTACTGGCAGACCCTTATATTCGTTTTGGACCAGGCTGATCCATCAGCGTTCATACAGGAGGAAAGGGCTGATAATTAGCGTTGCCTAGGAAGGAAACGCGGAAAAGACAGCATGGAAAAAAAAATGTTATGCTCAAGCTTTTGTTTCCAACCTGAAAAAACATAATCTAACATTAAAATGGTTTATGGTTGGGTGTATGTAGATAGTGCCTTACACATAAATATATGCATACACCAATTTGTAGGTATTTGATGCTTGGTTAGACAGTCTGCACAATAGTTATGAGTTCCGCTCTGTTTTCTTGATCAATTTGGCTGATTTAAAACGTCGAAGGTTTTGTGCTGTAGGATCAATGCAACTGACGGTGAATAATGTTATAGAATGGAGTCATGTAAGGTAGAAACGATTTCCTCGACAGGAACGCAATCGGATTCGTCTCTAGTGAAATAGCACGTCAAGCAACTGGCATTTGTTGATGAGGCGCTCCGCCTGGGTTAGACATTCTCGTTTGTATCTCGTTCAAATTTGGAACAAAGTTGGATGGTTTGGGTCAAGGCCCCGTTTGAAGCTTCAAGAGCGACCAATTGGACAGTAATTTGTCGAAGCCGACTCGAAAATCCAAACCGCTTGTGGCTTCGACGCCCCAGCACCGGTCAGTCACGCGACCTGACCCTCCCACAATTGTAGGTCAATATTTGTTTGCCCCGGCCTGCCCGAGGCACCACTGTCCATCCTGCGTCAGCCATCTCCATTGTCGCACTTGATTCCACATCTTAACCGCTGTATTCTCAGCGGACCTTTCTAAATCCCTAATTATCTTACATAACCTTTCTGTGTCAAACCCTGAATGTGGGGTTCGACCCTGCACCATATTTTTCTGAAGCCCCCACACGATCAGACACGCGGCCTAGTAAGGGATAATCGACTGCTACAACAGGTAGGAATCTTATAAAGGGTTTCGCACGCGGTTCGACCAATCGTGACGCCTGGCTTGGACATTCAGTTGCACTGTACACATTTGCGACTCGCTCCGCTTCTGTTTGACCCCCCAAATCTTCCCTCCTCACACTGTTCGCTTTGCCACTCTCTCCTCCTGAGCTTCACCATCCATCCTTCCTCAACTGAACTTCAACATCCCATCCACCAAACCAATTCAACTCGACTCTCTGATGTGGACGGTCCGTCGTCAAATCCTCTAGTGAAAGCCATATCCAGGTTATCCCTTCCGTCACTGCCCTTGCCTCCCAGCGTCGATAGTTTCCTTTCGAGCACAGGAGCACTCAAGTGTCTGAGCCATATCAATAAACTTCCCGCAGATCCTGTCCTACGAGCATATCAATAACCCTGTGCATTGTCTCGCGATACCTTTGAACCGACTACGTCAAACATACTACACACGATCATTACTCTGAACCTCGTTTGAATCCGAACTTGCGACCCTACGAGAAAAGCATTTTAGCGAAGCAGCTGTCAGTTGCTGATCTCTTGCAATGAAGGACAAGTGGAACGTGCAAATTCCTCGGGGAAAGGTCAAGCCACCTTTCCGGGCAGCAGCTCGATCCAACCCACTCCATGTCAGCGGCGGCGGCGGCGGCGGCGGAAAGGTTTCCGCGAACGACCGTCGTATGTGGGAGGACGAGCGAAAACGTCTGGTGCGCGTTCCCAGGCGTGCGACGCACGGCGACGACGACTACGACGATTACGACGACGAGGACGACAACGACGAGGAGCAGGGCTACGGGGGAAACGGCCGCTCTTCCAGCGGGCGCGGCGGCTATAGCAGGGTCGGGAAGGTGGTGGACGACGAAGAGGACGATGAGGAGGGGTGCTTGTGGTGGTGCTGCTGCTCGTGCTTCAAATGGCAGCGCGTGTGCGGCGTGATGTGCGGGCTGGTTATCCTTGCGGCGCTTCTCTACGCGCTGCTTGACGCCAGCGACCTGCTCCCGGTAAGTCGGACGACCCGTTCAAGAGAATCGATTCGTGAGACGCCTTTATATTCGCTATCGGATTATCGTGGGCGCCTCATGACGCCTGTTTGACGCATTTCGCAGCACCGCTGGTCATTCTCGCGCTATTCTGCGTGCTGCTGGACACCGGCGACCTCCAATAATACGTACGGCAGGATGCGTTTCACATCGAATACTGAGACTCTACCGACCTGTCAATATTTGCGTATTGAGCTCAATCTTCCCGCTGCGGCATGGTCTCTAAGGCGTGGAGAGGGCCCCAGCCCACCTGTCTCAGCGCGACCTTTCCGCGCCTTCATTCCCCAACAATCCTTCACCTCGTTCCCCTTGTCCGATCGTGCCGTGTCTCTTCGCATCCCGCAGTGCGGCGACAAGTGTCTTCCCGCTATGGGGAGCCTCGGCCCGCTCTACCAGCGTGCGGTGAATGCCGCGCAGCAGCAGATGGGCGGAGCGGGACCGGCGCTCCCGAATACCGCGGAGGGCGGCGCAGGCAGCCCTGGAGTAGATGCGCAGTTTGCCACGCCGTCGGCTGCGGAAGCTTACTTACAGCAGCAGGCGTCTCAAAACGATGCGCTGCAGTATCAACCAGAGCAACAGCAGCAGCAGCAGCAGTCTATGGTTCACTTCGAGCCGCGGGATAGCGCGCTACTAGTGCCGCACACCCAACCGGTGGAGCAGCAGCAGCAAGGGCAGGAAGGGCAAGAAGGGCGCTTCGAGTACCCCTCCATACACGATAACCAGAATCATGACGCCTCTATGGTTGCCCAGCTAGGGCCGCAGGGGCAGCAGCAGCAGCAGCAGCAAGGGCCTGAGCTGCCGCAGGAGCCGCCGCTGGACATGCCGTTCGTGCCGCCGCAGAAGCCGCCGCTGACCCCGCCACAAGGGCCAGAGGGAGGATACGCGCCTCGGGTTGATGCGCCAACGGATGACCAGCCCGAATGGTCCACTATGGCCGGGCAGGAGGCGGAGGGGCACGTGGAAGAAGCGATGGCGGAAGGAGAGACAGGGGAGAACGCGGAGAATGCGGGGCAAGCGTTCACGGAGCAGGCTCAGGCAGAAGCGCAACAGGTGCTCGCGGAGGAGGCGCAGCAGCAGCCGCCCGCAGCGCAGTGGGGGGCAGATTCCGCTCAGGGTGGCGCTGGGACGTGGGGAGCGGAAGGCGGAGCGGGCGCCGCGGAAGGTATGCGCGGAACGGCGGTGGATGGGATCGCGGAAGAGTCGCGAGGGTACAACACTGGCGCGGGCGGGGAAGAGTTTGGCGCAGCGGAAGGCGAAGTACAGGCGGAGCGACAAGTCGAGGCGGAAGGGCTGGTAGCAGCAGGGGGGCAGTCGGAGGCGGGGAAGCAAGTTTCGCCGCAACGTCAAGGAGTTGCGGAAGGTACATTGGCGCAAGGACAGGAAAATCGCGCACGGACGGCGCTGCCAAGTGCGCCTGTTAATGCGGCGGTCGGGGAGGCAGCAGGCGGGTCTGCGGGGAAGGTTGCCGGGAGTGCAGGGCAGGCGGAACTCCAGGGGGAGGTGGAGGCGGGCGGTTGGGCACAGATTCCCGATGCACGTACTGGTTCGGGCAATGCGACAGGCGCTACGGATGTTCCTGCAAGTGCTTCCGTGGCTGGTAAAAAAGCCGCAGCTACAAGCAGTGGCTCTGGCGCTGGTTCTAGCACTGCTGCTTCTGGCCCAGTCTCTGCTACAGTCGCTGGTACTTTTCCTGCTACAACCGCTGCTGCCGCAGCCTCTGCTACAACCTCTGCCACAACCCCTACTGCAACCTCTGCTACAGGTGCTGCATCCCCTGCTACAACCCCTGCTACAGCCGCTGGTGCATCACAAGCGTCCGCCTTTGGACACGTGGCAGGCGGGGTTCAGGAGCTACAGGCGGAGGGGGAAGCCCGGGCGAGAGCGGAGCAACAGAGGAAGAAGGGGGAGGGGAGCGGGGGAGGTGGAGGCGAGGCGCAAGGAGATGAGGTCCCTGACGACGCCATGGCTGCTGACTTCCGCCCTTGCATTGAGCCCAGCAAGCTTGCTGCTATGGGTAAGTCATGTTTTTGAGGCGCCTTCTACATTTATGATGCGGCTGACGACGATATGGCTGCTGCCCGTTCTCCCTTGCATTGTGCCTTGCAAGCTCGCCCTCACACGCTGTCTCTCCCTCCCTCATCTTCCCTCCCGCCTTAATTGCCAAAAACTGTTCTCCCCCCTCAATTTGCCGCCTCCCCCACTTGTGTCCCTTCCCCTTGCCTCCTCCCCATTCCTTCCCCTCCCTTCCTGCATTCGTCACCTGCAGCTGCGCAGTCCTCGTGGCCGTATCTCGCGCTTTTGGGCGTGCGGCCAGGCTTTACACGTCAGCAGGAGGCGCTCTTACGTGGCTTGTGGGCGGCAAAGGCGACGGGATCCGTGCTGCTGCTGCCGCCCTTTTTCCTCAGCTTTGATTCGGGCGCAATGAAGCAGACGAAGCTGCAGCAGTACCTTGATACAGACAGACTCGTTACTCATGTGAGTGACACGTACTGGTTGCAAACTGGTTTGTCTCTTGTTCATTGGAATCTATCACTCAAATAAACATTCGTAACGTTGTCTCAAATTTCTATAACTTGGTCACACAGTCATTTGTTTCCCGCTCTCTGTGTCTCCCTCTTCGTATGTGTGTGTGCACCTTCTTCGTGCTCCCTGTGGTCTTGACATCTGGTGCAACAACAATGCTGCTGGGCTTCCCTAATCTCCACCGTGGGGTTGTTCTCTCCACCACCAGATGTACTGCGCATCCAGTAAGCTCCCAACCTTCTCCCTCCGTATTTTTCTACCCATGTTCTCCCCACGTTCCTCGCATCCCTTGCATTGCGCTCTCACGTAAATCAACCAGTAAGTCATTCTAGTGCCTGCTCTCTTTTTTTTTTTTTTTTTTTTTTTTTTTTTTTTTAATCACCTGCCCCTCTATTACTGCCTTCACTGCTGCAAAGACCACAACTTCCAGCCCACGGCTTCCCCCTCCACCTCTTAACCTCACCCCAATCACTGGTATGGCTTTTCACTCAAACTCACAATTCTCCCCTCTCCTCCCCGCTCGTCTCTTCCACCCTCCCCCCTCCAGAGTCCTGGGCAGTTGACCAGCTACCGGCCTCCATCATCGCCTCTCTCCCTGCGAACGCCACGGCTGGCAACATGCCGGCACTCATTCAAGCTCTGGGGCCCGCAGCCCAGCGCATCCCTGCCAAAGTCGTTGCTGCCTTGAGCGCCGGTGGCGGTAGCAGTGGTGGTGCAAGCGGTGCTGGTGGTCCCGGTGGTGATGCTGCTTCTGTCATTGCTGCTTGGAGTGAGAAGATGAGAGACGATGCTGCAGCTGGGAAGGTGAGAGCAGGGGGGCATGGGAGTGGTAGAGGGCATATGGGGTGAGGAGGACTGTGAAACTGAGGAGAGAATGAGGAGATGCTTGATAGTGGAAGGATGCTGTGAATCATAAAACAAAGCTTCTTCCCTCCTTCCCATCTCTCCCTGCCCCTTCCATTCATCTCATTCCTTCCCACCTTGGCACTCCCACCAGGTGAAGCTCATTCTCCTGGACGCAGACACGCCCATCCCCTTCACCTCACTCTCCCTCCCACCACTAACCTCTGCACACTTCCCTCCCTGTACCATCCCTTCCTGTGCCATCCCACCTCTCTTCCCCCAACCCCACCAGGTGAAGCTCATTCTGCTGGATGCGGACACGCCCATCCCCTTCACCTCGCGCGACCAGCAGCACCTGCGCCGCAATGGCCTGGCCGCCATGCGCCCTGCGCAGCCCATTGCATCGCTCTCCGCGCACCTCCTGCACCTGCTGCGCAAGACGCACGAGGCGCAGTTCGGCGAGCTAGTCGGCTTCTCCTTCGCTGTTGTGCACATCAATCCGGACTCGCTCGCAGAAGCCTCTGCCTTCGCAGCTGCTCCTGGTGGCGGTAGCGGTATCCTCGGCAACAGCAGCAGCGGCAGCGGTAACAACAGCAGCAGCAGTGGGAGCAGCGGCGGCAGCAGCACTGACCGGCTTCTGTCTGTCCTGCTCGCAGTGCTCAACCCCGCCCACACTCTCCTCTACGTCACGATTGGTGACACACCGCAGCGCGCAGCCATCCTGAACCGTCTCACCTCCGCCTCGTTCCACATCACCACTCGCGACGCCCTCTTGCGCTCCGACCGCTCGGCAGCAAGCTCCGACGCGCAGAGGCTCTTGTCTGCCCTCCATCCGGAGCATGAGATGCAAGCAGCGGTGGAACAAGCAGTGGCGAGGGAGGCAGCGGTGTTCTTTGGACCGGCAGAGTCGTCCTTCTCTTCTCTGGTGTTTGAGCTCAGGTGCTTCACACACCCGCCGCTGCTGGAGGGCGGGGAAGGCGTGGCGATGCGTGCGACTGTGTTCTACGATGTGGGTCCGTCTGCTGTGCCGTGCCGTGCTTGATGGATGGGGAAAGGGGAATGGGGGATGGGGGGAATGGGGATGGATGGTGGTTCTCAGGGTTAGTATGGGGCTGTACTGGTATGTGTTAATGGATGGGAGGGGAAGGGGGAAATGTGAATGGAGGGTTGTGATGGGGGATAGGAGATTGTATTGGGAGAATGCTTCTTGGTACCGTAGGTGCTATGCTATGCTAAACAGTGGTGCCTGAATCTGCACCAAGCTATATAGGTGTTATGCGATGCTTATACGAGTTTGCATCAAGGTTTTGGTTAATTACATTGCTTTCTGCTGTTTCCAGTCCACCCATGTATGTCTGAGATGCTAGGTTCACATCTGAGATGGACATTGTATAATGCCTCTTCATTGTCATGTATGTGCCCTAAGTGAGCGAATTTGTGCTAAGAGGAGAATGTTCATGAAGGTGGTGTGAGGGTTTGCAAGAGGTTAGCTTTGTGGGTGGGTGGAAGGGAGGCTCCAAGGGAAGAAGATTGTGAAGCGTCCCAATAATTATTTGAACGTATTGAAGCCAGTCTCTGAATTACTTGTATCCAGTCAGCATCGGCTGAAAACATCCGAACTGAAGGTCCAAGTTAGGCAGGATTGAATCCAGTCACATCACAGCGGAGCATTCAACCTGGTAGCATACCCAATAGCCCTGGGCAGGAGGCGGTGTGGGAGGAAGGCAGCACAACATGTGGGAGGTAGCGGTAGGATGGATGTGGGGCAGGATGGATGTGGGTACGCAGCAGCATGACCATGAGGCCGGTCAGTCGGTCCATCAAGGCAGTATACACAGTCCTGCAAAGGGCCCTGACTTGACGAGAGGGTGCACGTACCCTCCCACCATCACATGCTGTGGCGCTGCCTCTGCTGCTGCTGACCCTTGCCCTGCCCCACCCGTGCCTGCCCCCACTGTTCCTGCTGCTCCTACTGCCACTGATGCTGCTGCTGTTGCTGCTGTTCCTCCTGCTGCTCGTCTTGTCGGTGTGACTGCTCTGGTTGGCAACGCACCGCCCTGCAGCTGCTGCAGCGGCGGCTGTTGTTGTTGGTGCAGCTGCTGTTGTTGGAGGTCTTTAAGGACACCACTACCGCTGCCACTGCCGTTGCTGCTGCTGCTGCTGCCGCTCCCCCCACCACCAGCACCTCCATTACTCGACTCCACCCATCCAATCTCAGGAGAAGGTGAGCGGCTGGGACTAGTATGCGACACAAGAGGCATACACACACTCGCTGTCGTCCCTCCTCCGCCTTCTCCCCTCCCTCCTGCGCTCCCCCCTCCTCCATGCCAGCTTCCTCCTCCTCCCTCCCCTCTCAACCCCACTGCACCGCCGCTGCTGCTCCCGCTGCTGCCCCCTCGCGTCACAATAGTGGCAGTCAACGTCCCTTGGCTCACTGCTGCTGACGCAGACCGCCCAAAAAACCCTCCCACTCCCCCCCCCCCCCCACCACCGCCACCGCCACCACTACTCCCACCGCCAGAACCACCAGCATTCCCCTTCCCACCACCCCCTCCGGACCCTCCTGTCCCCCCTCCTCCCGCTCCACTCCCACCCGTTCCAAGAGACGGGGTTTGAGCTGAGGGAGCCGGGGGTGTGGGGCGGCGGAAGAGAGCAGCAGAGGAGGACGCGAGGACAGTGCGGTGCAGAGCAAACTCCTGGCGGTGTGCGGGCGAGTCGAGTGTGAGCTGCGAGTACCAGCAAGGCGTGCGGTCGCTGATGTTGTTCACGATCCACCCGTTGGAGGAGCCTGAGCCGTCACAGTGGTATGCGACTTGACTGCGGTATAGCGCCGGCTGAAAAGGCGGGGGGTGTGAGGGGGAGATGGCGGGCATGTGGGACATGAGAGGATGGAGTACCAGCAGGGCGTGCGGTCGCTGATGTTGTTCACTATCCACCCGTTGCACGAGCCTGAGCCGTCGCAGTGGTGGGCCCTACGGTATAACGCCGGCTGCAATGGGGAAAGCGGAGGGGAAGGTGGGAGGGGGATGTGAGAGGGGATGGGTGGGCATACATGAGTGTCAGCAGGGCGTGCGGTCACTATCCAACGGGTGGATAGTGTACAACATCAGTGGATATTGTGTTCACTATCCACCCTTGGACGAGCCCGAACCGTCGCAGTGGTAGGTCACTTGACTATGGTACAACGCCGGCTGCAATGTGTGGGGGGGTGGGGGAATGTGGGAGGGGATTGTGGGGCCCATGGAAGGGATGCGGGAACTTAAGAAGTTCTGTGAGGGCACGAGAGGGCGTAACTTAAGAAGGTGGGAGGATGGAGGCTTGGGAGCCGGAGGCAGTTGTAGTGTTATGTGGCACGAAGAAGAAATGAAAGGAGCGAAGGGTCAATACAGTGAGGCGAGTCAGAGCTGCGCTCAGAAATGGGCAGGGGAAGAGGGTGAGAAGATTGTGGGGAGGGAGAAAAGGGGACGAGAAGGGGGGAGGAAGCCGTACGTGTATACACAAGGTGCATATTATAGGACACATCCAAACAGGATGACCACCGAGCAGAACCACAGGGAGAAGCTCATAACGACATGGAACCTCAAGAGGCGGCAGCGGCGGCGGCAGCGGGAGCAGCAGCAGCAGCAGCAATAGGCACACCTTGATCAGGGCCACAAGAGTGGCTGTCGGCGATGACGCAACAGCCAGTATGGAGTAAGAATCCTCTAGAGCATTCAGCACGAGGGCGTTATCAGAGGACTGCTTCACCACCACAAACTTCAGCGCCCTGCTCTGCTGCCCGGCGCTACCACCAACGCCACTACCACCACCACCACCACCACTGCTGCTGCTACTGCTGCTGGTGTTGCTACTGGTAACCACGTGTGGAGTAGGCGTGATGCTGCTCCCATGCACATGCCCATTGCCGCTGTTGCCACTGCTGGTTGAGGCACTGCCGGAACCGAATCCCATGCTGCCAAACACGCTGGTGATGCTGCTGCCGCTGCTGGTGCTGCTGCTGCTGTTGTGGTGAAGGGAGGTCAGACTGCTGCCTCCGCTGCTCACGCTGCTGCTGCCGCCGCTTGTGCCAGCGCCTGCCACTACGCCCTCCCTGACTGCACTCCATACACCCACCCATCGGCCGTCCCCATACACGAGACACGTTGGCACACGATCGTGCTCCTCGAATCCCTGCCATGGCGGATCCGAGTGAAGGGAGGGAAGGGAGGAGGGAAAGGGAGGAGAGAAGGTGGGGGAGGGAGAGGGGGAGGGGGGGGGTGGGGAGGGAGGGAATGGGGGAAGATGTTTAAGGGAGGAGGGGGGAGGAAGGTACGCGAGGGCAGGCTGTGGGGAAGCGTGTGATACTGCTCCTCTCATACCACATGAGGGGGGAAGGTACGAGTGCAACGCACGCACGCACCTGCTGGAACATGCGGATGAAATCCGCGAGGCTGGTGGAGCACACGAGCCCCTGCGACGTTCGAGGGCGCGCCTCCAGGTTACAGAAACCAAAACCAACAAAGAACACACTCACAATACACGCACGCACGCACGCACGCCCGCACGCACCCGCTGGAACGTGCGGATGAAATCCGCGAGGCTCGTGGAGCAGACGAGCCCCTGCGAGAGCGCGGGCATGGCGCCGCCCTTGCTCATGACCACGAACCACTGCCCCGCGCCCTGCGCCAGCGCCGTCACGCGCAGCCCCTGCTCGGACTGGCGCACGATGTACTTGGACGCCGCGTCGAAGGACGAGAAGAAGTTGCACGTCTGCAGCGCGAACACGTGCGATGCGTACGCTGCGCGCCACACGTTGCAGCCGTAACCCACTGCCACGATTTGACTGGAGAAAAGTGGGGTTGGCGGGGGGAGAGCGGTGGGGCGGGGGTTTGGGGAGCGGGTGGGGAGGAATGTGGAGAGGATGTGGCGGGAGGGTGAGGAGTGGTTCGGGAAAGGGGGTTACAGGTGGAGAGAGAAGGAGGGAGGGAGGGAGGGAGGGAGTAGAGCGCAGGGAAAGGGAGGACAGAAGCCGGAGGGAGGAAATGGCGGCTCACTGTTGCTGCGGCCACCACCACTCTTGGAACTCGTTTCAGAAGGAGGAGCGCGAGATGGCGTCCCAAACCACAGAATCTGTGACGTCTCAAAACTCAAGATGTGATGTGAGACGTCTCAAAACAGGGGCGAGGCGAGTGAAGCTCACTGTTGCTGTGGCCACCACCACTCTTGGAACTCGTTCCAGGAGAGGAAGGAGGGCGAGATGGCGCCGGACGAGAGCGACGCCGTGGACACCACCAGGAACCACTTCCCGGGCAGCCCCTGCGCGATCGTCGTTATGAACCCCCGCGTCGCGCCCTTGTCCCCCATGGTGGCGGCGGCGACGCGGCACCGTTGCGATCTGTCGCCTCGAAATAACGCGAATCGTTTTCGAACGCCTTTCTGAGCCGGATGAAAACGACGGGTTCTAGCGCTATCAGGACCTCATGCAGCCAATTTACGCTGATAAAGCATGGCTTCTACAAGAGAACACAGAGGCCTCTGTTGTGGTGACAGAGGTCTCCGTTAATTACCTCCCCGCCTCCCCCTTCCCCTCCCCCTCTAACCCCTCGCTCGCGAATCGTTCGCCAGAAAAACCTTAGTTCCTAGCGGTTTTCTAGCTCGCAGCGATAGTGCCGTTGCTACTATGGCTGCCGCCGCCAGAAGGAATTGGAGGGTCAGATTCTGCTATTCTCCCGACGGAGCCGTATGGTGGAGCGAAGTCGCGGCATGGCTCCTCATGCGATGGCCCAACAAGACGTGCGCTTTGATGACGGTGAGTGACGGGCGGAGTGCGAAACGCCTAAGAGGAGGAGGCGTCGGTTCTTGGTGTGTGACGGTGCGAACGGTGCGACTGCGAGAGGAAAGTTATCATTAGGAGGTTTTCTCGAAAAGATTAGCGGGGCTAAATGAGGCGCTTTTGAATGCGCTGCGTGAAGCAGCAGCTGCAAGGAAGCTGCTGCTTGACGAATGCTTACAGGGTACGTTTAAGAACTAGGTCTATTCTGGCCGTGTTTCCTCACGACTGCGCCGAAATCGCTTCGCTATCTTTGCCCTAGTCGATACCTACTCTGAGCTATGTTGCTCATGGCTGTGCGGTCTGCAATTCTCTAGGGACGTCCTTGCCTAACAAAGCACCAGGGAGAATCAGTTTGGGTTGGGTGGAAGAGGGGGTTGGTGATAAATTCGCAAATTCCTTCTTCCAGTTTGACCATTTTCAAGAAACGACTTTCCGAAATCAATTTGCATGGTTCTTCCTCCAGTTCCTACCTATTGACGAGACCTCTCTCTAGCACTCTCTCGCATTCACAAGGTGCTGCTGAATTTGGAAACGTGAAACCACTCTCTTCCACGAGGGTATTTCTGGTTCGCCTCTAATATTTCAGGAAAGGGGAGCCAATGAGCCGGGACAAATCATGCGAACAGTACCAACGGTTCACTTTTTGTTATGGATGGACTCTTGAAAGCGGCATGTGAATATTGGCGTGTAATGGACTCATCCAGCAACTGCACAAGCATCATCAACTGAACAAGCATCATCAACTGAACAATGTTGCAATCCGAATAGAAATCCTTGAAGAAATGTAACGCCTTTCGCACGATAACTGAATTCGTGGCAAACTTCCCTGTCGTACTCGTGGAGATTTTCCACTCCCTTTCCTTTCCCCCCAGAAGCGGCGCCGCCCCACCATCTACTTCCACCTACTTTTCTTCTGTTCTTCTGGCCGGCCCTCTTCATACGAGGGATTTTGCCATTCACAACCGCCTTAGCAGACCCACGGACTTACGTGCAAGGTCCGTCAAACATGCTCTGTGCATTATGTAGCGTCACAGTTCGCGTATCAATGCTGAAAGTTGCAACACTTGACCCGCCTCCTAATCTATAACGTCAAACATAGCCGTCGTGTCGCTACATTTCCTGAGACTCGCCTGTACACCCTCCATGGCAAATCGCCGAGCTTCTGTCCGCGTCGCCACAACCGCGCTTCCGTCACTCCGACGTTCCCCTCCCTTCCTGCTTCTCCCTTTTCCCCCTCTCCTCGCCCTGCTCCTCCTCCTCGTAACCTCCCCGCCTTCCCTCGCGGACGACCTCCCCTGCTTCTTACGCCGCTCGTTCTGCTCTCGCGCGCGCCGCACTCCCGCTCCGCCGTCGGGCCCGCCGCCCGAACTGGCGGGATGCAAGGTGTTCCCCGCGAGCAACGTGTGGAACATGCGCGTCGACAAGCTACCCGTGCACGCCATGTCTAAGGCGTACCTCGCTTCTATTGGACTCGACGCGCACGTGCACGCGGATTTCGGCTCAGGTATTATCCGAGGCCCGTGAGATGACGGACTCAACCGTTATTGGATTTGTTTGTTTGTTTTTTTTCCAACTCTCTCTTTTCTCCCTCCACGACTCCTCCTAACATTAGTGTACCCAAGCACCACTACTCTCCCAACGTTCCCTTCCCTGATAATCCACAACTTCTTCTCTTTCAACCTTTCACAATCCCCTCCCGTCCCAACTGACAATCAGTCACCAAACCGTACCCCTTCTTTCCCGTCTCGTCACTTCCCCCTTTCCCTTCCTTTCTCCCTTCCTCCCTCCCACACGTCCTCCCCACTCCCTCCCGTGCACGCCACTGCAGGCCTGTGGGACGGCAACCCCATCGTCATTCCCGTGAACCTCGTGAGCAGCTCCACACCCACCACCTCACCCACTTTCTACTACCCGGATGAAAGCAACCCCTTTTGACTCGACTCAAAAGCACGTCCTCCCCACTCCCTCCCGTTCACACCACTGCAGGCCTGTGGGAGGGCAACCCCATTGGCATTCCCGTGAACCTCGTGACCAGTTCCACACCCACCACCTCGCCTACGTTCTACTACCCGGATGAAAGCGACCCCGGGCCGTACCCCATACCAGCTTCCCCGTTAGTGGAAGGCGGGTCGGACCACCACGTGATGCTGGTGGACACGGACCGGTGCATGCTGTACGAGATCTACGACTACTCGCAGCTCAACTCCCAAGGTCAGTGCTGGTCAGTGTTCCGAGATTGTGTCGCAGCAAACCACCACTGCCAGCTACTGCTGCTTAACTCGCTGATTCTCTCGTTCACATACACGGAACAAAGTCGCTACTATCTCTGATTGGTTTGTGTCTAAGAAATATGTAACACTTATCGACCTCCTCCTCCCTTTGTACGACCCACCCCACCCAACCCCCTGGTTGCAGTGTCAGCAGGGAGTGGCGCCATATGGAACCTGACATCCAACAAGCTCCGGCCAGCGGGTTGGACCTCCGCTGATGCTGCCGGCCTGCCGGTGAGAGCGGCTGAGAGTGTAGTGGGAGTGTGGTGGGAGAAAATGGGAGTATGGTCGAATGTTGCAGTGCCAGTGCCTGGAATGGTGGTGGTACTTGGAATCACAGTAAGCCCGTCCCTATGTCGAATCGCCTCAAGCACCTCTCCTGCCAACCATTCCTTGCTCCCTTCCGTGCCTTTGCACCACAGATCCTCCCAGGTCTGTCCCGGTTTGAAGAGGTGCAAGCAGGTGCCATTCGGCATGCACTGAGGTTCACAGCGAGCAGCACTCAGCGCAAGTACGTGTGGCCCGTGTCAAAAGTTAGAAGAAGAAAGAGGATTGAACTAGCAAGAATGAGGATACAAATAGCAAACCCTAGAAGGGTTGTACTCGCTATAGAGCACCCCACTACAGGCTAGAACAATAAGATAATATTCTGACACACCCCCATAGCCAAAGTGGGGTGTAATCAGCAGAGAAGGCAAAGCAAAACAAGCTCAGGGTGGATCACAATGTCACCACACATTCTGAGCACAAGTTCAAGAAGCAATAGTTCAAGTACACAATTATCAGCAAAGCTAGTGGTGGTCACAACGGGCAAGCGAGGAGGAGGAGTGAGAGCGAGAGGAGTTGGGAGGCGACGGCTGAAGCTGCAGACACACGGGCAACAGGAGGCACACTGGCTCAGCGGCTACCGGGCGAAGCCCCCGGACTACTGGAGTAACTGGCCCCGCGGCTAAAGTAGCGGCAGACGAGCAACGGACCCACGGGCGGCTGGCACAGCTGGCTACGACTGGGCTACCGGGCGAAGCCCCCGGAATACAGGTGCTGCTGACGACACGACGGCAACCTCCACTCAACCTCCCGCACACAGTCCAACCCCCCTCATACACACCCACTGCTACACCGCTAGCTCCACTCCCACGCACCCCCCTTAAACCCTAAACCCAGTCTCCCACACAACCACCCCCCTCAGCGACAGCTGCAGCAGTGGGAGACGAAGGAGGAGGAGGAGAAAGGGAGGAAGGCACACCGGCCACCCCCATACCCGCCACCCCACAGATCGCACCTCCCGTCGTCCTGTCGAGGCGACCTGAGGGGGCCGCTTGTGGCCCCCGAAGGAGCCGCGACAGGCGACGGGAAATGGGGGGGGGGAGGGGGGGGGGGTGTGGAGGAAAGGGCCCACCACGGACCTGATTGGAGGGCGGGGCCGCGACAGTCGGGGCAGGGCCGCGACATAGGGCGGGGCCGCGACGAGGGGCGGGGCCGCGACGTAGGGCGGGGCCGCTTCGAGGGGCGGGGCCGCGACGCAGGGCGGGGCCGCATCGTAGGGCGGGGCCGCGACAGGTCGGCGGCGGGGCCGTGACGTAGGGCGGGGCCGCGACAGTAGGGCGGGGCCGCGACGAGGGCGGGGCCGCGACGGTCGGGGCGGGGCCGCGACATAGGGCGGGGCCGCGACGTAGGGCGGGGCCGCGTCGAGGGGCGGGGCCGCGACGGTCGTGCAGGGCCGCTTCGAGGGGCGGGGCCGCGACGTAGGGCGGGACGCCCGCCGCGCGCCTCGGGGCGCACAGCGGGCAAAGAACCGCCGCGCGCCCTAGGGCGCACGGCGGGCAGAAAACCGCCGCGCGCCTCGGGGCGCACGGCGGGAAGGAAATAAAATCGCCGCGCGCCTCGGGGCGCACGGCGGGAAGGACAGGTAGCAGCGGAAGCAAGGTGGGGACACACCCACAGGATCGAGCCAAGGGGATCGACCTGCTCTGATAGCATGTCAAAAGTTAGAAGAAGAAAGAGGATTGAACTAGCAAGAATGAGGATACAAATAGCAAACCCTAGAAGGGTTGTACTCGCTATAGAGCACCCCACTACAGGCTAGAACAATAAGATAATATTCTGACAGCCCGCACGGCACTACGCCAGCAGCAACACTGACCGCAAGCAGCCCCCCATGGGCATCCGAGTGCGGCTCAAGAAGGTGAGGGTGAAAAAGGCTGCACGGCAGCGGGAACATGGGGGAAAGAGTGCGGGCGAGGGGGGGGGGGGGGGAAGGGGGGAGGAGGGAGGGAGAAGGGGAAGAGAGGGCAGCTGGATGAGGAGGGGAAGGTGATTTGCTGAGATAGCAGAGTGGAAATTGAGATGGGGTTTTTGACGTGGGTTGGCTTGTCAAGGCAAGGTGGTTGTCTTGTGGTATAACGCAGAGTTTGCTCTGGGAACTCATGTGAAATTGTATGGCCTGTTTCTCCATCACTGCTCCATTCCACTGTACTTACTGCCGCTTCACTTTCTTCCCTGCATGTCCTTCCACCAGTCCTTTGACACGTCCAAGTTCCCCCCTCAAGCCCGTGTTGTCCTGAAAGCACTCCAGACGTATGGCATGATGCTAGCAGACAATGGCTCACCGTGGTACATCACTGGTGTACCCAACGAAGAATGGGATAATGATGACCTGCATTCGCTCCATGGTGTGCACGGGAAGAACTTTGAGGTCGTGGATATGTCTCAAGCTGCCGGGCGTGCTGCTGCGATGAAGGTGTTGAGAGAATCATAATGCGCTCCTATTGCTTGCAATGGCCTGTACCGTACATATTGAAAAGATGCCCTATTCTAGCAGGTGCTTTGCTCCCATGAAAAGGTGCAATCTTATTCTCGTCAGTGTCATACCGTAAAGTTGAAAAGAAGCGTATGCTGAATTTGCCAGATTCTCCTTTTCCATCATATGCTGTTATGGTTCAACGTGGTACTTATTACTATGTAGTACATTAATACACCTCAGTCGTGACTGAAAGCGAAACCAGCACAAACGAAACACTTCCAAGCTTGCTTGGAAGAGAAGCAACAGACCAAAGCAAAGCTCCTCGGTTCGGCTGTGGCTGGCTAGTTCGTCCTCACACCCACCCAAAGCAGTCACTGTACATACACGTGCTCATATCTCAACCACACAATCATATTCTGGTTCGGCAGCTAAACGATACGTGAAACAATCAGATGTGCGTGGTTGGGAGGGAGCGACGACGACTCGAAGAAGTGCGGTGATACTGTACGTACGTCATTTCCATACATGCGATGCGACCATTGCTGCGAGGAAGATATTGTGGCTCTTGTGAATAACCCGTATGGTGGGCAAAGGGTTTCCATTGGTCTGCTGGTGTCATTCTGAATCATTCCATGTCCAGCCTAGGCCAGGCCCATGCACTGACTGACAGATGCGTACATGCCTCACTCTCTAAAACAGCGTCTGGCTCGGTCAACCTCCAGACCTTTCCCTAGCCTCGTCATTCAGTGCTTCAAAAGTTCCTACGTCACATTATCACACAACATCAGCCCCCCCACCCCCCTCGCCTCCAGCCGTTGCAAATTGCACGCGGGCCTGGTAACCACTTCGTTATGCCATTTCGTGGAGTCGTCGCAACACGTCTGGCAGGGTTTCTCCTCCACGCATCTGGTCGGCATCTGTGCTTGGTTGGGAAGAACCTATCTGAGAACCTGATGGTTGCCAAATGCACCGTCATATACCGATGTTGCCCTTATTTCCACCACTTCAACACATCTTCAGTCAAAAGCCCGAGCTTCCTGCTACTGCTTCCACAATTGCAGCCGTTTCCACCACAACTTTCCAACAGCGGAGATACGCCTTGTGGCATCCGTCTCCTCTCAAGGTCCTCCTTGCTCTACTGTTTTCTAAGATTCGCCAAGTTCCTGAGCTCCGTAGTCTTCCGCAAGCGGGCGGCCATTTAGGATGGCCTTGCAAGGGGACGGAGAAACAGCTGCTACTTACCCTCAGAATCGCTTTCCGCGAAGGCAGCCATTACCATCAGATTAGGTTGGACGCGTACTCATCCATTGCATCCGAAACCAGCCTAGAATCAGCCGTCGCGGAATTCGCGCATGACTGTGTAGCAATCAGCCCGTCCTCATATGCTCAGTGGCCGGCCATTATATTCCGTTGGAAGTGTTCGTTCTCTAGTACTTGAATTCCTCTTATGCTGGCCCCAGCAGCACCAAGCGTTGGCTTTTCTTCCAGCCGTTAGGCGTTTGCAGTTTTTCTGAGTGGATTTGTTCTGCTAGCCGAAGCTGTATTTCCACATTGCGTCGTCGCCCCTTTTCAAGACTCGCCATTTAGGGTTCTATCTCAACCATCTCCCCAACCCCCCGCCCTCCATCCGTGGGTTTCGAACCCTTTTTGAAGCTGCGATTCTCACGGGCGCTATTGGATACCAATTTCTCCCGTTGCGCGACCTTAGGATCTCTTAGTCCGACAGGCTGGACGACCTAAAGTGCTCGTCGCGTGCTGCTGTTTCCTCGTCTGCAGGAGCAGCTCCAACAGCTTCTGCAGCAGCAGCAGCAGCAGCAGCAGCAGTAGCTATGCCCGTGTCTCCCGGGGGCACTCTTGCCCCCGCCGCCATAGTTCGGCTTCGCAGCGCCGCTGCGACCTTCCAGAAGCTTCCTCTCGGCTTCCTTCCCCCCGGCGGACCAGGCGCCGCGGTTGTCTCTGCGGCGACCCGTTTCATCGCCCGCTTCAGCAAGCGGGACGGGCATAAGAAGGTCCGGAAAACCCGGAAGGCGACCAGGAAAGCGCGTGTGGGCGGAGACGGCACTGTTGAGGGGGAAGATGATGCGGAGGAGGAGGAGGCGGAGGAGGCAGAGGAAGAGTCGACCCGGTTCAGTGCGGTTGGCCGGCACGCCGGCTTTGCGCAAGGACAAGGAGCTGCTCTTTCTTTATCCCCGTCTGGATTAGGAGCAGGATTAGGAGGAGCGATAGGCGCAGGGGCAGGGGCAGGGGCAGGGGCAGGAGCAGGAGCAGGAGCAGGAGCAGGAGTAGCCATGGCGAACCTTTTCGTGAATCTCCATCCTCGTCTGCTTCTCGCGTGCCGATCCAAGCTGCTCGATATAGGAACGCGCCTGTTCGCGCCCTCCTCCTCCCCCTCGACCCCGCTCTCTATAATCACCCTCCGCTCCGCACTCCCGACTCCGGCGGGGCCCTCCGGGCCGCGCCCCTTCCGCGGGGCAGCGGGGCTGCGCCCGCACGGGCCTGGCGGAAGCACCCACGCGCATGGCGGAAGCGGAGGTGGTTACCACCAGCACCCCCGCGGCCCTTCGTCCGCTCGGTCCGGCACGCCTCGAGCCTCGGGAACAGGAGGCTTGGAAGCTGCTTTGGACGATGAGAGGCTGGGTAGGTCTGGGGGTAACAGTATTGTGCGAATGGGAGGAGCCATGTCTCATTCTCGCCAGAACCATCACAGCTCTGCCCAATCCTTCCACCATCAGCGTCATCAGAACCAGCAGCACCATCAGCAGCAGCACTATCACCACCAGCACCATGCTTCTGCGCGCTTGTCGGGAGCTCGCGCTGCCGCGCTGGTCGTTCCGCCGGCCACAGGCGGGCTTGCTTCCGCCGGCTCCGCGTCTGGCGCAGCAGCGGCTGCGGCTGCCGCCGCCGCCGCTTCCGCCGGATTCGGTTCTTCCGGAGGCTCCGCGCACGGCCCGTTCCGCGGGGGAAGCCGCGCGTTTGGGGGAGTCGGCAGTGCGGGGGACTTGGGGGGGCGCGCGGGGCCTGCGGGTAGAATCTCTGGCGCGGGTGCAGGCGCAGCTAGCGCAGGCGCAGCTGGCGCAGGCGCTAACTGGTCTAGAGCAGGGGGCGGTGAGTTGAGGCGAGGAAAAGGAGGGAAAGGGGGAGGAGGCGGAGTGATGACCACGGCGGCTGTGGCGGCATCAACGGCAGCGGCCTCAGCGACGGCAGCAGTAGTGGGAGTGGGGAAGGCAGCAGGAAGGATCAGTGGCGGTACGGCGCTGGCTGCTAGCGCGACGAACGCGGCGGCAGCGGCGGCTGCCGCGGAGGCTGCGGCAGCAGCCGTGGCAGCGTCTGCGCGGAGTTTTGCTGAGGCCAGCGTGCCCCTGGCCATTGGCGGTAAGTACGTAGCCACGTTAAGTTCCCTCCTTTCCTGCTTGTTAGGTTCCCTCGTTTCTTGCTCTTCCCCAGGTTTTACCCTCTCCACCCTCGTCCCGGCCCCGCACCCGTTCCCCTCTACCCTTCCCCCCCGTCCCCCACTTCTGGGCCGTTGCAAAAGACTTAACTCAACGCAACTCACCTCACACACATAACCCTAACCCAATCCGTGACCTGGTGTTCCGTCCGTGCAGCTTTGGGCGGGGACTTCAGCAGGAGGAGGCCTGCGCGCACAGTGTCCAAGTTCCACCATGGGCGAGTGGGCCCACACTCGGGCAACCACAGCGCCGCTGCTGAGGCCGTGGTGCAGGAGATTCTCGCTCTCCCGGACCCCTTCTGCTACGGCAGTAGCAGTAGCAGCGGCAGTGGCGTCGCCACCTCTCCTTCTTCTGCTTCCTGCGGCAGCAGCACGTGCAGCAGCAGCAGCAGCAGCAGTAGCGGTGGGGACAGCAGCAGCGACAGCAGCAGCAACTGCAGCAGCGAGGACATGCAGGAGTGCGACGTGCTGCTGTCACAGGTGCTGGACCGATGGCAGCGGGAGCAGCAGGGGCAGCAGGGGCAGGGGCAGCAGGGGGCAGGAGAGCCGACGCTGGCGAACTGGTCGTACATATTCAGGGAGCTGGGGAACCGCGGGCAGTGGCAGAAGACCCTCGCGTGCTTCAACTGGCTGCTCGTGAGTTGCCTTGCTTGCTTGCTTGCTTGTGCCTTGCTTAAGGAATTGTCGATTCTGTGCGTGTTACCGCAAGAGTGTCCTCTTCTGGTCGTGGTACCATGCGAGTTCTCAACATGTGAGAAGATCTTCCCCTGTCCACGCACGATCCATTCAAAGATCGCACCATCCCTATCAACACCCCCCTCTTCTTCTCCCACGTCCTGCTCCTCCCTATTTCTCTCTCCCACAGGAGAGTCCGCGGGTGAAGCGGGGAGGGCGGGGAGGGGCGGGGGACTGGGCGAAGCTGGTGAGCACCACGATTGCAGTGCTGGGCCGCCATGGCCAGGTGGACGCCGCTCGCCGCGTCTTTGACCGCGCCCGCGCCTTTGGTGTGCCGCCCAACGTCTACGCCTTCTCTGCGCTCATCAGTGCCTATGGTGAGTGAGTGGTGAGTTGCTTGCCAGGAGGCGGTTGCAGTTTTTGTGTTTTTGTTTTCAGATGCTGCTGCTGCCGCTGCCGCTGCTGCTGCTGCTCCTGCTTTTGTGGCTGTAACAGTCGCCACTACAGCAATGCCCCCTCTCTCCCCCCTCCACCGTGCCGTCTCTCCCTTCCCTCCCCACGTGTCCCATGAGAACAGGGCGCAGTGGGCGCAGCACGGATGCGCTGGCGCTGCTGCGCAGCATGAGGGACGCAGGGTGCCGCCCCAACCTGGTCACGTACAACGCCGCCATTGACGCGTGCGCCAAGGCGGGCGGCGCTGCTGGCGCGGGCGAGGCGGAGGTGGCGCGCGCATGGGCGCTGGTGCACGAGATGAAGGAGCTGGGCATCGCACCTGACCGGGTGGGTGAGAGGGCAGGTGGAGGGGTGGGTGGGTGGGTGCGGGGATGCATGCAGGGTGGGTGCGGGGATGCATGCAGGGTGGGTGCGGGGATGCATGCAGGGTGGGTGCGGGGATGCATGCATGCAGGGTGGGTGCGGGGATGCATGCATGCAGGGTGGGTGCGGGGATGCATGCAGGGTGGGTGCGGGGATGCATGCATGCAGGGTGGGTGCGGGGATGCATGCAGGGTGGGTGCGGGGATGCATGCATGCAGGGTGGGTGCGGGGATGCATGCATGCAGGGTGGGTGCGGGGATGCATGCATGCAGGGTGGGTGCGGGGATGCATGCATGCAGGGTGGGTGCGGGGATGCATGCAGGGTGGGTGCGGGGATGCATGCATGCAGGGTGGGTGCGGGGATGCATGCATGCAGGGTGGGTGCGGGGATGCATGCATGCAGGGTGGGTGCGGGGATGCATGCAGGGTGGGTGGGTGCAGGGATGCATGCAGGGTGGGTGGGTGCAGGGATATGTGGAGGATCTTTTGAACCTCTCTGTGGTGCGTCCATGGGCGCTGGTGCACGGGATGAAGGAGCTTGGCATTGCTCCTGAACGGGTGAGAGTGCTGGTGGGCGGATGGGTGTGGGGATGGGTGGAGGGATCAAGAGGAAGGGGAAATGGAAGGGAAGGGACGGGACGGGAAGGGAAGGGGACGGGGAGGGGGAGAAGGGCAAAAAAGAGATGAGTGGTGGCGGGTGGGTGGGGAGGAGGGATGTGTGAGCGAGATAAATGGGGAGCTTTTCTTATGCTGTTTACAGGGTACTTGATTCTTATTTATGCTGCAACGCCGCTAAGGGCGTGTTACATTTTTTAAAAGCCATTAAAGTCCGGACAACCGTCCGAAACGGTTCACATTTGGAACATTGGGCAGTCCGAATCCAGCGGCCGGACTAAGCCTCGTCCGACGCTGTTTATGAAACTTTTTCAAACTTACGAGAGTTATCGAGCTGTATCCGCGTCACGAATTTATCACGAAGCAGGTAACACATGTCGATTACCAATAAAATTGCGGCACTGTTCAGTTCGTCCATTTATAGAACGGTAATCGTCCGAACGATTTGGAAAGGCATTTCACGCAAAATGTTGCATCAACGGTCCGATCGTTAACGACGTCGCAAGTGATCCAACGAATCAAAAGACGATTTATAACGAAAACAGTAACCGCTAAAAAGTCCGGACGACTGTCCGTCCGGAAGGGCTAGAGTTAAAAATGTAACACGCCCTAATACTGGTTCCCCCCTTTCCTTCCGTTTCCCCAATGCGGTGGATCCCCCCCCCCTCGTGGATCAGATCACGTACAACTCACTCATGGCGGTGTGCAGCAGGGCAGGCCAGTGGCAGGAGGCGCTACGGGTGTTCGAACTCATGGGGCAGGAAACCTGTGCCGCCACCGCTGCTGCTGCTGCTGCCGCCGCTGGTAATAGTGCTGATTCCACCGCTTCTGCCCCTGCTCCTGCTGCTGCGGCGGGAGGTTCCCGGGGCGGGAGGAAGGAGCAGCAGGGGCAAGGGGGTCGGCGGCGGGGGAAGGAGGGGGGAGAGGAGGAGGGGGCAGTGCCATTGGTGCGGGACATATTCACGTTCAACACGCTTATTGACGCGCTCTGCAAGGCGTCCCAGATGGACGCTGCTGCCGCTGCCTTTGCCTCCATGGCCCAGTCTGATGTCACGCCTAATGTGGTGCGTTCTCCTGTACTGCCAGCTGCGGTTACCATCACTGCAGCGCAGTGCTGTGCTGTGCTGTGCTGTGCGGTGCTGTGCAGCTAAGATCACCAGTGCTTCCCGCTCTGGTTCTTTTCTCCTCTTCCAACCCTCCCCTCTTCTCCCCCCTCCCCGTCCCACGCGTGCATGCCTGCCTGCAGGTGACGTTCAGCACGATGATAGACGGGTATCGCAAGGTGAACGACCTGTCCAGTGCCATCAACGTGTTCCACACCATGCAGCATGCGGGGGTGCGCCCTGACAGGTACACCCACACCACGCTTCCTTCCATCCTTCCTTCCATGCTTCCTTCCACGCTTCTTGCACATAACTACAGCATGGCAGGGCGGCTGCCAGAATAGGATGTCCTAGGCGCCTTCACAATCTATTCAACCCCTCCGTTGCTCTTCTCCCCCTCCCAGAGTGACCTACAACGCGTTGCTTGACATCTACGGCAAGGCGGGGTGGCTGAATGAAGCCATAGCGGTGGCGCGTGAGATGGAGGCGGCGGGGTGGCGGCTGGACGTGGTGGCGCACAACGCGCTGCTGGACGCGTACGGCAAGGCGGGGCGCTGCGACGAGGTGTCAGGAGGCCAATCTAAAAGCCCTTCCTTCCATCCCCCTCTTTCCCCACTTCCGCCTCTTGGCAACTCCAATGCTCCCTTCCCCTCCGCTCCTTTCCCCCTTTCCCAGGGTGACCTACAACACACTCTTAGACATATACGGCAAGGCAGGCAGGCTGAATGAAGCCATAGCGGTGGCGCGTGAGATGGAGGCGGCGGGGTGGCGGCTGGACGTGGTGGCGCACAACGCGCTGCTGGACGCGTACGGCAAGGCGGGGCGCTGCGACGAGGTGATGCGGCTCTTCCACGCCATGAAGCGCCAGGGCCTCACGCCCAACGTGCTCACGCTGTCGGCGGTTGTGACTGCGCTGTCCCGCGCGGGCCGGCACCAGGAGGCGGCAGCGCTGTTCCAGCAGTACCGCGACATGGGGCTGCAGGTAGGGCTTCACTCCACCGCAAGCCTCTCCCCTCTGTATTCTTAAGGATTCAGGCTCATAGTGGAGTAGCAGCAAGCAAACCTGACATATTCACCAGTAGGCGGCGGGGCTCTTCCAGCAGTACCGCGACATGGGGCTGCAGGTGGGTTGATTATATTATATGTATATGTGCATGTGCATGTGCTTGTGCATGTGCATGTGCATGTTGTGCATGCGAATGTGCATGTTCATGTGGATGTGCATGTGGATGTTCAAGTATATGATCACAGGTATGTGAGTGTTATGTTTATGTGCATGCTCGTGGGCTATGTGAGTAGGTGGACGTGGTGGTCTATATAAACCACAGAATGTGGACGTTGATGTACACTTTTCCGTGCATGTGCATGTTCAATGCCATGTGTACATGCATGCACATGCACATGCACATGCACATGGGCCATGTGAGCAGGTGGACGTGGTGGTGTACAGTGCGATCATAGATGCGCATGGCAAGCAGGGCAAGGTGGAGGAGGCCATGAGTGTGTTTCGCCAGATGCTGCACGACGGTGTACAGCCCAACGTGGTCACGTACAATTCGCTCATTGACGCCCTCGGCCGCTCCACCCAGGTATGGCTGTCCTTTGAGTCGACTCAAAAGTCACTATGCTGCACGACGGTGTACAGCGCAACGTTGTCACATACAATTCGCTCATCGATGCCCCTTGGTCGCTCCACCCAGGTATGGTTGTCGTCCCTCCCCACCCCCCTCCCTACCTTTCCTCCTCTGCTGCCTTCCTGTTGTTGTTGTTGTTGTTTCTTTCTTTCTTTCTTTGCTCGTTCGAACTCTTTCACATGACCGTGCATGCATGTATGCACCCTTGTCCACTCCCAAGTGTTTCCACCCGCACATGCACATTGACACATGCACGCACCGGCACAAGCTGTGCCATTCTGCATGCGGTGTTTGGTCCCTCAACCAGGTGACGGCATCTTCACAGCCAAGCGAGGCACGGGGCAAGGGTGGCAAGAGGAGGGAGGAGGTCAGGGGGGCAAAGACACATGAGCAGAATGCAGAGGACGCGGAGGCTGCGGAGGAGGAAGAGGAGGAAGGGAGGAGGGAGGTGCGATTGGAGGCAGCACTGCGCATGTTCCGAGAGATGAAGGCAGCGGGTGTTCGCCCCAACGTCGTCACCTTCTCTGCCATGCTCTCCACCTGCAGGTGGGTGTGCCTGCCTTTGAGTCGACTCAAAAACCTTCTCTGTCATGCTCTCCACCTTCCCTGTGTGTTCTCTGTTTGCTCTCCATGTGCGATTGACTGTTCCGCTGCTGTGCGCCTTGTATAATGGACTGGTTGAGGATTTGTAAGAGCAACGCCTACGCTGCGGGTGTCTGTGGCTGCTCTGCCTGCCAATTCGTCCCCAGTCCCCTCACTCCTCAATCACCCCTTACCCGTGCTCCCTACACCTCCTCACTCTCTTTCTTTCCCGTCTTGTCCCTTTTGCTATCCTTGCGCAATCTTCTCGTTGTCTGCCTCGACCTGTCCCTTCCTCCATATTCCCCACTTTCCGCCTCCGCTTCTGCCTTCCCTCCCACGCACACCTCTCTCAGCCGTCTGTCCAACTGGCGAGATGCGGCCCTGCTTCTTCGCGAGATGGGGACCACGTTTGAAGCCGCTGCCGTCCCCGCCTCCACTGCCACCACCACCACCACGACTACTGCTGCCGCTGCCGCTGCCACGGCTGCTGCAAGTGCTTTTGGCGGGGCTGCAAGCAGCAGTGAGGCGAGTGCAGGGGTGTACGTGCTTGCGGAGGCTATGCTGCATGGGTGCGTGCACGCGGATGGTGGGGAGAGCGTGGAGGACGAGCGAGAGAAGGAGAGTGTACAGGCGAGGGAAGAGGCGCAGAACAGCAAGATTTCGAGCAGCAGCAGCAGCGTCAGTAGTAGCAGCAGCAGTGGTGGTGGTGGCGGGGAGCTGGTGAAGGGAGTGCGGGTGCTGTCACGGGGCAAGGTGGGCCAGCTGTTTGCGGCGGTGGCAGCACTGGACTCCTCCACCTCCATCGCCTTCTTCAACGCTCTCAACGACCTGCTCTGGCGATTCAACCAGGTACTGCATGCTTTGCATGCCTCTTTTAGAGCTTTGCATGCTTTGCATGCAGTTTTTAGAGATTTGAGATGCCACTCAAGCTCCGCACACTCGGGTCTTGTTTCCATCTAGGGGGGAAAGGCTGACAACCGTGTTGACTTTCAAAGCACTTTTAAAAATCACATCAAATCTACATCATCACATCACACGAGTGCATGGTCTCCTCACCAGCATCACACGCCTTGCCTCCGTTCCCGCATATCCCCCCCTGCACCTCCTCCCCTGGGTAACAGAGGGCGCAAGCGGTGAGGGTGACGCGGGGGGCGAGGCGAGTGGGGGTGTACGAGGGGGCGGTGTGGAGCAAGGCGGAGGCGCAGGAGTGGGTGTTGGACCTGCACCTCATGTCCGTCGGTGCCGCCATGGCCATGCTCCACCTCTGGCTGCTCGACCTACAGCAGCTTGTGCTCTCCTCCCACCCTGGATCCACCTCTGCTACTACCACCAGTGCCAACAATGCCGCCAGCAGCAGTAGCAGCAGCAGTGCCGGTGCCGGTGCCGGTGCTGGTGGTGGTAACAGCACCAACCCGTTACCGCGGCTTCTTAAGTGAGTGGATCTTAGCACACCAGCCAGACAAGTGGTTAGGGTAGAACCGAACGCCTGGGCTCCTAGGAATGCCGTTCTTTCAGGTCCATGCGCAACTGTTCCTTGTGTGAGGATTCGCCCCAAACTCTGTTCCCCTGTCCTCCCTCTTTCCCCCTCTCACCCCCTCGCACTGCCTCCGTTTCCTGCAGTGACAGGATGGGGGCGGTGCAGCAAGGTAGTTGGAACAAGCGCGTTCAACACACAGGTGGGGGCTATTCTGATCTGATCCCCATCCCTTCCGTTGCCTTCCCCTCCCCCTTCCCCGTCCACCTCTCCTTCCCCACCCCTCTCCATGTCCTGCAGTGTGCTGACAGGGTGGGGGAGGCACAGCAAGGTGGTGGGAACAAGTGTGATCAAGACACAGGTGGAGGCGTGCCTGTCTGCGCTCTCCTCGCCGTTCCGCTCCTCTGCATCCAACGGGGGCCGTCTCAGCGCCTCCGGCCCTGCTGTGACGCGCTGGCTGGTGGCTCTGGCGGAGAGAGGCACGGGTAACCCACTGGTGCTGTACCTAATCTGTTCCCTCTCCCCGCCTCCCCTCCCCCAACTGTCTCACTCCCTCCGTTCCCTGCAGTGTGCTGACAGGGTGGGGGCGGCACAGCAAGGTGGTGGGAACAAGTGTGATCAAGGCACAGGTGGAGGCGTGCCTGTCTGCACTCGCCTCGCCCTTCCGCTCCTCTGCATCCAACGGGGGCCGTCTCAGCGCCTCCGGCCCTGCTGTGGCGCGCTGGCTGGTGGCTCTGGCTGAGAGAGGCACGGGTAACCCACTGGTGCTGCAGGATGAGAGGGGGCTGCAAGGGGCTTGGGTGTGAGGGTGAGGAGGAGGTGAGGTGGAGGGTGTGACGTGACATACTTGTTTCCCTGTGGCTGTTACAAATTGGGCTGCTGGCTTCACATGCCTTGCTTTGATATCCCGTAGCAGGAGCGATACTTTGTGGCAGCAGGAATAGCAGCAGCAGCAGCAGCAGCAGCAGCAGCGGCGGCAGCAGCAGCAGCAAATGGCGAAATACAGTGTCTGCATCTGGACCATCAAATGGGTCTAGGCTATCCCGTCCCGACCCGACCCCCAGACCATCCCCACCTCTTTCAGCTCTTTATATTCGGTTTGTCACCGTCATGTTTGTTTCCTGGCCTTGGTTGTACCGAAGCTTCTACCATTGCAGCAGCTGCTGCCAGCTGTTCCTGGTTGCCTGGCCACTGCCATTGCCTTGTCTATTCTTCTCTTTAACCTTGGTCGCCTGGGCCTTGCCTTATCTGGCATGATTGGTTGTCTTTTACCGGTACATGCACTTGGTAGTCTGCAAGCATTTCTTTGCATGTATAGTAATGTTTTTCTTTTCCACATTAAGCTAAAGCTTGAACTTGTCACAAAAACCCGCACCACAGTTATCAAACAGCATTCACCGATCCACACTGGATGGGGGGGGTTACTAATTTGTGAAAACCAATAACTCAACATACATCTTATGAGTCAAGCAGTAGTACAGTCCGAAACAATAATTTTCTCTTCTTTCAAAGGCAAGCTGGTTGTGGCAGGGCCAGCAGCAGCAAAGTGTGCCTTGACAGCGGGCAGCTCAGAGGCAAACATGGCGTTGACAGCCCAGCCACACATAGGCCCAAACACCTGCTCCAGCGCCTGTGTCAGCTGCACTCGCACCCGCGCAGTGAGCGTTTTGCCCTTGATGCTGCTCGCATAGTGCCTCTGAGCCAGCTGGATGGGGGAGAAGGGGGGACGGAGAGGTTGGCATGGAGTGACTTTTAAGTTGACTCAAGAGGGTGGTTGCTTGAGGAGAAAGGGGCTTCTACCCTGTGGTGCACATAGCGTTCACATCACAACCCAGCCAGCCATACATGGGCCCAAACACCTGCTCCAGCGCCTGTGTGAGCTGCACTCGCACGCATGCCGTGCAGTCAGTGTCTGCCATTGACGCTGCTCGGATAGTGCCTCTGAGCTAGCTGGATGGGTGAGAGAGGAGGCGTGGGAGGGTGGGGGATGAGTTGAGTGGAGTGAGCTTTGAGTAGACTGCAGGCTCCGCAGCTTACCACCCAGAACTGCACCTCATAGCACCAGGCAGCACACCACTTGACACCCTTCAGCACCGCACATCACCAGGCAGCACACCCAACCCGCCAGACGTAAGTGTCAACAGGCACAGCAGCACGCTGCACCTCACCACCCAGCACCGCATCAGACCACACAGCACAGCGCACCTGCCAGACGTGAGTGTCAACGGGCACGGCGGCGTGCTGGTCCAGCGACAGCAGCGCCACACACGCCGCCACCTTGGGGCCCACGCCTGGTAGCACGCACAGCTGCCGCTCCACCTCCTGCCATGCCTGCTGCCGCATTGCCTGCAACCACTCACTGCCACTCGTGCCGCTTGTGGCTTGCACTGTGTGTGGAGAGAAAGTGGGGGACGAGGGGGAGGGGAGGGGTGGAAGATTGAGGGGAAGAGAAGGGCATGGAAACGTATGGGCACAGAACGGCACACTAGAGCATAGCACAGCACATTACGGCACAGCGCAGCACGGCACAGCACAGCACAGCACAGCACAGCACGGCACAGCACAGCACGGCACAGCTCAGCACGGCACAGCACAGCACGGCACAGCACCGCAGGGCTCAGCACAGCACCGCACGGCACAGCACAGCACCGCACGGCACAGCACCACATACTCTGGTGAAGCTGGCATGCAGTCTGCACTATGAATGCTGCCCGGTAGCCAAAGCCGCGCTCCCTCAAGTAGGGCTCTGAGAGCGAGGAGAGGCGCGACAGCGAGGGGAAGGCATGAAAGGGACGGCCGTTCATGGTGGCTATGAGGGGACCCTGCTGTGACAACACCTCCACCATCGCTGCAGTCATGGGGAGAACGGTGGGGAGAGAAGGGGAGGGAAAGGGAGGGAGAAGGTCAAGGTTCTAAAAAGGGGCAGCCGTTGATGGTGGCTGTGAGGGGACCCTGCTGTGACAACACCTCCACCATCGCTGTGGTTATGCAGGCATGGTAGAGGCCAGGAGGGAAGAATGGGGGGAGAGGATGGGGAAAGAGACGAGGGAGAAAGAAAAAAAGTGGAGAGAAAGGGCGGGAAGGGAGTGGTGGGGGGCTCGTGTGTTCTGAAACAATGCAGTCCTCCATGAATGCAACTAGGGGAATGAAGGGGAAGAAGTGGTAAAGGGCTGGCATAGCCATGAGGAGCCAAGGCGGGGCGGGTTTGCTTCCAAAAAATCCTCAACAAGGGGTGGGTGGAAGGAAGGGACCGGACAAAGGGAGGAATGAAATGAGAGGGCGAAGGAAGGTGTGAAGGCGGGGCAGGGAGTGGGAGCGATTAACGACGGGAGGGATGGAGGGAGAAAGAGAGAAGCAAGGCTGGGAGGTTACAGACATGATATTCTGGAGATGTGGTTGTTGGAGGAGCAGATGAACTGAAAGAGACACTCCACTGGCTCCTGCTCCATGGCAACCAGTGGGTGGCAGGGGGTAGTAGAGGACAGGAGTGGGTGGCGCGTGGACCGGTGAGGAGAGAGCCACAAGAGGATTGAAGGTACCGGGTTTGGGGTTTTGTGTTGAGGGAGAGGAGGAGATCCCCGCATAGCACCAGAAACGACTTCTGAGACGTCTCAAAAGGCATAGCACCAGAGTCTAGGCAAGGAAGAGAAGATTCAGTCATTTTCCAGGGATGTTGATCTGGACAATCAAGTGGGTAAGGTGTCTTTTGGAATGGAGCCGTCTCATGCCATACTTTCGACTCTTGCATGTTTGATCCTCAAACCTGGAGGGTGGATTGAAATCAAAAGCATGGCATGAGATGAGACGGGTGTATGCGAAGGCAGGCGAAAGGAGCTAGGGCATGCTTGGCAGGAGGTGACTTTTGAGTCGACTCAAAAGTCACCTCGAAAGGAGCTAGAGCATGCTTGGCAGGCGACGATGGCCTTTGAGGCCCATTTGTGAAGAGAGGAAGTCGCCTCGCCAGATACGAAGACGAGAAATGGTTTGAAGGTTGTGTTCAAAAGCGAGGAAATGTGTGGTTACGAGGGAGAGGGGAGGAGAACGGGAGGGAGTCACCAGTGGGAATTGTTGAGTGGACTCAAAAAGGGCTCACCTGTCGGAGTATCCTGTAGCCGGTGATCATTGGGAGGAGGGATGCGAAGTGTGTGTCGCACTCCGCAAACTGACGGTACCTGCGGTGGCGATGGCGGTGATGAAGGTGGAATGGTGGTGGTGGCAGTGGCAGTGGCAGTGGAATATAAAAAGGGGGTGCTTGAATGCAAAATCTCAATGCCATACAAACTCCACAAACTTGGCAGATTGTGGAATTTCCGGAAACGGCAACAGCAGCAGCAACAGCACAAGCAAAAGCAGTAGCTGCAGAAGCAGAGGGAAAAGAAGGTGGTGCCTGGAAGCAAGGAAGGATCAATGATCCTTGTCCGTTTCTAGACAATCTACGGAGAAGAAATCATTCCCTTAACTGCATGCAAGGAAGCAGCCAACAGTTGCCAGCCAGAGATGCTGCAGACTCACAAATCGAGTGTGTTCACATGGAGGTTGAGCAAATCTTCCAAAGCGGCCATCACTGCTGCTTCTTCTGCCGCTTCACAACCCGACTCCTGACTTGGATCAGAAGTAGCGGCAGCAGCATCAGTCCCATTAGCAGTCACTGTTCTCAGAACGGCCGATTCCTGCTCTTCTCTTGCTCCTCCCTCTTCTCGTTCCTCTGCTTCCTGCGTTGCCCCATCCTTTCCTTGTTCCCTCACATGCCCTTGTGCCATGGACAACGCGCCATCAGCAACCCTCACAAACGCATCAGAAAGCCCTTCTTCTTGCCTCTCCCTCTGGTCCCCCCCTTGCTCCTCTTTGGTCGGGGGAGTGGGGGAGTGAATGCACACCGAAACTGGGCCTAGAGGCACAGGCTAGAGGGGCGGGAAGTCAAGGAGAAGGAAAAGCGGCACGGGGTGGTGGGGAATGGATGGTAGAGGTGCGTGGTGGGTGGTGGTGGGTGGTGCTCGTGTGTTGTGCGTGGTCCTTATGGGTGGGTGTTGCATTGTGCTGGTAGGCCTTGGAACAAGATATAGTGTGAGCATGTTCTGAGATTTTTCTAAGTAAGCTAAGCCAAGAGGATTCTATTGAAGGGAACATATGGCATGCGTACGCACCTGGCGCAGGGTGACCAGGCGGTTGGACACGACACCTGAGAACTCCCCTGGACCGGTTTCCACCCACCTGTGACCGCACATGCGTTGTTTGCAGACAGGCGAGTGAATTCAGAGAAAAGGGTCTGTGGGGCTAGCGCTGAGAAGGCAGCGGCAAGAGCAAGGCCATTATCAGTACATGCGTGTGTGTGTGTGGGTGTGTGTGGGTGTCCATGTGTGCATGCATGTGTCTGGAGAGAAACAGCAACATGAATGGATACTCCACATGAGGAAGGGCAATGGCAATGTTACTAAAGCGCATCAGCCAAACAATGGCCCGAGACACAAGATCTTCTCCACATGTGCGTGTGTCACGAGCACCTAAAACAACTGCGCTGTGTACATTTCAAGCAACCCGAACAAATCCAGGGCGCCTCAGAAGTCCCAGCATGCGCCCATCGTGCACCCATCCATCATGCGTGCGCACCTGAAGGTCTGTCCGGTGGCGAAGGTGAGGTGAAGGTCTAACTCGCCCGGCTCCACTCTCAGCTGCTGCCACCGCCACTCACTGCGATCCACCTCCGCTGCTGCACGAGCTTCAGCGGCAGAGGCTGCAGCAAGATCAGTAGCAGCAGCGGCAGCAGCAGCAGCAGCAGGTGCAGCAGAAACGGTTGTTGCTACTAGATCTTTGGAAGGAGGTGCAGCAATCTGCTTCCCCTTCTCTTCCCCAACGGGCTTCAACATCTCTCCACCACCATCCCCAGGCATGCCTCCCCCTCCTCTCCGCTTCTTCACCTGCCTATAATGTCGAGTCAGATCTCCACCACCGCTGCTGCTGCCACCGCCAGTGCTACTGCCACTAGCTTTGCTTCTACCTCTTCTTTTCTGAACAGTGCTACTGTTCACATCCACGTCAGCAGCAGCAATGCAGTCAGTGGAAGCATCAGGAGGAGCGGGAGCAGATGCAGTAGTAGCAGCAGCATCAGCGGAAGTTGCAGCAGCAGCGGCAGCAGCAGGTTGAAGAGAAGAAACAGCAGGAGGAACTTGAATCTGGGACCAATCAGCAGCATCTCGTCCGCCCTCTGCTTTCACTAGAAGTACTGACTCTCCTGAACAATCCAGCACTCCACTCCCCCCCTCTCCATCCAGCTCCCCCTGCTTCACATTCTTCAGTTCCATGAGTTCCAACCCTTGTGATCTCTCGTTTCCAATGCTCCCCACACTCCCACCGTTTTCCCCCGTCGCGCCATTCCGCCCTCCCCGTTTCCCCCGGAGGCGCGCGGATTGCCAAGCAGGCAGCGGAAACGGGGGCATGGAGTGGAGGGGAGGAGGCGGAAAGGCGGACAAGCAGGCCGGCAGAAGGGGGAGCGGGGAAATGGCGGAACAAGATGTGGAAGAAGGCGGAACAGGATGGGCGGTAGTAGGGCGACGCAGGGACGGCGCAAGGAGGCTACGAAAGCTAACTGATCGTGACGGAAAGGGTGAGGCAGAGAGAATGGGGTGTCGAGTAGCAGTAGAGGTAAGTGGTGGAGTGGAGGAGTGGGAGCAGTGGGAGAAGGAGAGGGCAGAGGGAATGGTGGCGGGACGGAGGCAAGCAGGAGCCGGTCTAGATGCCGCTCTAGAAGCCGGCTGCAACGCAGAACGGAAGCTCGCGAAGGCTGTTCGCGACAGCGAGAGACGAGTGTTCGCCAAGGTCGTAACCAGTGACTGACGTCGTGTCAGGAATGCGGAAAATGCTACTTGGGTGGTTGCCGTTGGTACTGGAGTACACGACGGCCGTGGCTCTGGGACGAGTGCCAAGACGGATTGAAGTCGAAATAAAGAATTTGGGGGCGTAGGTGATGGGATCAGCACGAGAGCAGCCATGAACCAGGCTTTCAAGTCTCGGAAACATGCAGCCACCTTGCTGTGAAGCAAGGTCCAACAGAACATTAGACCTGTTCGAGATGTGCAACGCAGTGAGCACATAACAGAACACTTAGTGGCGGCAGATTTGTTATAACAACTGTATTTCCACTTAGAAAGTGAAACTTCGGTTTTTGCAGCAGAAGTGAAACAAAAAAAGAGAAAAAAAACATGCGATTTTTCTACAGGTATTTTTTTACGTAAACAACTTAGCACAACATGTGCACAATCAGTGGCAATGTACAGCACTGTGTTTTTTTTCATGTTGCGTCATTGATACAGACTTGCTCATTATCCGACCTGCATACGGATACATAGGAATTCAGTAACGAGTTATATCTCTTCATCCCCGCCACGCGAAAACTCGTCAGAGACAGCAACGCTATCTGCGAGCAGATTGCGTTGGGACCACCATAGCCCTCGAATTATCCCAACCACCTCATCTCACACATTGGGATTTCAAAAAACTCGGGAGCGACTCCTCGGGCAGTACTGCGCGCCTCGTTGTGACAATGCATGCGTTGGCACGATGTGATTCGTACGTCTATTTCACCTGCCCTAGCTTTGGAGCTATTTTGCCTTTATGCAGGTGAAATTCGTACTTTGGGTTGCGAATTGACTTTACGCTTCCCTTGCGTGGAAACAATCTACGAGCTCACATCACCATACAGTAGCAGCAACAACGTGGCAGCGCGCAGCAAGCCCAATCTTCATTACCTGCCCCCCCTCGCTCATGACATCCAATCAGCTTTTTCCTCTCTCAACCAGGGTCCACCCCTCTCCTCGACGTCAGCCCATCACTCCTCCCTGTCCCCCTCCGATGTCATCCCGTCTCCTTCCTTTCTGCCTTGTCCTCGATATTTACTCCACCGACTCCTGTGTGCCAAGGCTCCGCAAATTCAAGGTTCCTGAAAACCGACCTTCGACGGTTCACGGAAGGGAGTCGGCCAACCTAGTTGCAAGATTGGCGTGGACATCTTGCGATGCGACCCGTGAGAAGCAAAACCTAGACATTGTCCTGCCACGAATTCTGACTCGTCTTATTTGGCCTTTTAGAAGAGAGTACAGTAGACGAGAACGCTAGTTCCACTGCAAGCGTTCCCCCCAGCGCTGCTAGCGTCTGTTATCTACTTACAGCTCCGTAATCTGCAATACCAAGGCATCGCTACTATGGGAAACGTGGATATCAGCTCGGACACACCTACCTATGCCGGCCAGGTGTTTTGTGACTACAGCCGGCCACTCGGAAACACGGAGGAGGTACGCAAGTGCAACCAATGCAATCGCTAACCGTTCTTTCGTGACTGCGCAAATTCTGCGGTGCCGTCACTGGCGTCCACAAGACATGTCATCAGCATTGTGCCGGTTCTCTCCTCCTCGGATTGCTCTTGCATATTCTGCAGAACTGGCTCCGAGCCGTGAATGGAGGCACGGGGAACACGGTTGTGGGTGTCCTCATAAGCATGGAGTTGACGCGTGAGACTTTGCAGAACGCGGTGAACAGCGTTCAGAAGAAGCATCCCAGGCTGCTCTCACAGCTTGTGTTCGTCAACGGTCGCCCGCACTTCCAGGTGCGCTGCTACGTGCTTGGCACCAAAGCTTTTTCCAACACTCTCCGCTGCGGATCAGGCCGAGACCTTTCTCGCAACAACCTAAAAGTGCTCACGGATGGCTACTGAATTTTACGCGTGCCTTGTCTTTTCTTCGTTGCAGACGACCTCCAGTGGCGCTGTGGAGGTCGACGTAATTGAGAATATCCCCGAGTCGATCGCTGCGTCTATTGACGGCAACGGGGAAGGTTCTGAGGAGTTTTTGGACGATTCCTTCGAGATCGGAAGGAGGTGTTCGATCGATGTTGGTGGTGGCAAAACTGCTGCTGAAGAAGAGGGCTTGGAACGCAGCGAGTTGGGGCGAAGTGGTTTCAAGATGAGTCTGTGTCAGGACCACTGGCTGAGAATCGTTGAATCCGCCATGAACGAGCCGTGGAATTGTTGTGAGTCGTCTGTGGGAGAGGAATCTGCGAGCCTCCTGTGCTTCAGGATGTACAGGTAACGGCAACCATGGTGTTGCTTCATGGTTTTCTTTTTCAATCTAAAACAGATCAGGTCGGCTCTTTTCCTTTGTGCTGATTATTTCATATGGTTTTTGGTCTTCCTTACAGGCTTCACGAGGGCCGTTCCTTGATTCTTTTCCGTGCACACACATCTGTGTGCGACCGCAAGTCTGCTGGCATCATCGTGGAGGATCTCCTTTCCTTCCTTGATGATGAAGTCAATGGCAGTGGAAGCCGCTCTGGTCTTGGCAGCGCAAATGATTGCTCCGGAGATGAGCCCAGTTCCCAGGACAAGGATCAATCTGCGAAGATCCAGAAGGAAGAGCTGCCAGTGTCAAGTCTGAAGGATGTGGAGAGCTGCATCCCTCCAGAACTGTCGAGGAAGCCATTCTGGGCTCATGGGCTGGATGTTGTTGGTAAGTGAGTGAGGCTGCTTTGTTGAATTCGCTTTTGTTTGGTCATATCCTGATTGATTCTCAACAGTGGTATTGAGGAATTTTAGTTGCACGAGTTAATTAGGCTCCCGTCGCCCTCTTTTGAAATACAGGATACGGGCTTAACTCTCGGCGTTATTCATGGCTTCCGTTTCATGATTCCTCATCGGAGCGTCAGTCTGCTCTCATCCGATCTGGTCTCAGCAGATCTGACACTGAAAGGCTCAAGCAGGTGATGAATTGCACCCTCAAGCACTGCCAGTATTCCTGAATCTCGTTCAATGACCCCGCCGCAAAACACTTTGTCTGATTGTTTCTTTTTTCGATGAGGTGCAGGCATGTGAGAAGCAGAACATTACCCTATTTGGAGCAGTTGCATGTGCAGCACTGAAAGCTGTGGCCAGTGTAAAGGAGCTGGGTCGCAAGGGAGAACACTTTGCTGTCACCACGTTTTTGGACTGCCGTCCCTTGCTATCCCATGAGATCACCTTGGACACTGTTGGTACGATTTTGATTTTCTCTCATATGCTTATCGCAATAACCACAGAATCTCCACTTCTATTCTATGGGACTCGCTGATTTTGCAGCCTCAAGTTGAAATATGTTCGATTCTTGTCCCATGCAGCATACTTGAGTTCCGTTGCTGCATACGGAATTTTTCCTGCCTGGAATGGTTTTTCCACCTCTCTTGGACTTACACTGACCTCTGCACTTCCCTCGCTGCAGGGTTCTACCATTCGGCCATGATGCACACACATCAAGTGAGCGAAACTTCAGAATTCTGGGACCTTGCAAAGCGGTGCCATGAGTCGACCCTGCATGCCATCAAGAATAGGAAGCACTACACTGACATGGGTGACCTCAACATGCTCATGGCCCAGGTGAGTGTCGAGAAAGAGAACAGTGAGAAAGAAGCACTGACAATTTACATACAAGGACACATTATGGCACCTGCATTCCCATGTTCCTTTGGGTCTTATGTTATGTCCCTTGCTGTTACACTGTGCAGGCTATCTTGCATCCCCAGCTCACCCCAGAAAGCTCTCTTCGAACGTCCACTGTGTGCTCCTTCTGGGATGCCCTGCACGAAAGGATGCAGGTGAGGAGTTGTCAAAGTCAATACCTAAGGTTTGAAGCTATGGAAAATGTGTTGTTTGAGCTGTATTCTGAGCTAGAGAAAATATTCCCCTCGCTTTTTGTTGCAGAGATTTGTGGAAAGGTTGGGTGTGGAGGACTACGTTGGCTGTTCCTCGGTCCATGGTGTTGGACCCTGTTTTGCCATTTTTGATTCATTGCGTGAAGATGGGCTGCACCTATCAAACGTCTATCCTACGCCCCTCTTCTCGCATACCCTGATGCGCCAAGTGATAACAAGGATGATGGAGTTTTTGCAAGAAGCTTGCGATGGAGCCAAGTAGCTTATTGTGCGTTAACAAGAATTTTTCATAGTTGCTCATTGTACATGCTGGTCTCCACAATTTTGTTGTAATGGTTGTGCATTATATAGTTTGGCATTGGAGGATTTCAGGCATAAGATAATCTGATGCAGTAAGTTTCTACCCTGCAGCTGTATGGACTGAATCTTATCGGGTGTGTCAAACCCTCGCTTGAACCCTCCTCCTTCCAAGTTGATGTTGCAGAGCGGTACACCTCGGCAAAACACGCTTCCCTTCTGATCGGAACGGTTGATCCCCGCCCTTATCCCTCCAACCCACAACCGACCCACTACAAAAACCCCTGCCTTGTGCGCCACCTTTTTTTCTCCGCACTGGCTGGGTTCTTCCACCCTCTCTGACCAGCTTGAAGGCAGGCACCTTTCTTTTTAGGCTATTATCTTGCTCCCTCTATACTAAAGGTGGGAGTGACTGATTGACTAATTGACTGATTGAGCGAGTGAGTGAGTGAATAAGCGAGTGAGCGCGACAGAGATAGGCGAGTGAGAGGGCAGCGCGAAAGGGACCATGACAGGATCCACGGAGGCGGAGGCGCAGAAGGAGACAACCACCGCCCAAGCCACTAATGCGGAAGCCACGACCACCCCCATGGACGCGTCGGCCGCTGCCAACGACACTGATTCCCCCGCCGCCGCCGCCGCCGCCGCCGCTACAGGAGAGGATAAACCCGCGGCGAAAGATGCTGCCGCCGTAGATGATAAGCCAGCCGCAGATGCTGCGCCTGCTGCGGCTGTGGCGGGTGCTGGTGCGGAGAGCAAGGCGGGAGAGGGCGGGGCGGACAAGGGCGAAGCGGGCGAGGGAGAGAAGAAGACCGCGGCTTTCAGCGCCGCCACCCGCGCAGAGATCCTCCGCCAGGTGCGCGCGCGCGGGTCATCCTTGCTTTTGTGGGCGCACACGTGCCTTTGAACCGTACACACAATCTCTCTTAAGCCTCGACACCATTCGTTCTCTCCATTGCTCCTTCGGTCTGGTCCCCAAAGTCATCTCTCTGCGACTGTTCTTTGCGATGGTGGTGTGTGTCGCTACTTCCTACCCTAAACCCTGACCTGTTTTCGGTTCCCTGCTCTCACCTGTTCGCGCCGATCCGCGCATTGTTTTGTTCGCGCGCGTCCGCGCCTATCCCGGGCTATCCCCGCAGGTGGAATATTATCTGAGCGACAGCAACCTGCCGCGCGACCGCTTCATGCAGGAGAAGCTGCAGGAAGGCAACGGATGTGAGTCATTTCCCGGGGAAGGCGGAGGGGAAAGAGAGAGAGGGCGAGGGAAAGGTGGGGGTAAGGGGAAGGGGGGAGGTGAGGGGGGAAGGGGGAAAGGAGCTCCGCAGGTGGAGAGATGAAGGAGAAAGATAGCCAGAGGGTCAACGCATGTTTAATCTGCGTTTGAAGAAGGGTTTAGGCTTTGGATTCGGTTTGAGAAGACTAGGAAATTTCGGGGTTTGGGGGTTTGGATGGTCTGTCTGTCCGGAGAGAGAGAAAAAAAAGGGCGCAAGCATTGAGCTGTCAGTGACGGATGATGGGCAGTGGTCGACTCGAACGGAGAACACGAAGTGAGGGCGCTCACTGTTTCCCGCGCTCTTTTGTGTCTTCCTTTATAAGTCACGAACGATTGCTTGATTGTTGCCATATGTTTCTTTCCGCTTCCTCCCTCCCCCCCCCCCCCCCCCCCCCCCCCCCACCCCTCCCTCCTTCCTTTATCGTTCCCTCCGTCCTTCCCTTTCCCAACACCTTCCCCCTACCATTTTCATTTCCTCCCCTCTTCCACCCCCCAAACTACCCCTCTCCCCCCGCCCGTTCGCGCGCTCGCCCGTTCCCCCGTTTGCAGTCGTGCCGCTGGCGCTGCTGTGCACGTTCTCCCGCATGCGCAAGCACCTGGGCGTGCTCCCCGACGCGCCCGTGCCCGCGCACCTCGTGCGCGCCACCTACGAGGTGCTCCAGGCGTCCACCTTCCTCAAGTTCTCCGACGATGGTGCGCGCGGGGGGGGGGGGGGGATGTGGGGGCCGGCGGGGAAGGGGGGGATGAGGGCGGGGCTCGGGAGCGAGCATGGGGAGTGGGGAAAGCAGGAGGAGGAGAAGGGTAAGCGGTGATGGGGCCATCCCGCTGACTCCGATGGTGATTTTCCTCCTCCCCTCCCTCCTTCCCTCCCATCCGCTTTACATCCTTTCCCTCAAAAGCTCCTCTTTGCTCCCCTATCAATCTCCTCCCTATCTCCGCCCCCCCCTCTCCCCCCCCCCCACGCTTCCCCTTCTCCCGCGCGCCTCTCCGTCAACAGGCAAGCTGGTGGGGCGCGAGGGGGAGGTGGCGATGGGGAAGGAGCGCATAGCGGAGATCAACGCGCGGTCGCTGTTCGCGGAGCCCTTTCAGTGGAACTCCACGCTCGACGACATCCACGCCTTCTTCTCCTCGCTCGGACCCGTACGTGTGGGGAAGAAACAGTATGTGAGGAGAGACCATCCCATCCCATGCCATGCCATGCCATGCTGTGCCTTCCTCAGCGCCTCTCATGGGCGTCCAGCGTCCAGTCACCCACCCCCCCCCCCCCCTCCTTCCCTCCCCCCCTTCCCAGGTGAAGAGTGTGTGCATGAGGCGCCATCCGGCGTCCAAGGCGTTCAAGGGGTCCGTGTACGTGGAGTTTGATTCAGAAGACGCCATGCGCCTACGCCAAGTTGCCGCCCTGCCATGTCTGACCTCCACTTACTCCTCCCTCTCCCTCCACCCACCCCCTCCCTCTCCTCTGCCTTCCTCCATCCCCTCCACCCCCCCCTCCCCCCTCTCCCACCACCCCTCATCCCCTCCTCCCCTCGTCTTCAGGTGAAGAGTGTGTGCATGAGGCGCCACCCAGCGTCCAAGGCGTTCAAGGGGTCCGTGTATGTGGAGTTTGACAGTGAAGACGCCATGCGCCTCGTCGCCGCCAAGAAGGACGTTCTCTTCAACGGCGCCACCTTGCTGCTGCAGCCCAAGTGAGGCAGTGCAGTGCGGTGCTGTGCTGTGCTTTGTGGTGGTGTGGTGTGAGTGGGTGTGAAGCGGGGAGTGTAGTTTGTTTAAGAGGGGTTGGAGAGTGGTGGAGAGTGTTGGAAGTGGGATGAGAGTTTGGTAAAGAACAGTGGTGCGAGCATGCACTTTCAGGGGTTTCGGAACTCATATCGTTCTCAACTTGTGACGTATAGCGATGCCCGTGCCCATTCGTCTCTCATCTCGTCTCATCTCGTCTTGTTGCGCGCTGCAGGAACGAGTGGTTGCAGCAGGCGAGGGAGGAGTGGCAGAAGCGAGTGGCCGAGAAGGGAGAGGAAGCCGGGTAAGTCGCTGCTGCTGCTGCTGCTGCTGCTGCTGCTGCTGCTGCGCCTCCTTCCTTCAAAGATTCCTTGCTCTGCCTGCCCAGCTCCCCATACCCCTCCACACCCCTCCATTTCCGCGCCCTCGTCCGTCGTGCTCCTTTCTCCCTCCTGGTGTCTTCCCTTGCCCTCCCCTGCCCTGCCCTACCCATTTCTGCCATGCGCTGCCCTGCTCTGCCCCGGCCTGTCCAGCTCTGACCGCCGTTGCCCTTGCTTTCCCTGCAGGCGGTTCGAGGCAGAGGATGGCGATATGGACCTGCGCCCGCCCGCCAAGCCCCTCTCTCCCTCCCAGTGCTTTACCCTCCTGATTTGCCCTGCCCTGCCCTGCCCTGCCCTGCCCTACCCGTCGTTGCCGTTGGCTGCCCTTGCTTGCCGTGCAGGCGGTTCGAGGCAGAGGATGGCGATATGGACCTTCGTCCCCCTGCCAAGGCGAGGCGCGTGGAGGAGGGCGGAGAGAGAGGCGCGGACGGGGAGGGCGCGCAGGGCGGAGAGGGCGCGGAGGCGGAGGGGGAGGAGGATGAGGAGGAGGAGGATGCTTACCCCAAGGGGTTGATTTTGGGTTATACTATTGTGGTGCCTGGTGGTGGTGATGGGGGTGGTGCTGGGGAGAAGGGGGAAGAGGGGAAAGATGAGGTTGGTAATGGGGAGGTGAAGGGAGATGAGGCTAAGAAGGAAGGGGAGGAGAAGGGGGAGGAGGGGAAGAAGGAAGAAGGGGAGAAGAAAGGAGAGGAGAAGGCGGAGGAGGGGAAGGCAGCGGATGATAAAGTGATGGTTGATGCAGCTGAGGTGGAGAAGAAAACGGAAGAGGAAGGGAAGAAAGCAGAGGAGAAGGTGGAAGAGGCAAAGGAGGGGAAAGCGGATGAGACCAAAGAAGAGGACGAGAAAAAGGATGGTGAAAAGGCGGAAGAAAAGGCAGGAGAGAAGGCGGAGGATAAGGCAGAGGAGCAGAAGAAGGGTGCAGAGGGCGAGGCACTGGGCAAGAGGAAGCGCGAAGAGAAGGTTGTGGCAGAAGGGGTGACCCGAGAGGAGTGCCGCTTCGTGTTTGAAAAGTTTGGCATTGTCAAGGTGGGTCACTCCAACTCCTTTGCTCCAAGCAAGCGATTGCTGCCATGCCTGTGGCCATGCTTGCAGTTTTGACGCATCTCAGAAACTGTTCCGAATGACATGCGTGCACCATAGCATAACATGGGTGTGTGTAAGTGCATACAGCCAGGCCTGCTGCATGTTTCTTGCTCTGTCCGTATCCTGCTTCCCTCCCCTCGCAGCTCTGTTTCTCGCCCTCCCTTCTGTCTGCCTCTTCCCCCGGTCGTTCCGTGTCTATGTTGAATGTATGAATTCTCCATGACTCAGTTTGTGCCTTTCTCCCACCCTCCTTCCAACCTCCTTTTCCTCCTCCCCGCTTCTCACATCCCCCCTCCGTCACACCCCTCCTTTCTCGCATCCCCATACAGCCCATGGCAGTTTGTGGACTATGAGGCGGGCGACCTGAGTGCTTTCATCCACAGTGGTTTCGCCTTGCTTCTCGCGTCTCCCCTCCCCCTTGCTGCTCCGTCCAACTCCCCTCCCTCCCCTCCCTCTCACACACCCGCACATGCTCAAACGGCAGTTCGTGGAGTACAAGGCGGGCGACCTGACTGGCTTCATTCGCTTTGAGACACCTGAGGGGCCCATCAAGGCCAACAACAAGGCCAAGTCTGCGCCTGCTGCACTCACCATCAAGGGCTATCCTGTCACTGTCAACATTCTCGATGGTGGGTTGGCTCCTGCTGTTTCTTTGGTATATGCAAATTTTCCCTAATTCTTGAAGAACCCCTGCTGCGCTCACTATCAAGGGCTATCCTGTCACTGTCAACATTCTCGATGGTGGGTCGAGCTGCTTTACTGCTGTGCTGCTGCTGCTGCTGCTGCCGCCACCGGCACCGCCGCTGTTGCTGCTGCTGCCGCCGCTGCTGTGCTGCCTTTGCCTGATGGAGAGCTCACTTAGTCTCGCTTGCGTGTGTGTGACGCTGTGGTTGAGCAGGGGAGGAGGAGGCAGCATACTGGAGCAAGCTGAGGGACGGGCAGAAGAAGCGCAAGGACTTCGGGGGCGGCAGATTCGGTGGTGGTGGCTTCCGGTAAGTTTTGAGTCGACTAGAAAGACACCTTTTTGGGTGAGCAAGGATGTTCCTGGATCTTGCTGTCCTTTTTCTCCCTTGCTCCCTGAAACCTTCGCTTTCTTTCTTTCACATACGCACCCACTGCAGCACATCACGCATGCACGCACGCACACCAAACCTTGGCTCCACTCCACAACCGCAATTGTCTTTTGCCCGCACTCTTTTCCTCTCTCATGGTCCTCTCTCATCTCCCCTTAACTAAAGTCCCCGCTTCTCGTGTGACTCTTTGCTTTTCCTTCTCTTGCGCACATCTTCTACACCTGCAGAGGTGGTGGCCGCGGGTGGAGGGGAGGCAGGGGAGGGAGAGGAGGGCGGGGGAGAGGCGGAGGTCGGTGGGGGAGGAGAGACGGGCATGGAGGAGGAGGTAGGGGAGGTGGCGGAGGGGGAAGGGGAGGAGGAGGGAGGGGGGGGAGCCATCAGAGGTTTGATGAATGAGAGAATATACGTGGCTGAATGCTGGTGGTGTTGGGGGGATGGCTGCATGGTGGACAAAGGCACAAGAGGTGGCAGGCAGTGTACTGCTCTTGATTACCGTAGCTTTTGAATTGGTTGGTGGTGAAGTAGTGGTGGAACACTGGACATGTTTAGAGATGGGATGTAAGGAACCTTTTTGCAAGGGCGTTGCAGTGGCAAGAGAAGCTAGGAGATGAGTATTGTGTATGCAATCAAATGGTGCAAATGCAGAGCTATCAAATGCTGTTTCTTGCTCTCTCAATCAGATCATTTCATGAATCCTTTACATTCATGTTGTAGAAGCACACTCTCCCGACATCTTGAGATTGAGAAAGCTTGCTTTCTTGTCCTTATAATTTGGCATCGTTCTCATTGCAACTGGCTTATTACAACATATGCATCGTTCGTAAACACATGCTAGTACATGCAAATATTACTAGCTATGGAGTCGTCCGTCCAAGCAGCTGTGGTCTTGTAGTTGGTCCGGGGTGGGTGGTGGGGATGTTGATTGAGCCGTTGGAAAACGAGAAACGTGGGTGGAGGGAATGAACTCCAACCCACGGTTTTTGTAGTTGGAGAAGGGCGTTTAGCGCGCTTCGACGCTGCTAAATATTCGGTACAGTCAGCTTCGCTTTCACAATACACAATTTTGAAAAACATCAATGTGTTTAAAAATTATAATATTTGTGCCAATGCGTGACAATGCTCCTTTCAATTCCTGATGCTTCCTGCAAAGGATTGTGCATTCACAGATACCGTATTCTCCTGGATAAAACACCCTAGGGTATTATGAAAACCACTGGGAAAAAATGGGGGGTTTCTCCTCAAAGGAAAATCCTACATAATACCCGGGTCTTATTACGGTATATGGTATATTTTTTATCAAGTAGAAAAGATGTGAAACAAAATCAGGGGCCTGACTACACTTCAAGATTGTTGACCGGTGCCGCAAAACCGAGTATACGAGGATAACGTGACCGCCCACTGGAATCTGCCACGTGGCAAATTCGAGTGGGCAATTCTGGCACTTGATTGGGTGAAAACAAATCCAATTGCGTGGCGAGGGTTCATGCAACCGCCGAGGCCAGAATCGCGCACGGTGGTGCGTTCTTATGTGAGAAGGTGATTTTCACCTATTGGGCCACTTGCAACAGAAGATTCGCCAGCGTGGCGACAGCGAGATTGTGGGAGGGGGGAAATCTTGGCAGATTCTACCGTAAGTGATGTTGGGAACAAATAGCCTTAAGCGCTTATGTCGTGTCGAAACTTCAAGACACAAAGCGAAGCAGCGCAAATCGAAGCACCAGCGAGTCCACCCTCGGGGTTGATGTAACCGCTGGAGGTTACGAGAAAGTCAAAGGTCAGCGACCTTTGACTTGACAAATGCAGCGCGATTGCAAAGACACACAACTGACTCGACACTGAGCAGTTGCTCGAGTCGCACTGTATCAAACCGCAACAGTAAAGTAGTTACAATTATGTCTCTTCATGTTCTCTGTACTCATATATATGTTCTTGTATCTCTTTGTTTTAATTAACTTACTTTGCCCTCACATACTAGCGCAAGGTGGTTCAAAGACTTTATTCAAACGCTTCCGCTACTACATCGTTTACTCAACCTTTAACTCTACCAAAAGATCCTAGGGCGTTTCAGCCCAACAAAGTATCAGAGCTGGTTAGAGTTAAAAGTTACCTTTTTTTTTTTCAACACTTAATATATCGAGAAGACATGTCTGCTAGAAAGGAGAGGAGCTCCTCTAACGGCTCTCCCGGCACTACCCCTACTCCACCTCCTGTCTCTGGCCTACAAACAGAGGAAGGGACAACAACGAGACCAGCAGCTGGGTCTACTGAAACACCCGCAAACCAAGGCGCGGGCTTCGATCCAAGTATGATGGAGAAATTCTTCTCCTTCATGTCCTTCTACGAGCAGCATCAGCAAGGAGTACCTGCGCAATCAAACAACAGCAACAACAACAACAACGTGACGCCCATGAGTCTCGATGGCTCATCCTACGCACGCGGGAATCAACATCAACAACCTACCTTTACTCCGTACGAGCCCCAGCGCGGCTCCGTCAGCTTCATGCCACAACAACAACCTGCACTGGGACAAGAAAGAGCGCTGGACGCACTACAAGTTCAGTCGCAGTTCGCGCATGTTCTAAAACTACAAACGACAAAACCCTTTGACGGGAAGGATTTCTTTACCTGGTCGTTCGAATTCGAGCTGATGATGGAAGGAGCGCAGATCCTTGGCTTCTTCGACGGGTCCCTGCCATATCCAACAAACGGCACATAGTATGAGAAGCAGCAGTACACCTATCAATCGATGATGGCGTACACAATACTACTGAGGAACATCACCCCGACTCAACAGCAGAACATAAGGACTTACCGAGGTTACGGTAACTCCGCGGAGCTCGCGTACAACCACTTGAAGAACCTGTATCAAGCAACAGACAGCGTAAATCAAAGTCGGTTAATGGCGCAGCTGTCAACAATCGAAATGAAACCAGGCGAGAAGGGAATGGCATATATCAGTCGCTGTCGCGAGCTGCGCGACAAGCTTCTTCGATGTGGAGGATCGATTTCATAAGACGCCTTCGTCACGGTTGTCATCGGCGGTCTTGGCCCTCACTGGCGCTCCACTCGCGCCATACTACGAGCACACAGGAGAATCTCCGAAGCAGCACTCTGCGCCGAAATCCATGCCGAGCAGCAGGACATGGACCTGCAAGAAGAACGGCATAAGAAGAAGACGTCAGTACCAGAGTTTGCGTTTCACACCCAGCGACGCTACAACAACAACAACAATCGGCAGCAACAACAATTGAAGCCAGTACCTCCGTTTTGCCACATCTGCAAGACTTCAGGGCATCCTCGTTCGCACTGCCCGCATCGTCAGCAATCGACAACATCACAGCGACAACTTCGGCCTTCAAGCTCCCAAGTCACTTCAACGCAAGTAAATCCCACGACAAAGATTCAGGCCTCAACGACTCCAACAGGACAACCTGTACAAGGAGCAAGAAACATTGTCAACTGTATGGCAAAAATAACAGATTCCTGCATCACCGAGTCACCACCGCACTACTCACCAGAAGAACGACTCGACGAAACCACACCTCGCCACGAGTCACTTCAGCCGAACCCGACATACGCCGCCATCGCTCAAAGCGAGCCATCCAGAAGAGACACTTGGTTCTTGGACAGTTGTTGCGGACAACACATGTGCTCCTCAGGACGCTTCGTTCAACGCGAGCACCAACTCCAACGAGAAGTCGTCATCACCGTCGCCAATAATCAAAACCTGCGCACAAGACGACAATGCATAGTATTACTTCAGTCACGAGAGACAAACGTCGTCCTACAAATGTCAAAGTACTAATCGCGGAGGGACTCGGCTACAACTTACTGAGCGTCAGTCAGTTGATGGCGAAAGGCATACACCTGGAAGCCGACAGCACCACCCAGGAGTTCAAACTGTACCACGGGAAGGGCGGCCTCTACATCGGAAAGGCGGTTCTGAAGATAACGTCTTTGTCCTTGACATCGTCCCAGACCTGGGCACCGCAGACAGCGACGCCATCGTAAACTTCGCCGACTGGACGCACCCTCCAGATCTTGATCTAGACTTCAGCCCGGAAGGCTTCTGGTACTCGCACACCATCCCTGAAGCAGAAAGAACACGCGCGTTAGAAACTATTCAACATTCGGCAGCAGCAGAGACAACATCGGCAGCAGCAGAGACAACATCGGCAGCAGCAGAGACAACATCAGCAGCAGCAGAGGCAACACCGGCAGCAGCAGAACCATCGTCAGCTGCAGCGACACCAGTTCTCGTTGACGAAGCAACACCAACACCCGCACAGCAGCTGAACCCAACTCAACGGGAAGTCCACAGAAGCGCAAACGTCGTCGCCAGCTTCTACTCCAACTCCGACGCATATCGACGCTCACTCGGACACCGCGCCTCCGAAGACATCTGGCACGCACGCATGGGACATCCAAGCAACACCGTGTTAAATAATACAATAAGAGCAGGAGTCCTAGACAAGGACTCATTACTACTACCCGACGACAGAGAACTTCAACGGGCACGAGGAACTTGCCTTACCTGTCCCGAAGCCGACTTTCCACATCGACCGTTCACTTCTCACCACAACCCGAGCGCACCCGCATACGCACCACTCGAGAAGGTGTACAGTGATATTATCTTCAATCGAGAACCAGGACAAGTTACTTACAACTACATGATCACCTTCATCGACGCCGCCACTCGATACGTCTGGCATCTAAACCTACCCAGCCGCGACATGGCACTCGCAGCGTTCGCCGCCTGGCTACCAGCAGCAGAGAGAGAGTCGTGAGTACAGCTGAAAAGCTTCCAGTCAGACGGAGGAGGAGAATACACCTCTCAGCGATTCAAGCAGTACATAGCGGAAAGAGGAATCAAGCAGCTCCTCTCCCTTCCCTACGCCCATCAGCAACAAGGTGTCGCAGAACGAATAAACAGGACACTGCAGAACAGCATCCGCAAACAGCTACGTGGCATGCGGCTACCCAACCACCAGTGGCCTGCAGCAATGGACCATGTTGTCATGCTGCACAACTTGATGTCGTCGTCCTCACTTCCGAACAACGCATCACCGCGTCTGCTGTGGACGGGGAAACAGGGCAGCACGAAAATGTTACGAGTTTTCGGGTGCATGGTACAGTACCGACCCCCAGAGGCACGAGCGGGAAGATTTTCACAACGTGCACAGTGGGGACTACACCTCGGCATCGAAAAGAATTACAACGCGTGGAAAATCTTCGACGTCTACGCTAAGGAAACAGTAGCAGCACGTGACGTGATCTTCTACGAACGACTCACGCTTCAGACGTACCTCGCCAACTTGCACGAGAATCAAGATCCCACAGGTGGCTTTCGTGGTGACCGAGCCTTCGCCTCGGCAGCGGACGAAGCAGACTGGGACGAGCAGAACGTGGACAACGCATCGGAAGAAGTCGGACCTCTCCCGTTCTGCTCCGTCAATGTCCCCATGGACGAAGAAAACCCTCGCAAAAGTGCCAACGCCGAAGTTTTCTACCACTTCGCCGAAAACGGTTACGTAACACATGCGACAGTCAACACCAACGAAGCAGAACGGATAGGGCCGAATTTCGAACCCGACCCAGAAGCGGGAGATGAAGCAGCTTATCCCGAGGACACAACACTCCCCCGCTACTCACAGACTGGACTGCAGATTCTCGGCCTCGTCACCGCAGTCCACGGCAACGCACTTCCTAAAGAGCCTGCGACGGTTCAGCAGGCTCTGGGGGGGGAACACAGGGAAAAATGGCATGAAGCCATGGACAGAGAATTAAAGGCGCTGGAGGAACGTAACACCTGGAAAGTCGTTCCCGTAAGCGTGGCAAGGAACAAGACCATCCTCACCGGGAAATGGGTCTTCCGCATCAAAACGAAGGCAGACGGCACAATCGAGAAGTTCAAAGCACGCTGGATCGTGCGTGGATTCGATCAGGAACACGGACGGGACTTCACCAAGACATTCGCCCCGGTTAGCCGACACACTTCACTCCGAATCCTCCTCGCGATCGCCGCCATGAAGAAAAGGAAACTATGGCAAATCGACGTCGCTAACACCTTCCTCTACGCACCCGTCAACGCCGAAATCTTCGTCGAACTTCCACATGGTACCCACGGGGAACCTAACCAAGTCTGTCAGTTACTGAAATCGCTCTACGGAATCAAACAAGCCCCGCGGCTGTGGCAACAGCACCTACACACTCGCCTCACTCGCATCCGATTCCGCCAACTGCCTCACGACCAAGGAATGTACCGACTCACCAAAAACGCAGACTACATTCTGCTGATCGTCTACGTCGACGATTTACTCTACATCGGCTCTACTCACGACATAACCATCTGGTTCGAAGGAGAGCTGAAGAGGGACCTCACACTCACGGTCTCCTCTACCGTCACTCAGTACCTCGGACTCAACATCCGCGAATGAGAGAACGCGATCTATCTCAGCGCCGAAAAGTATGCCGACACTATCGCCAAACGCTTCACACTCACACCTACTACTATCTCCACGCCATACCGCTACACTGTAGGGAACGACAAGGGAGGTCCCACTCTTCTCAAAACCGCCGGAATACGCGACTACCAGAGAAAGCTGGGCTGCCTTCTCTTTGCGGCCGTCACCTGCCGCCCACATCTGTCCTACTCCGCAAGTCAACTCGCCACCTACCTCAAGAAACTCGAAGCAGAACACCTGACGGAGCTCGACCGCGCACTCCACTACTTCGTAAGCACCTCAACGATCGGTCTGACATACCACAAGAATACAACTACACCGACGAAACTAATCGGCTACGTCGACGCCGATCACGCCGGCGACTCAGACAACAGGCGCTCCCGCACTGGCTACATCTACCGCCTCGAACCTATCGGACCTATCTCCTGGCAATAGAGCAAGCAGGAACTAATTGCTCTCTCCTCAGCTGAAGCAGAATATATCGCACTCTGCTCAGCCACCAAGGAAGGACTCTACCTTCGCGAGCTGCTGGAAGAAGCGAAGTTAGCCGAGTTACCCAACTTCACTCTGTTCTGCGACAACCAATCTGCGATTCGCATCGCCAACAAAAGCGGATTCGCAAACAGAACGAAGCATATCGCTCTGCGATATTTCTTCGTGAAAGACGAGATCGAGAAAGGGAAACTCAAACTATCCTACTGTCCCACGTCCGAGATGGCAGCTGACTACTTGACCAAGAAGCTCGGAAAACAGAAGTTCGTGTACTGCATGCTGCTGACTGGACAAAGCCACGTCACCATCAGCGACACTCCAGAAGCGAAGGGGAGTGTTGGGAACAAATAGCCTTAAGTGCTTATGTCGTGTCGAAACTTCAAGACACAAAGCGAAGCAACGCAACTCGAAGCACCAGCGAGTCAACCCTTGGAGTTGATGTAACCGCTGGAGGTTACGAGAAAGTCAAAGGTCAGCGACCTTTGACTTGACAAATGCAGCGCGACAGCAAGGACACACAACCGACTCGACACTGAGCAGTTGCCCGAGTCGCACTGTATCGAACTGCAACAGTAAAGATGAAGTTTTTTGAAAGTGTGTAACACTTTCTAAAAATGTATATTTCGAAAGCGACGCTGCTTGTAATGCAGCAATGGCAACGGCGAAGTGCTCTACGCTCTTCGCCAACTATATAGCAAGGGGTGGAGGCCATTTGGCCTCCACCCACGTCTTCGTTTGAAATTTCAAATGTCTTATTTCATTCTCGTCCGACGACTTGGCGCTTCCTGTTTTCCTCAGTTTCTCACTTCTCTCATAAAATAGTAGGCATCAACTCAATTGACATGGCACAACGTGTTTCGGAAATAGGCACCCGTCCGCACAATAGGCGCGCTTATTGGGGCTAATAAAGCGACAACGCCACTGGCGCACGTGGCGACGAAATCGCCACAAGCGCACGCGGCGACGAAATCGCCACAGGCGCGCGTGGCGACGAAACCGCCACAGGCGCGCGTGGCGAAGCAATCGCCACAGGTGCTCGTGGCGACGAAATCGCCACAGGCGCGTGTGGCGACGAAAACGCCACAGGCGCGCGTGGCGACGAAAACGCCACAAGCGCGCGTGGCGAAATCGCCAGTGGCGCACGTGGCGTAAAAATCGCCAGCGGCGCAAGTGGCGCCAGTGGCGCTCATGGCGCCGAAATGGTCAAAATCGCCACTGGCGCACGTGGCTACGACATCGCCAGTGGCGTGCAATAACCAGGGGCTCGTCCAGCGGCAGTCGGCACCAGCAGGTTGGCGAAATCTCCAGAGACAAACTGGCATGACATATGCTCTCCTGCTGCTGACATTGTCAGCGGATAACTTATTACCTTGCATATGTTTCCACCTTTTCTTCGTACGTATCTTCGATTTTTGTTTGTCTTCGTTTTTCTCTCGTGTTATTTATTACCTCTGATCGCAGTAAATCGGTGCGAGGCAACTACCATAGCTTTGGGTCGCCATGAGAGACCATCGGCGAAGAAAGACTGCGGCAAACAATTGGCACAACCCCATGCGCTCCCGTGCGGTGCTGGCCAGCGAGCTCCCCAGGGGGGAGGAGGACCGGTGGGTCCTGTGTGGTGCTGGCCAGCGAGCTCCCGAGGGGGGAGGAGGACCGGTGGGTCCTGTGCGGTGCTGGCCAGCGAGCTCCCCAGGGGGGAGGAGGACCGGTGGGTCCTGTGCGGTGCTGGCCAGCGAGCTCCCCAGGGGGGAGGAGGGCCGGTGGGTCCTGTGCGGTGCTGGCCAGCGAGCTCCCCAGGGGGGAGGAGGACCGGTGGGTCCTATGCGGTGCTGGCCAGCGAGATCCCCAGTGGGGAGGAGGACCGGTGGGTCTTGTGCGGTGCTGGCCAGCGAGCTCCCCAGGGGGGAGGAGGACCGGTGGGTCCTGTGCGGTGCTGGCCAGCGAGCTCCCCAGGGGGGAGGAGGACCAGTGGGTCCTGTGCGTTGCTGGCCAGCGAGCTCCCCAGGGGGGAGGAGGACTGGTGGGCCCTGTGCGGTGCTGGCCAGCGAGCTCCCCAGGGTGGAGGAGGACCGGTGGGTCCCTTTTTGGCTTGTGGGCCATTTGTATGGTAGATTCATGGTTGTGCAATTTAGTTACACTTCTCACACACCTTAGGCTTTGAAAGCCTTCAATTGCACGGTCCGGATGTGGGCACACTTGAGTTGGTTGATTGAACAATGTTGTGGTGAGTTTGAAATGGTGCTCAAGTCTAGCAGATCCAAAAAAAAAAAAAAAAAGCACACACATACAAAGGGCTCAAAGGCCGACAGATTTACCGTATCTGGATACAGATGCATGCACTCTTCGTAATGTGAGCACGGTTGTGACTGCTACAAGGGTTGGGCTCCTACAAGCAATCACATCCATCATCACACAAAACACCAATGCACGTTACCCGAGTCCTCCTATACTGCTTGCGAGTTTGTGTCCGAAGCTCACATGTCAGCCGACTCTCATAAATCAACATTACTCTGCTACACTCGGGGCAACACTTCATCCAAGGCAACAGCAGGGAATACAGCATCACCATCAACATCAGTGCCAGCCTCTCCTTCGTGCGTGATTGGACCTCCACCGACATGTCATCGCATAAGCCACAAACAACCTTTACCATCTCGTTAGAATGACCCCGTCTCATGTCTCAGAAGACCCATTTGAAACGAAGCTCGTTGCCATTGCAAACACAAGAAAGCAAGCTTTCTAAATATGAAGTTTTTTTAAAGTGTGTAACACTTTCTAAAAATGTGTATTTCGAAAGCGACGCTGCTTGTAATGCAGCAATGGCAACGGCGAAGTGCTCTACGCTCTTCGCCAACTATATAGCAAGGGGTGGAGGCCATTTGGCCTCCACCCACGTCTTCGTTTGAAATTTCAAATGTCTTATTTCCCACCCACCCACCCTAGCAAAAATTGCATGTTGGAACTTGTAATGTAGGTACCATATCTAAGTAGGACGAGAATGTTGTAATGCCCATTTGAAACGAAGCTCGTTGCCATTGCAAACACAAGAAAGCAAGCTTTCTAAATTAGTTACAATTATGTTTCTTCATATTCTCTGTACTCATATATATGTTCTTGTATCTCTTTGTTTTAATTAACTTACTTTGCCCTCACATACTAGCGGTGGTTCAAAGACCCCATTCAAACGCTTCCGCTACTACATCGTTTACTCAACCTTTAACTCTACCAAAAGATCCTAGGGCGTTTCAGCCCAACAAGTGAAAGTACACGCGAAATTTCACCTAGGGAGCAATTCTCGAGATATCTTCCCGTAAGGAATCGGACTCGATAACAGCTACAATATGAATCTATAAGAAAAGGGGGGTGTTATAGAAAATCACCCCAAAAGGGGGGGTATAGTACAAACGGGGTCGGATATAACACCCACCCCGTATTAGCTATCCGGGGGTGTACAATTACGGGGGGGTGTTTTATCCGGGAGAATATGATATTGTTACTGTATACAGAACGATTTTCATACCATACTAGTCGTGTGTGTGCATATTGTTGAAAGACAGTGTATTTTCTCACTTAGTAGATGTAAATAATATGTTGTGTTTATTTTGGAATTGGAGTTGCGAAAGGGGTACATTTGAACTGGCAATGTATATCTCAGATGGCAAGGCCAAGGGTACATGTTCCTTTCACAAGTACTTGGTCAAATATCCACTAGCAACACTAACCATGAATACAGTGATGTATCATATGTACCATATTGCAATACCCCAGATACCTCATTTTTCTCGCCCCATAAAAGCTCAAATGGACATCACTCACACCACCACCCTTCACATAGACGCCTTGGATGTCAGCTTCTGTGACATGCGCTGGGCAAGGCCTTGGTCGCACTGCACAGCCAATAGGTGTAACAGTCCGTCAGAAGGTTTTGATTGGGATGCAGTCTAGAAAGCTCTATTAAAAGACCAAACGGTACGAAATTCGCATGCAGTTAGTCACTCACCTGCGCCCAGTAGGAGAGCCAGACGCTGCGGACCTCTGGGGTTGTCCTTGGGTCAGTCAACAAGGCAACAAAACGGTTGATGAACCGCTCTTGCCTGCAACCAAAAAACATCCTCCAACTGTCAATAGATGAAGACTATCAACCACTTCCTTCCCAGCTAAAGGCTACTCTCAGGGCAATTCACAGGAAGGGTTGGACAAGGACACATCACCTGTCAGCCGGCAAGGAGCGGAACCTCTCCCCAGCCTGCTGAAAATTGTTCTCCTTCTCAATCGCCCTCTGCACCAATTTGAAGAGCACCACATCGCAACAAATCCTGTCAGTGTGACACTCTACTGCAACAAGCAGACTCCAGGACAAGCAGATTGGCGCATGCCATCAAGAGGAGAAGCATCATCCACCATCTCAACAAAAAGCGCATATCCAGAAGAAATAGAAGCACTGACCTTCTCCCTGCGGCCAGTCAGCACGCCCTTGGGGACTGGAGTTTGGGCGGCATGGCGAGACGGGTCGAAGCGGGACGGGAAGTAATTCACCTGCAGGCAGGTACCTTGCAAATTATTAGTGTGCGCTCAGGAGATAATGACCATTGCCACACGAATGCATTCAATTCAGTGCAAGGACACCTTACCACCTTCTCCACGGCCACTACTTCACACACACACCCACACATTAACGCCACTTACCTTACTGCACAAACTGTCCCCTCGCATGAACCCCCTCGTATATCCCCTCTCCCTCCCCACCATCAAGCACACTAGTCGTCATCCATTATCAACAAATCCTTGCCTTTCCTCCCTTTCCTGGCCCCACAGCGACAGGCGCCAATGCTTCTCACACGTCTATGCCTCACCTCCTCGTCACGGTGCATGAAGTTCATGTAACCCTCGTGGTGGTTGTTGTGGAAAGCGCACTTGGGCGCGTTGACGGGCAGCATGAGGTAGTTGGGGCCCAGGCGGTGCCTCTGCGTGTCGGAGTAGGAGAAGATGCGCGTCTGGAACATGGTGTCGTCCGTGTAGTAGATACCAGGGACAATGAGGCCCGGGCAGAACGCCAGCTGCTCGTTCTCAGCGAAGAAGTTGTCGATGTTGCGGTTCAGCACCATGCGACCCACAGGCTGCGCAGCGGGAAGAAGCAGGGGATACAGAGAGACGGGAACGTAGCAATGAACATAACTGAACATTCCAATGGCATTTACTGATGCGAGATAAAAGCGTGGGATAAGGTGGTGAAGAGTAGGCACAAGTGAGGAAATGTACCTGAAGAGGAAACAGGTTCTCGGGCCAGATTTTGGTATCATCAAGAGGATCAAAGTCAAACTTGTCCTCGTCAGCAGGGTCCATGGTCTGGATGAAAAGCTTCCACTCCGGGTAATCGCCTGCAGAAATGGCGTCCTGCAGGTCCTGCGTGGCGTGGCTGTGGTTGCTGCCTCCCACAATTACAGCCTCCTCCTCCACCAGGAACTTCACACCGCACGTCGGCTTCCAGTGGAACTTAACGTACGTCTCCTTGCCCGCCTTGTTAATCAGCTGCGGAAGTACACGACAATAATCATCAAGGAGTTATTCCGGGACATTCATTTACTGGTACCAAAATAAACCGTTCACTGAAGCAATTGTAACGCACCTTGAAGGTGTGAACTCCGAAGCCCTCCATGTGGCGGTAGTCCGAAGGAATACCCCAGTCGTCGAACAGCCAGGTGAACATGTGGCAGCTCTCGGGGATGTGCGAGAACAGGTCGGCAATGCGCCAGCCCTCCTGGATGTGCGTCTTCGGGTTCGGCTTCAGCGCGTGGATGACATCAGGGAACTGCCAAGAGAAAGAAAACGATGTGTGGGTTGATTGCGAGCAATTCGCACTATATTCGGGAAGTTCACGCAAGGCACAAAAGATTTGGAACGTATTAAACAACGTTAGACTGACTGAACAAACACGTTCGATGCCCAGTCCCATCGACACTAACCTTGATGCCATCACGGATGAAAAAGACAGGAATGTTGTTCCCAACCATGTCGAAGTTGCCTTCGCGCGTGTAAAACTTTATGGCGAAGCCGCGAGGGTCGCGGAGAGTTTCAGGAGAGCCGCGCTCGTGAATGACGGTGGAGAAGCGGACAATCAGGGGCGTCTGAACGCCTGGCGCGCGGAGAAAGTCCGCGCTCGTGAGGTGGGAAATATCGTGCGTGACCTCGAAAAATCCCTTGGCACTCGCACCCCGAGCGTGGACAACGCGCTGAAACGAATGAAAACGGGTGAGCAACAATTTAATGCGCCACTACATAACGAAAAAACCTCCCCACACATCATGTATCACGTTATTCACCTCTGGGATCCTTTCCCTGTCGAACTGCGCAAGCTTTTCGATAAGGTGGTAGTCCTCCAAAAGTACGGGGCCTGGAGGAACGAAGCAGAATACTAAGCCAATTAGCAATTTCCCTTAAAACGATTATGACGATAGAGAATTCCAGAGACTTACCGCGAGGACCAACTTTCAGGGATTGGTTATTGTTGTAGACAGGGGCCCCATAATTGGTGGTCCAATACGGAGAATTGAACGCGCTCGACGGACGGAACTGCGACGAGAAATAAACAGGAATAAGGCAATTGAGTCCAACAGGGCATCATTACCCACGGTAGTCCATGGAAATAAATAACGAAGCGAGCTGCCCTATTTCTAGCATGTCACGACATGCGGTAATTACTACGCTTACCTTATAAGGATCCATGGCTGTCGCGCAAAATTACAAAATCACCCAACAGCAGAGATAAGAGCCAAGACGAGCTCCGAGGCACACGGAGTTGACCCAACCTATTCGAGGACTACCTTCTGGTGGATGGAAATCCCAGCTCGGTCATTAGGGCACAAATGTGCATTTGTATGGCTACACCTTCAGTGCCTGAACTTGCTCGCCTGCCTGCTTGCAAGCCTGGAGATTGCGCAATTCTGTTCCTGGATGGGATTCATGCTCGTGGCGAGGTGGATGGGATGGGATTCGCACAAGGTGGGGCTGCCGCAGGGACCACTACAAACGGGCAAAAGTCCAGAAGAGTGTCATGCACACTCATGCGTTGGACAAAGCCACGTCATAGTCAGCCCAAGAAAATTCCACGTATGCCTGCGCATGGAACTGCGGATGACACCGCGAGTGCAAGGCCGAGAGATTCGTTATCTGTCATGAATGTTTCGGCATAACACTTTCCCCTCTATGTGTAGACAAGTCCGCATCATAGCCAATCTTTCTAGCTTCTATGCAATAAGCACGGTATATGGAGACGCTCAAGTTTGGCCTGGAAAACTGTCTGCTTGAAAATATAAAGCCATTATTAGGCGTGGCACACATTCATGCACAAACAAATATGACCTTACATGTGGTCAGCTAAGGTAACTTCATTAGTCAAGATCTTCATTGAGATGACATACCGGTACATGGCTCCAGTGATCTACAGTATACGGTAATGAAATATAGGCACTCTGGATTGGGCTGATTTCTTACCTAATGTGCACACAGTCAGCGGTGCACACACCTTCTCTTTCACCCTGCGGACCCCTGGTTGTGAGGTTTGGAAAACATGAGGGGTGTGACAGGGCTGGACACTGATAATTCTGAATCCCAAGCCTGAAGTGCCTTACTGAGCCTCTTAGGAGAAGTAAGAAGCATCCCACCGAGCTCTAGTTGTGGGTGATTCACAGGGGATCGCGTTTCTGCCGAGCCTTACTTGCAACCTACCGTAATAGGGTTCGTTCCATACCATAACAACCGAACTGCTTCTTCCTGTAGATGTGGCTTGCACTGATAGTGGATTCTCTCTGACTACATTCTCTTAGAAGAAGTGCTTAGATTGAGAGCTGTTATGGGAAAAGGGTCAATGTACAGCCCAACTGCACAGACGGATTTAAATGCGCTTTGAGAGTGGGTGTGAGCAGCAGGAATGGTGGGGCTGTAGGGTGACGCACACACGCACGCTGCAGTGACTGCTAGGTGTCCTCCGGATCAGAACCTCACCACAAAGGGGAAATATTGCTAATAATGTGATTTCATCTCATACAAAACTGTTTTTCATTATTGCCGAACATGTGAAAGCATAGGTTCTCTACTGCAAAGCTACACTACCTAATGGACGCTTTGCGCATATTGGTGGGGCTAACCGCCAGCCACTACCTTGAAGACGACACAACGATGAGTCTGAAAAGAAAAAGCAGAGCGCGTTAGCACCAAAATAGATCCTGGAGAAAAAGAACTAAAGAAAAAAAACCAGTGGGAGGCGGAGGCAGGAGATACATCAGCATCGGCAGCATAATCGCACCTGAGGGTAGCCTGGCTTGTTGTCGTTAGGGTTCAGCCATACCGACGCATTGACGCCTTTGCCGAGCTTAATCTTAGCGGTTTCGATGTACAGCTTGATGCATTTGCCGTTGAGCTCGCCGATCTTGGCCCGGGGCATAGGCCGGATGCCCAGGCGGTCATTGCGGTTCACAAACTTGGTGTACGCGTCACTAGCTCCGCGAGCGCGGAAAAAGAAGTAGTTATCGCAAGAACCGCCCTGGATGACGGGGATTAGGAAAGAGTGTAAGTAACAGTTTTGGCCGGCAGTAAGGGAATAAGTGCGGCAGATGAATGCCTCCAAACGTCCACTCTATGAATGCGGCAATCGTTTAAAGCGTCATCCTTACCCCTATGACTTTGCAAGAGGGTCCCGAGGTGGTTGCTGTCTGCACAGGCTTGTCAGACCTGTAAGAAGTGAGACGCAAGGGGACAAGACGAGAGAGAACGGTAGCGTTGAGGAGAAGCAAAAGTGGTAGCCAAGGCCGGTGGATGCTTTGCTCGCGCATCTGTAGCGATAATGGTGAAGAAACGAGTATCAGGTTCTGGCGATGGCATGTCGAGCAGTAGCGCGACTCACTTGTGGCGGAGGGCAGTGGAAGCGACCTTCTCGGAGGCGACGGAATTGATAGTAATCACCGGCGTTTCGCCCTTGAAGTTGTAGAAAAAAAAGTCGCACACCTGCAGCAAGGCACGCCGAGACAGAAGGGATAGAGGTAAGCATGTTCAGTACATCACTCGCTGGCTTTGTTCAAGCGGTGTGTTCACACTTCGACGAGAAGACATCGGAGAAGCTGCCGAATATTAGGGAAGAAATTGACATCCTTTCAAATCTATTCACCAGAATCTTGTCATAGTGCGCACCTACCAGGATCCTCTGCAGGTTAGAGGCTGAGAGAAAACGTTACAATGCATCATTGAAGGTGAGTGCGCTTGGCATAGGGTGGAAAGATGTGAATATTACTAACCGCAAGTGGGGCGACGCAGGGATCATATTTCTTTGGCTTAGGCGCTGCTTGGACGCTGATAGCCACCAAGCCTGGAGGTATTCGTGGAGGAAATCAGGCAACAAGACATGAGCGATGAGAGCTTGAACGTATGGGACAAATTTTCGCTAAACGAGACACATCCATTGCATAGACAACTCACCTATGATTGCGGCGACGAGGAGGAGACGGCGGGCCATGGGTTTCGGTTGATCAATCGAGAACGGGCGAGACCCACACTTGATTCACAGGCACTAGCAGCAGTAGAAGATGAATGGAGGTGAACTAGTCCGTAGATCAGCAAATTATACGAACTCTGAAGATGCGTACAGTCGCTGGCTAGAATCACGCACGCGGTTTGAACCAACAATTTGGCACGAATAGCGACATCGACGGATTTCCTTCCATGTTCTCCGAGCGACTTGGCAAAAAGCAGCTCTGGTCCGGTGCTGCCTGTGGTGAACTGTACCGCTGAGCTCTGGAAATCGACATAAGTGGCTTCGAACGTGGTTCGGAAGGTGCATTCAGCGGCTTGGAGTGATGACAGTGGACGAACATGTTGAGAGAAATTGTCGCGTGGGTGGTTCGGCAGCTTCAAGCCTGTATATGCAGCGCCGCGAAGGACGCGAGCCAATGGATGCCAGTCCCTACCGGTTTAGAACAGGTGTCGCACAAATAAGCCTGGTTGTGCCTTCCGCAGCACAGAGGTGCGCCTACCGTGATTCCCGAAATTGCAAAAATGGTTCTCGAAGAGCTTGGATATTCCTTCGCGCATCCGGTAACATCGTGTACACTAGCACCCTTGTATGGTCGCCATCACGTACACTAGCAGAGTCCTTCGAAGGATACCGTGTGTTACGGGTCCTAAGTAGCGAGAATTGCACTAAGGTGTCAAACGAGCACAAAATGTGAGCGAAGGCGTGACCGAACATTTATACGCGAAACATGCAAACGGTAACGCGGTGCGTGCGAGCTAGCTAGTGCTATGCTGGAAGTGAGGCTCGAGCTAGTCCCGGAGCGTAGGCCGATACGGCCAGGCCAGTAGTGCGAGGTGTGGTGAAACAGTGCGCGCGAAGTCAACGAAGCCCCGTTAGCAGTAACGGGCAAACAACGGCTGCTGCTGTACGCGATGTTGCAGGGCGCGCTAAGGAATATCGAGAAAATTCCTTACACTACGCCCCCCCCCCTCAAGAAGCCCCCTCCGCTACGCGAGTGCGTGTATATCGCGGAAAACCCGGCTCCTCATGTACACTTGCAGGGCAGGCTGGTTTTCGATGTTGGCCAGGGGCACCCAGCTATCTTCAGTTGGCGTGCGATCTTATAATCTTAGGCATGAAGTTGTGTGATGATAAGGTCAAGGGGGGGTACAAAAAGAATGCCGAGACAAATATTGTACCCCCTAGTGCTAACCCCCATATAGCCTAGACAGCCTAAAGATAACATATAAATATAACTTGACATGCGATCCTTCCAGCAAACGAGGAATTCGATCCTCTTGATTCACGTGGGGTGTCGAATCCAATGGATCATATTTTTTTCAGGCTCGATGATCGGCTCCGATGCAGGGCGAGTCATGGATGGCGGGCAGTGACAAGGCAGTTGGCTCGTGGTTGGGATGTATGGGTGAAGTAGGCTGACATGGAATGAAAGGCTGATGTACCAGTCCGTCGGCAACAGTAGGTGAGCTCTCACTGGGGTAATCATGTGGCTGATTTGGAATGGCCCACAGTAGCGGGGTCGCGATTTCGGTACGACGGGCAGTTTTAAGTTTTGTGTATCGAGTAGTACGTAGTCTCCTGACTGGTACGTGAGTGGGCGGCGGTGGCGGTCAGCGTTGCGCTTAGCGATGACATTGGCATTTTTTATTGCTTTTGCGGCTCTGGTGCGGGCTGCTTGCAGAACTTCGGCAAATTGCTGTGCACGTGGTGTTGGGTTGTCCGGACTCGGCGTCATGGGCACTGTAGGGATTTGCCAGCGATTCAGGTAGAAAGGGGACTGCTGCGTTGTCAATGATGTGGTGTTGTTATATGCGAACTCGATCAGCGGCAGCTGCTGCTCCCAAGTGGTTGGGTCGTCGTGTGAAGTTTAGAACGAGAGAATGATTGAACTATGAAACAGATGGGTACAAGTACTAACCCTAATTGGGTTGTACCCCTTATGGGCTACCCCACTACAGCCTACACAGATGTATAAGCTATAATGTTCTGACACACCCCCATAGGCAAAGTGGGGGAGAACAAGTGGTCACAAGACTAGTCAAGCGAAGCAAAGCAAGCTCAGGGTGGATCACAAAGTCACCACACAGTCCGAGCACAAGAGCAAGGCCACAAGGCCAGTTCACATGCAAGATCATATATATAACGGTAAACAAGCAAATGCAGGTATAGAAAGAGTACAGTACAAACAAGATCAAGAAGTAAGCTAGTGAGGCCAGGTAGGCACAAGACCTCGCAAAGTACAGAAGCGCTGATGATCACAAGGCGGAAGGGCCTTGGTGAAGATATGAGCAGTGTTGGCCTCAGAGGCCACGTAGGTGAGGCGGAGCTGACCACGCTGCTGCAGCTCACGAGCCAGGAAGTAGCGGAGAGCAATGTGCTTCGTTCTGTGCTCCAGTCTGTGCTTCCGACACAAGGCAAGCATGGCCTTGTTGTCTACGTACAGAACTGGAGGAGAACAAGGCGGCTCTCCTAGGTCAGTCAGCAGGTAGGTGAGCCAGCGTAGCTCCTGTGCAGCCATGGCCCCTGCGTAGATCTCAGCCTCACAGCTGGAGCTGAGAGCAGAAGACGAGCGGGTAGACCGCCACGAAACAGAGCCGGAGCCAAGGCTGAAGGTGTAACCCTGTGACGACCGCTGCAGAGCCTGGTCGTCAGCACAAGAAGCGTCTGCGTGACCAGTGAGGACACCTCGAGCCCGTCCTCCAAGCACGATCCCCATGCCCGACGTACTGCACGGGAAGCGCAACAACCTCTAAGCTGCATCCATGTACTCTGGTCGGTGTCTCCCAGGAGCAACATAGCGTGCCAAGATGCTAAGAGGGTATGCCAGGTCAGGTCAAGTGTAGGTCATCAGGTACATGAGGCAGCCAACAAGCTCTGGGTACGGGCCACTCGGCTCTACGGACTCATCCGAAGGCAGAGCTGAGAGCTAGTGGCGAGTAGATAGAGGAGTGGCCTGAGGCAAGGAGTACGTGAAGTTGAAGCGCTGAAGGACCTGCTGCACCATGTGTGACTGAGTCAAGGTAATGGTGTGTCGTGCTCTGTCCCGGGTGATCTGCAAGCCAAGATAGCTGCGCAGTTCACCCAGGTCTATGCACGTGTGTCTCTTCTGCAGCTCCGACTTCACGTGGGCGAGTCCCTCAGTGTCAGCAGTAGCAAAGACCAAGTCGTCGACGTACACGAGGATGTAGAATGGCGGCAGAGAAGTGTCGGTGCGCAGAAACAGCGACGGGTCAGCAGTAGAAGGAGCAAACCCAAGAGCCGCAAGCGTAGTCCTCAGTGTGTCGTGCCACTCACGGAGTGCCTGGCGGAGACCGTAGACTGGCTGCCGGAGGCTCCACTGGGTACCAGGAGGAAACGACCAAGTGAAGCCAGGTGGGCGGCGCGGCCAGATCTCCTCGTGCAGGCTGCCCTGCAGGAAAGCTGTGCTGAAGTCAAGAGAGTGAAGCTCGTAGTCACGCTGAGCAGCTATGCGCAGCAACACCCGAAGAGTGGTCATCTTCGGGGTGGGAGAGAAGGTCTGAAATTAGTTAACTCCCTGCTGCTGACTGAAGCCTCGAGCCACGTAACGCGCCTTGAAGACAGGCGGAGAACCCGGCGGCCGCTGTCAAACATTATATATGTTGTGCTTGTTTAGGCTACAGTGGGTTAGCCTATAGGGGGTACACAATTCTAGGGTTAGGTACTTGTACTGATTTCACTGTTATTTCAATCATTCCTGTTCGTTCATTTCAACATGGTATCAGAGCAGGTCCTTCGCTAGGACCGTTTTTTTAGGGCCCACCACTACCTATCTACCTACCTACCTAACTGCGCCCTAGGGCGCCTCGTTTTTCACGGCCCCCTAAGGCCCCGCGACCCGCGACCCGCCCCTTAGCGACTCGCGCGCCGCCCCTTAAGGCCCCGTCGGCCCAAGCGCTCGCCCCTTACGGCCCCGCGCTCGCCCCTTAGCGACCCTGTCGGCCCCGCGATCGCCCCTAACGGCCCCGTCGGCCCCGCGGTCACCTCCCTAGAGGCCCCCGTTGGCCCCGCGCTCGCCCTTAGCGGCCCCTTACGGCCCCGCGCTCGCCCCTAGAGGCCCCGAACGGCCCCGCGCTCGCCCTTAGCGGCCCCTTATGGCCCCATGCTCGCCCTTAGAGGCCCTGAACGGCCACGCGCTCGCCCTTAGCGACACCTTACGGCCCCGCGCTCGCCCCAAGGGGCGCGCGCTGCCGATAGATGAGCGCGAGCACTTTGGGCAGCACAAGACTGCAGAGGCACTGTACACTGCTGTCGTTGCCCGCTACTCCTCACCGGCCTCTGCCGCACTAGGCCGTCTCTCTCTTCCCTACTTGTTCCCCGACTTAGCCTCTTTCCACACAGTCGGCGACCTCATTACGCACCTCCGCACTAGTGAGGCTCGCTTCCGCGCCGCCATGCCTCATGAGTTCCTTGCCAAGAACCCACCCCCACTCTGGCTCACTCTCTACCACCTAGTCACCCGCCTCCCTGACACTCTGCGCTCAGTCAGGGACCACTTCCTAGCTCGCTGCCCCACTGAGCTCACCATTGCCTTCCTCGAGAAGGAACTCCTTGCAGCTGAGGCTAGCATAGTCGCTGTAGGTGCCTCTCGTGGCGACCCCCGTACCCCGTTCTTTGAGGGGTGTTCTCCTTCCCCCCTTCTTCCCTTTGTCGCCTCTGCTGCTGCTGTCGACCTCCTTGGTGCTGAGAAGGTCGGGACTGCGTCTGCTTCGAGCGGGCGCCGCAGCGGCAAGGGCAAAGGGGGCAAGGGCGGTGGCGGTGACAGCGGGGGAGGCGGTGGTGGGGGCGGTGGCGGCGGTGGGGGTGGTGGCGTGATTGGAGGGGCTAATGGCAGCGGTGGGGGTGGTGGCGGCAGCGACGGGGGAGGTGGCAGGGGCAGAGGTGGTGGTGGGGGTGGCGGTGGACGCGGCGGCGGCAGGGGTTGGGGTGGTCGAGGAGGTGGCGGCGGCGGTGGTGGTCAGGGA